GTATGTAAGGTTGCTGGTTGGCAAATGTGAGGCACTGGCCTGTATACTGATTTGCAGTATGCAAGGAAAGATCCCTATCACTGCGTCTAGCAGAACAAGAAAACCAAATGGTTTTTGTCATTGCGGGATCCTACTGTACCTTCTGACATTCATTTATTCCTTGTAGAGGTTTTATGCCGTCTAAAATCTTACTTTGCCAAACTGTTACCCAAGTTTTGGGCTATGCTGAGAGTGGCAGTGATCAGGCCAGGAAGAGCTTTTTGTCGCTAAAATGACATTGCAAAGTTTTAAAATATTTTTTTAATTTGACCGAAAAAAGGTTTAACAGTGTAGGTATTAAACACAGTCATGCTGAAGCCAGTCAGCCATGTGAATGGTGCCAATATAATGTAGGAAACCTTTTTGTAATCAATAACAAGCAGAATTGATAATATATTTACTTAACGCAACTTGTCTTTGAGCAACTTGAGGAGAAAAGTGTACGCAGGCCTGACTTCATTTTTACATTTTTTGACAGGTTTCTGCAAAGTCATTCTCTTGGATTTTTATTTAGTTTTGTACAGCACAACCCACAGATTGAAAAAGGAAGGAAAGTGGAATAAGACATGCATTGTCATGGTCACACTTGTTGTTGAGATCTGTGCCCGATTTAATATTCCTGCATTCCTAACAACTACTGCATTCATAATTATCACTGAATGCATCCCTGGCTAAGTGCAAAGACACTAGGGCACTGTCAGCCTCTTGGTGGCAGCATATATTTTCTTGGTTTTCATTCACAGACACTACCAGGATTGTCTGCGGTTGCTTCACAATACTCACTGTTGTACATTCGCCAATCACATGTATACCGCACAGAAGTGTACATTACACTAGTGCATTTATTGCTCAAGTACATGTATTAGCAAGTAGCATTAAGTTGTCACATTGTGCTCATTTTCATTGAAAAGGTGATTTGACTTGCAAGGATAGCATGCATACTGATCCTCACATTTGAGAGGTCCTTCTAATGTTGGATAAAACCACATACCATTTGTTACATCATGGTATCCGATTGTGGAGTTTCGTTGGTTGAGAGCTGTTCTTAAAATTTGTATGTGACCACAAATGGACTTGACTGACTACATGTATGTTACTCGCATATGCCCAGTTTTAATGAGTTGATTGTGCTCAAGACATGGGTATTATTTTGTCCACTGCAGTCAATACTGTCAAAAGAGAAAGACCCTTCGCACAAGGTTGCTGATGCACCCTTGGACTTGTGCTGTTTAGACATCCAGATCTTTGACCTTGATGAAAATGCACATAGGTCTGGGGTGAGATTTGTCAGGAATTTTTTTCTGACTTCAGGATTTTTGTTTAATCAGGATTTTCTTGGTTTTCAGGATTTTTCAAACAATTAGGAAATGATGAGATGTCCATTAAGGAATGTTCTCTGTTAAAAGTTGGTACCGAGCACAAAAACGGGTATTTTAAGGGGTATCTTTAGGCGGATGCAATTGCGTACAGTACCATAGACCCTATGCTGCTGTGGGGCCCTCAAACCTCTGATTGTTTCTTGAAAATTTTGTTTTCCTCCAGAAGAAATGTTAAAATGAGAGAAAAAAATCTTATTGCCAAACTCTACTCAAGTCATTCCAATGAATATTTCTGTTTTTAAAAAATCACACCATGGTATAACAATGCAGTTGTCACCTGCTGTCAAGTGGTCCATGGGTTTTGTACACTTTTGTGTATCAGCCAAACAGCTCATTCCCCCCCGCAATTGTACAAAAGCCATAGATCAGATTTAAGGAGACAATCATGTAAGTTTCACCATATCTATGAAAAGATGTTTAAATACCATACCTAGAATGTATTTAAATATACTATAAAAAGTTGACATACTTAAGATGTAATCAAATTGCTGGGTCTGGTGTTAATTTAACTGACCTGCTGTGTGTCATATTTTACACACTATACACAACAAAGTCAGAAATACTCTGTGGATGTGCGTGCATTGTGTTTTAGCAGTGCTTGACGCTGCCTTAAAAGATCTTGATCATAGGCCTATATTACAGTGCATATAGATCATCCTAGCTGGAGCAAGTTTTCCAAATTTGAGTGGATCTCTTTAAAACTGGCAGAGGAGAGAAGGAGCTGCTACAGGCAAGGTTTGCTGGGAATCGATTTTTCCTAGTATCTTTTTGCCTCTCTGAAAGGATCAAGTCTTCAGGAGTGACCTGCGCTCGGGTGTCGGGCAGACAGCACGACGGACTGGAAGGAGATGGGAAACTCCGCTGAGAATAAGCAACTGCACTCGCTCAGATCTATTTTTAGCTTTTAGACGGTAGTTTGGGCCTTGAAAACCATGCAGATGACATTTATTTTTCATGCACATCCTGATTCTTTCCCCTTTGTTTTATTTGCGGTCTCTTTCTTGTTTTATTACGTTAGTTATTACATGGCCGTTCGTGCATGATACAGCATCAGGGTAGAGCGGTATTTGCATCAGGGTTTATGGTTGGTCATCCTGAATTGAAAGGCCAACAATGGTCATTTTTGGCAGGCTGTTGCTGACACCTACAGCTTGGGAAAAATATACACATGTAATTATTTCATGAACAGTCTTGAGGGCATTTTCCATTGCACTTGCATTTTTCATTGAGAGGAATGAAAGTGTAAAATACTGATCAAAATAAAACCTCAATTTTTTATTGATTTGTTGTTAGTGAAGGGCCCCAACTTCAGAAGTAGCCCCAGAATCTCGGCATGCCTTTTTGTTATTCAGGGCACATTGGCTTTCAGTGTCATCTCATTACGCCGTGATTCTTATGAAATTCGTTCTTCAAGACTTCTGTAGGTTTCAGATATTTGACAGATTAAATTGACGTGCCGTTTTGCTCTCCCATTGGTCTTTTAATTGAATGTTTCTCTATGAAAACTCCCTTCCTGAAAATCCAACTATTGTTTGTTTGTTTTTTTAAATGGTGACTTTTTTGTTTCTTAATGAAATCCTTCCTTTCTTTTCTCTGCTGTTTGGTGAAAAAGAATTACAGACTATACCATGCAGTAAGTTGTTCCTGTGTCCATTTACCATGTTTGTGTCAAGAACTGTACTTTAATATTGTAGCTGTCATATATACATGTGCACCTTAATTCGGCTCGAGATTTGTCAGGGTGGCACTGACGCGCACGTTTGCAATCCACATGTCTGGCACAGCCCCTGCGTCTTGATTTCGCTGCTTAAAAATGCAAAGGCGGCAGGGGTGAGCACTCGACAGTAGGCAGCAGATGCCTGTGCTGAAATTGTGTGGGTCCTGAGTGTTTACCAGGATGCTAAAGTGCCGGAGCGGGTATTCCGTCGGCTGCCAAGCATGAGCTCTGAAGATTTCATCAGGGCCGATATTGCGCACGTGCGCGGTGCCCCTTTAACCTCCTGTACGATTGAAGAAGAAATCTAACACCTTCAGAGTAACACTGATGTATGCGACCGACTTTAGCTGGAGGAAGGTCTCGCCTGTGAGAAAGCATGATTAAAATGACTCTCCAGTGACCCGTCGAGTTTCTCGGCTCAGTAACCCCATCCTCTGGTGCTATCGCAGAAGTCTTCAAACGCCACTCCAACAGCTGGTTGAGGGGCATCAATCAGCCCAATATTTTCCTCCTCCGACGATGCATCTAAGCTCTTTTTCTTTTGAAAGAGATATGCCATCTTATCCCTCAGGGGATCAAACCAAAATGTATCTCACGCGAGACTCATTGTGGACACGCTTCGACACCATGCATGCGCCATAGTACGTGAATATTCAAATGTCGACATGGAGTTCTTTTTGTGTTTAAGAGGATGGGTGGTGTCTGGCTAGGTAATGAGAGAGCTCATGGGGAGTACGGGGCCCATGTTTCAAAGCTCAGGGTCACTGGAGATCACGATGCAGGAATTAATAAAACTTATTCAAATATTGTAGTCACGCCCACATGCCCAGCACTCACTCATTAATCACAGTCAAGTGAAAAATCACATTGGTTTTCAGTCATCTTACCCTTTTTTTTAATCCTTTTTTTTGAGATCCCATTTTGGGCGCCATTATGAATGTGTCCATGTTGTGAGATGACTGCAACATGCTGTATGTGGAACATGTCCAGTAAAGCATGCAGAGCCCCTCTGTGACTGACGCTTCGATCACCAGCATGGCCTGAAATTGGTAGCCTTTGCAAGTTTGGTTGTGTGCACATGGGCCTCCAGGGAATGGCACAGTCTGTCCGCAGGTCACTACTTTCATCTGCACAACCGCACTGATGATTTGCATGCATGTTGCATCACCACCAGAAAAACATGAATCGCGAAGAACAATTGCTCAACCGTGGTGTCTTTTTTGTTTCTGCTGACAAAAACTTACCTCATTGTGTTCAGTTCTGAATTATTTCAGGAATTCTAGCGTTACGGTGATAGAAGAAATTCTAAATTTGGGCAAAGTTAATCAAGTGAATAATTTAAATTTGAAATGCAGTAAAGGATATGTTTTTATTTTCTATTTTGACCACTCCCCAAAAATCAACAATGTGAAGGAATGTTTGATCCAAGCACATTTATCTTCACTTCTGCTTCAAAGCATTTGCTTTGTCCGAGTGCAGTCCATTATCCATTGCTAGCATCTGCCTTTCATGGGAGACGTGTTACTGCATCTGCATGGAGGGTGGCTGCTACCATGGCAACACCGCACCAAGTAATCAGATAACACGCCTTTTTTTTAAGAAAACTCCTTTTTTCCGATCATCTTTTTGGTGGACAGTAGAAAATTTAATCAGTCGAACTCTGGCCATTTTTAGCTTCTGTTAGATATACAGCAAGCACGTTCTAATAGGATAAATGTGGCCTCTGTGCATGCTTTCACTACGAATCTGAAAATATTACGTACTGCATTACCTACAAATGACATGACATTGCATCCAGTAATATTGTTTGTAGATTTGTAATCGTCAATTCCAAAATGCAGTGGAAGAGTATGCTAGTTTAAAATGTATACAAACTACAAGTGTTTATATCCGAATAGCTGAAATTACCAGACAACTGCACAAGTTCAATTTGTCAGAGCCCCGTAATTGAGTGATAACCAAACCTGTAGTCCTTGACAAAACCCTGCATCTATCCAAATATTGAAATAGCTGCATTGCTCACAGTCATATTAAAGTGTACATAAACCTGTAAATTAAACCAAAATGAAAGTCAATATTCCAGCAGTAAGCATGTCTGACAAAGACAATAGTTGTCTGTTTTTAATCATTAATTTCATATAAATAATGACTAAACTCACTATTCGTAAGAGCACCATAAAAAATAGTTTTGCAATTGATATTTCTAGATAATAAAAATAAAATCACCTTAAGGGTTTTATTTAGGATGGTTGAAATTCCCTTAGGTTATACTCCTGGTTGTTGAAAGATCACGTGTGTCTCCACATCACAGTCTGCATGCATCACAAATTCAGATATTATGCAAAGTCTGTAATATTTTGCCTCCCATTATTGCACATTGAATATGATACATGTACATGTATGTCCGTCACAGTTTGTGGGAGAGCAGAGTTATTGGCAATGCATTAAATTACATGCTTAGTTACATGCAGCCCAAAATCCAAGTTGTATCACTTCAGATGCCTATACGTACATACACACATAAATGTTGAAGACAAAAAATAGCTCTACAACTGGTTAAAGCATGTGTAGTGCAATATATTTGGATTTATTTTATTATAATAGTCGGAAATAGGAAGCAATAGGTCCTAGTAACATCGTCGTGTTTGCAGGTGTATGTCAAAATCATAAGAAATTTCTCAAGGCTACTTTCAAAGTGACACATTGAAAGTTCATTAACAATTTAAGTTTATTTATTTGGGGGTCAAATAAATATGTTTTCATTATCAAGATTATTGTTATTACATGCTTTTCTAAGCTTTTCTAATACTTACAAATCCTAAGTCTGTTTTTGCTGTAAGTTGACTCGGCCCTTAATGTAGACAAAAAACACAGCTAGTTCAGCTTTGATGCCTCAGTGTCGTGCAGGGCCTGATCAGTGATAACAACAGCATGCATGATCACATTTTCTCTGACATGAATCAAATTTAATATGACTGCATGCAAAGCAACCGTGCTGAAAGAAAAAAAAATTGAATTGAAGTTCTAATGGCATTGTAATCAGTCGTGTGAAAAATCCAGGGAAAAAAAATTACATAGTCAAAGGGCACCCTCTTCCGCTAACGCCTCTCATCGTATACACATAGATAACTAACTGAATCATTAATAATTCATCGTTCCATTATAATCTGTAGTTTCAAGAACTGAAACACACTAAAGCATTCCATGAATCCTTCATTACTGCCATAGTGTTTGAAGTATGTGATGAATAGACAGCATGTTGATATACTGTATGTCGCACTGATCTGTTGCCATCATGATGATATTTGTCTTTTGCTCTTCCAAGAGGTCACGTTGCACAACTCTGTAATGTAATCATCCCCCCTCCCACTGCATTCACATTGTGTCCATGGTAACTCTGTACATGTATAATGCATTTGTGTCCATGATCATGCTTACCGAGCACTGCCACAGTGTAAAATTCGTGATCATCTGCCAATTCCTTCATCCTCTGCCTTCTCGGCCGTCAAAATTTCAGCGGTATGTGTACAAAGTGTCAAAATGGTCACCTTGTTGAAATTCGATTCAGGTAAATGCATTGTAGTCATTACCATTCCAGTGAAAATAACTAGCTCAGCCAAGATACCAAAGATTCCAATGCGAATTCATTCACCACCATCTTGAAATCTAGAGCGAATGAGATAATTGAGCGCTGAAATGATTTTACAGCCAGCAGAGATGATTTTCAGAAATCAGTCTTTGTATGTATGTCTCATAACCAGTGGTAGCGTGCACTGAAGGAGTTGTGTATACTCTTACCAAATTGTGAAAGAGGTGAGAAAATTGGCTGATGATGATGATGATGATGATGATGTCTATTCAAAAATATTCCTTATTTCATGAAAAGAAAAATGGACACAGAAAGATCTTTCTCTTCCGAGGTACATGAAGTCCGTGGGTTTTAATCTCTTTATTAATCGTATTTTTTTTTCTTCTTCTTGACTTTGTCATCCACGTTGCCTCTTTTCTCATTTCTGGCCACCAATGTTTCTTTTCTTCTTTTTTAACTACATATAATTTAAAACCAAAGCGTCAGTAACCATCTGCGTAACATGCAGACTTCCAACGTTATAATACCAAGACACCTGTCAAGCCAGTGAGAACCGCATCATTCTATGTGGTGAACAGAAAATACAATAGCAAACGTAGGATATAAAACAAACCCAGATAAAACACATGGCTGTATCCCTCATAATGGAGCAAGATTTGTGGGGAGATTGCATAGGACTTCAGTGGATACCAAAAGGAGACAGTTCTTTCTTGTTCATTTTGACTTGTCTGTGATATTATGTTATGGTTCTTTTTTTTTTTTCCTGAAAGTTCACTCTTTGGTTGTAACCTCAAGCATCATTTTTTTTTTTTTGAGTTTCTGAGGGTTGGGGTTTATTCCGATGAGGCTTGCCTGAAAATTTTTTTTCCAGCATCACATAGAGGAAGTATTCTCACTGGCATTCATTGATGATATATCGTTAAATGTGGAATCGGGAGTAGTAATTGTGTCTACCTTAATTTTAATCAAACTAACTTTTCTCTTTCAACTCGATTACTTAAAACATATGTGTACATGTATATCAATTCGTTCTACATCTAGGTCAGCGGCAGCAGGTAGATAACATGCATCTGGGGGTACTAATCAACATGTACGTGTATCTAAGATGCTGTCATAAAATGTTATTGTCAGCATTGCCCATTTTCCCGAGTATCTCAGACAAGTTTGCTCTTAAATGCTGCGTGAAAATATCACGGGTGTTTCAAAATAAGGGCATTCACAAGTGCCTTACTAGATGATGTGCAGTGTAACACATAAAAATGGACTGTAAACATGGAACACTCTCCTTCTAACAGCATTCGTGTGTCACTTGTTCCAGGTCCCCAGGGTAATAGTCTCAGTGTGTTAAAAAGCACACATAGGAAAAAGGAAAGAAGGACAAATTTCCACCAATGGTATGCCTCATTCAGGACTAAACGCCTACCGTTAGAAATCCTCATGACTGTACATGTATACCATTGTGCCTTGCTTTAATTTTGTACCTTCCCAGATGTGTTGAGCCAGAATGTATGTACATGTATGCTCAAGTTGTTTAGTCACACATTTATATATTTTTAATCTCTATTGATTTTTTTCCAGACATTACCTGTCATGTGTGAAATTTTCATGTACAAAACGCATTTATTAATTCAACTAACTTTCATGTATGCATATTCATAAATCTGTATTATCTAGCAAAACAGTGCTTGACTACGGATATTTTATTTGAAAAAATTGTTTCTTAAGACAGAAACAAAAAAAAGGCAGCTGCTTTCATTTGACACAGCAGCAAAGAAAGTTCCAATTACTCTCTGAAGACAGACATTGTTTTTACATGCCGCCCTTAACAAGGAACTGTGTGTTTGGTTTCAGGGCATTGGAATACTCACTGCAGTTAGAAAACATGAATCTTACAGCTATTCGTACGATTCGAGTTCTCCGACCATTGCGTGCCATCAACAGAATCCCAAGTGAGTGTGACAGTAGGATCTGGGGTCTACTTGATTTGTGGGGATATGTATATAAATAAACATCACTTTTGGGAAGCTCTTTGCTCGTGAGTTTGGACGGAATGGCAAATTAAATGTACATTTAGTGCATTGCAGTCGATACCCACACAAGACCAGAATCACGGCCCGATCACATGATCAGTCACAAGACCAGTCACAAATAAACAGTGACAAAGGAAGGGTTACGTTGCAGAGCCTTATGACATGAATTTAGACCTGAGGTCTGTGATGGTCTTGTGAAGGTCTTAAACTTTACCACAAATTGTGCTGTGTTTAGTTTGTAAGCACTGCTACTGTAAATAAAGGGCTTAGGGATTTCTAAGATAAACCTTGTTTACTTATGGATGGTACTGTTTCACAATGAACTGGCCCCACATGCAGAATAATATTTGTTCACAAATCTCTAAGAGCAGCATGCCATGGTCTCTTCTCAAATCGAAACAGGACACTACAATCAGCTAGTTCGGTATTTCGAAAAGCCAGGGTCTTTTAGAAACATAGCTTGTGCACGTGAGTCAGCATATGGCTGTGCTGATAGGACTGTTCTCGAATACCCTCATACTGAGCCCGGGCTGTCAGAATCACCAAACTGGCTCATTGGTTGTGGGTGTATAGCTCCATTGACATGAGCCCGTTAAAGATTTGAGATATGCTGTCCATTAGACAAGTGTGCTGATTCATCATTTTCATGGGCCCTTGTCATTTCTGTCATCTGTCTGTTGACGTCTTCCGTTTCCTCCTCTGCTCCAGGTTTACGGATCTTGGTCATGCTCCTGCTAGACACGCTGCCCATGCTGGGCAATGTGCTCATGCTGTGCTTCTTTGTTTTCTTCATCTTTGGGATCATCGGCGTACAGCTGTGGAAGGGCCTGCTGCGAAACAGGTGCTTCTTGGACTTGCCCGATAACACCTCCATTGGAGCAGGGTAAGATCAGGTGGAATGCATTATCATCACCCCTGTAGCCCACATTTGTGAGCGAAATATGTTTAGTAGATTCTCAGAAGATACATTTACAGCTTACACACAAATGCAGTTAAAGCCACTTTCCATAGGTGTGCAGCAGACTGGAAATTTAAATCCTGCAAGAAAACTGTCCACGGAGTGAAGCAACAGTTGAATGTCAATTGCCTAGAAGGGAAGAAACAGTAAAAACAGACCACCAAACTTTCAAAGTAATTGGTGATAAAGAAATTCAGACTTCGTCGTGAACTTACTCATTAACTTTTTACTTGGCACAAGAGGGGACAGCATGCGGGTTCAAGTGAAGAAATCTGGATTCTGACCCACAGGCCTGCAGCTGATTTCATGAAGCCTGGCATAACTTTGCACCATTCATTAGTCTTACTCTCATGAATTTGTGGCATAGCTGCGAAGGATAATTACAATCAATTTCCCAAAACCTTTGCTGCTCAACATTTTAATTACATTACATTTCTCGGACAAGGATGATCGCAATTTTTACAATGGCTACTCCTTGTTACTATTACGGCCGTCGTTAAACAGTCATTGAATTACCCGCCGCCTGCCATTTTGAACAGGTTTCATCTTTCTTTGTTGGAACCAGACAAAAGATCTGAAAGTTCTCTCACAGCCAAACAAGTTTTCCATCACGGCCCAAGACAAACTTGTACATTTCCCATATAAACCATGTTAGTTTGAGCAATGATGAGCTTTAATCAAACCTGACGTGGCAGTAATAGGCCCCCTATTGTTCCTTTCAGATATGCCACTTAAAATTATTGCATAGGTGGCACCATAATTTGTTGTGCGAGTCGCAGACATACGCAGTCTGTAACTTTTGTGAAGTGTGTCATAATTTTTTGTTCCATCTTGGCATTAGTTAAGTTACGCCATTGCGTAAAGTTTCATGAAATAGGCTGCTGCGGAAATTTCTCAAGATGCTTGAACATTTCTTACTTCCACTCACTTATTTCCAAAGAGCTTGGATTCCTTTCGTCCGACTGAAACCAAGAATGATACGATTCAGGAGTTGAATTCAGTCAGTAGGCATTTCAATCAACTTCACGCTGGGGGGGATATTCTTAATGCTTCGCCAGTCCAACATTACACAAATTTTCCACTCAATTTCACAATTTTCACTCCAAGTCCTCCAGTCACTACTTGTGGAGAGAGAAATGTAATTCTTGAAGGAAGAGAACATAGGTTCTATGTGGATAATTGCATGTTTCCAGTCACTCAGCTCTTCACTCTTTTCGTGCTGTTTTTCCGTAGGTACGATGTTACAACATTTTACACACTGCCAGACATGTACCAGGATTATGTATGCAGTTTTAAAACGGATGCGGGAGATCTGCATTGCGACAGCGACCATAAAGATCCATTTCTTATAGGAGAACAAGAGTGCAACTCTACTGCCTTGCCCTACATAAACAATTCGTACGACAGCAATTTGACAGACTGTGTCAATTGGAACCAGTACTATACCATGTGTAAAACTAGCGACGTGAATCCATTTCTTGGGTCCATTTCTTTTGATAATATACTGTATGCGTGGGTCGCCATATTCCAGGTGAGTTCTTTTTCTGTGTTCTTGGCTTTCCTTATCCTTTGTCGTTCTAGTTCCTTTTTCTTTCACATTGTAAAGTTGGGCTCTTTGCAGGTGATTCCATGATGACAGTCACCACATACTGAAAAGTTATCAAGAATGCCAATCTAGAGTGTTCATTCAACAGATGGCACTGTTTGCTCAGTATCAAATTGTGTCAAAAGTTGCTGTGCACGTGTAGGCCCTTTCCACGAGCGCTGAAAACAGGGGTTCCTGGCGATAAAATCACATTGATGTCACGATTGCAGAGATATTGTGTCATGTGCAAGTGTATCCCTGTCACTAAATTGCCAGGGTCCCTGTGTGTTCATCGCACGGATCCATACTTACTCCAAAAATTGCACGTGGATGAGAAATCAATGTGATTATCATCGAGATTGGTCTTGTGAATGTAACGTGTGTGATTTTTGCAAGGGCACTGTGCGTTGGAGTCCATTATGCGTGTATGCCATTTCCATGGTTCAAAATGGCGGTTCACAAAAATATGCTGCCTGCTAGTGATAGTCTTGCTGCCATCTGGTCCTGGACATGCCTTAGTACCCCGTTTTTACATAAGAGGGGCGGGAACCAGATCTATGAAGTTCTGGCCTTACTTTTCTATGCAAAGAATAGCCATGAATGTCAAAAAGAAATTGGACTTGATTTTCTTTACCCCATTTCTATTGATCAAGCTAGATATCCTTTGTTTATAAATCAGACACCTATCCCATGTCTAGCATGTTATAAAGCCCCAAAGTGAGTGCTGGCAACAAGGCTATCACTAACCAGCACTGGAAATCATGCCGATAATGTGTCTGAGACCAATGGGCAAAAACATCCAGGACTGTCATGAAATCTCAGAAACAGAAGTGCACAGCTAGGGCAGCCTCTAATGGGCAATTAGTGTTTCATTGTCACTGAATTCCTACACATATGTTTGTGAAAGCTTGTAAAAAAAAAAGGATGCGCACATATGGCAGGAAAATTAGCTCGTACCCTGTAGTTCCGCCGTTCAAAGAATACCACGGTACCAGTGATACAAATGTAAATGCTGCAAAACAAGCAATGTTCGCTAACTTGATTTGATCAAATTGCACACGACCCTTGTGACACACTCAGCACCAACTATCACAGATGTGTGTTTTGTAGCATTCGTGCGAAAGGGCCTTATGCAGTATATTTTGCCATGTCATATACGAGCCATGTAACTTTGGTGGGCTTATCAGTTGAATGTTCAGACAGTTTCACTAGTACACAACGCACCCCCCAATAAAAAGGTTACATGCCAGTGCTCTATGCAAAGTATAAAACCTGGGACTGGTTACCCTGCTCATTTTTTGCTCAATGCAAAAATCTTGTAGGCAATATTTTCTGCTTAATAACTCTGTGAAATGGAACCTTACATGTCATAAGCTTTATCCCGCCAACGATACTCTTGGGAGGCACTGAGCTTACTGTGCCTAATCATGTTGCTTTCATGAAAGGCAAAACCTGACACTTAATACAAATCAGACTGATGCAATAAACAACCCTTCAAAAAGATGGGTTCTCTGACACTCCGGTACTTGACCTCATGTGAAGTTTGTGCCTCGGCCGACATCCATCACTTCCAGTACCCGGGACTGAAATCAAAAACCTAATTACACCCAGCCTTTATATAAATGGGACTTAAGTTTCAGCTTGGATTTGAACAGTTTGGACACGAAATGAATGTGGACTTGAGACTTACAAATGTTTTCCTTACCATGTCATGCCAAGTGACTAAAACCATCCTTGGAGTAAATCTTTAATGAAAAGGAGAATAATTAATTTTGATTGCAGGGTGGTGTGGGTGCTTCTTGAATGGATATATCTACTATTATTGGGGAAAAAAATCTCATAAATGTGTGCAGAAAGAATCTGATTGCATTTGTTATGATACTTCCCATTGTGCTCAAACCCAGTACAACATGCTGCTCAAATATCAAAAGTCATTGGCCAGCTATAAAGAGAAGAATTTACAGAAAAAGGGGACCCCCGTACCTTTGGTTGTTCTCCTTAAACTGTACAACTTTGACACTTTCAGGTAGTTTGTGTACACTCTCTGAATCCTAATCTACCGCTGTGCAATATTCTTTTCTGACTTGGGCTTCAGCATTGGACCCAGACCCTTAATCCTTAGCTACATGTATAAACCTCTGCTACCAGCCTTACACTGTCTGTCTGGACTTAATCACAAATATGACATTTGTTAGTGCAAATTAGCATACGAGCAATGAGTTGCCATGGTGAGGATATAATCTCTTTCATGCATCATTGGTTGTGCATATATGCATGCACCCACTGCATACAGTTGTGCACACTGCACAAATGTGCAAAGTTCAGGGTTAGAAAAATTTCAGAAAACCTCACCAACCAGCTGGGGCCAATTTCTTAGAGCTGCTTAAGCACAAAATTTGCTTAAGCGTGAAAAAACCTTACTTGATAAATCAGGTAACTAGCCAAAATTCCATGTGATGTATACTGTTTTGGGATCGCATTTAGCTGCATTCTGGTTAGCATGACAATCAGATAGAGTTTGAGCTGGTAACCTTTGTTTTAAGCAAAATTTTTTTCCCGCTTAAGCAAATTTTGTGCTTAAGCAGCTCTATGACATTGGCCCCAGCTGACCCCAAGTCGCTTACAGTCTGCATGTGTATAAAGACATTAGGAGCTTAGTGTTTTTCTGTATGTACAACTACATGTACATGTTTGATCTCTGCATTTATTTTCTAGACGTAATGAGACATTATTGGATATGAATATGTGTATAATCTCAGTTTGGTCGCCAAGTTCTTGTGCGTATACAATTTAAAAAATTCTTCTCCAAATGATTTCAATTGCCTAATACTCTCATGGGGAACATCTGTTCTTGGTGGCCAAATTTTACAAAAGTCGTTTGAGTGGGAAAGTGCTTAATACATAAAGCTCGCAAAATGTGGGCCTAAATAATGCAGTATTTTGTAGAATTATTATAATAAGGTACCGAAGAAGTGATCTCATGATATGGACTCTTCTTAATTGAATAGTGCGCAAAGAATTTGGAGGGACGAAGTTACGATAATTTAATTGCAAGGAATAACACACACAACGACTGGATCAGACCCACTCTCTGTGAAGTCAGACCAGGTGTTTCATTTACGTGGGGAGACAATCTAAATGGGAGTGAGTGCCAAAGAAGACGCCTTGGGATAATTACCCTGTGTCATGGACAAAGTAGTCTTTGCAGCGTAATGTATTATGGAGAATCGTTGGACTTTGTCGTGACCTTAACGACTGACCGATTAAGCCAATCAGAGACCAGCTAGCATACAGCTGGCAAACGCTCCATTCCCATCCATAAAGACCATGTTGGCATTCATTGGGTCTGCCACTGGCTACAATCAATAATGCTAATTATTGAGCCGTGATTTCAATTGGTCGCAACGTGAGAAAACATTTGTAAGTCCACTGTCCACATCCAAGCTCTACCATGAAATGATTGGGAATTAAAGTTCGTCCTGGAAAGGGTGAAATGCAATAACTGAATTTGTAATTTCATGAAGAGATTTGAAGAATACAAACTGAGGAGAATTTAACTCCTTAATTCCATAAGGAGGGATTAAATTCAAAGAGAAAATTGCATTGATTCGGGAGAAGAAGTCTTTACCACTTTCTGAACTGACAAATTTAATTTGACTTCACAAGAAATGGACAGAAAGGCAAGAGAAAAGTGGAAACTTTACTGATATCAGTCACTTTTCTTTCTTTTTTTTTTCTTCTTTAGCATTACCGTCTTCAATCATTTTTCACAGGAGTTGTTGAAATTAGTCACACTTCAATCCGAAATTCACATTGTTTAACCAGAATGAAAGTGATTCATTTTAGTCCCATTTCTATTATACAGAAGTTGTTATTGTGGATTTCCTGATCATACTTTTCTTTTTATGAATCCCTGTGGACCTTTGTCCATATGAATCTCTTTTTTTGAGCACCAGTATCCATATTGTGTATGTCTTTTGAATCTCTTAAGTTAAAATTTTGTTTGTGCCCTAATCCACTCCAAGCGGAACAAAAGTAGGTGTATGTTTTTGGTACTCATCGCATAGGCGTCTATGAGGCACGCGTGTACATGCGCATTTGACGCGGAGCACGCTGAGTACGCAGAACTAATTTATTACGGCATGTATGGTCTTTGCGTAAACACAACGCATGCAAGAACCCGCTTGTAACCACCCGTCTTTCTTTCGCCAAATGGGGGCGCACTTCAGCTCGGGATGGATACATGTACTTTCCCTGTACTCTCTGTTTTATAAGAATGGATAAGGTTGAATGTTTGTTTTATTGTCTGAACATTTTCAGGTCAAAAGTCATTTGCAGAACTTTGGTTTTTGAATTCAACATGACACCTGAGAAAGTGAAATCAACTCTTCAATGCAATCATTTTCACACATGTTTACTTTGAAGTTGAATCACTCCAGTAATGTTTATTTCATTTTAATCTCTGAACTTGAATATGTTGATTTGTATTTGCCTTTCTTTTATTTTGTGCTTAAAACTTCTCTTTAGATTTGTGTCCCATCCCTATTTGGTTTTGGGTTACAGTGTGCTTTTATGTGTTTGTATTTGTCTTGTCATTGATAAAAAAAAAGTGGGGCAAGAAATCTGAAGTTTTCCAGCGTTTAACTCGGGGTTTTTTTTGGCCGGTTCAAAAGCAGAATTTTTGATCATGAATTGCTGAAAGAGGATAGTCAGATATGTGTAAAAATAGTAACATAAGCTCTGAATGGGAATATTTTAACCATCCCAGTTTTGCATTTGTGATCCATTCTATCACTCTGTATCCACCCCCCCCCTTGGGCTGTGCTATATTAGGCATTTTGCTAAAGGTCCAGGAAATTTTCTCAAACTCTTAACAAGAGGACGTTCTGAAAAGTCCTGACATGGTGGAGCTGTTTCAGGACCATAAAAATGTGGTTCCTCCTTGTTTGCTTAAGTCATTACTTGTTCCCTTGTCCCATCTGTTTGTTTTTGTTTGTTTGTTTTTTGGTTGGATGTTTCTTGGTGTTCTCTATCAAGCTGTCTGCTTCTCTCACTCCTCTCAGGTTATCACTTTAGAAAGCTGGGTAGAAATACAGTATTATCTGCAAGACGTTCACTCCCAGTGGGTGTGGATCTATTTTATGTTGTTGATTGTTGTAAGTAGATTGACACTTTTCCCCCTTTGGAATGTGGACCGCCTCCCATTTTCTCCCCCCCCCACCCTCCTTCCACTCTCTCGACATCTCATGCATGCCTCAACCAGATTTATAAAAACCAGAAGCTGGTGCCCGGCCTGCATGAGCCTTCATTTGTGTGTGTAACCGGGGAGGGGACCGGCGTACGTAAAACCGAGCTCTGTTCTGAGCTCGGCAGCACCCCGATAATCACATCAGACCCACCATTGTGAAAGCATGCCATTTTGGAGCTCGCTGTCGTCTCTTAACCATACATCATTGGTATTTTTGTATTTTGTTCACATTCCTTTCTGATACCACCCTCTCCCTACGGATTCCCGTTAATGCCGGCCAGGTCATCACCTTAGAGGGCTGGACGGATATCATGTATCATATCCAAGATGTGCATAGTTTTTGGAGTTGGGCGTATTTTTTCGTACTCATTGTAGTAAGTATACATCAACCACCATTCTCTGGGCCTCTCCCAATGATTTTTCATCCGACTTTTTGGACTTTTCTGTTACTCGCTGTTTGCCTCTTTTTTTTTCTTGCTGTACTTGGTAGAGTTTCTTCAAAGTCGCCATATGTCTCCTGCTCCTTGCTGGTTCCCACCAAAGTTCAATTCTGCATATCATTTGCTTTGCTACTTTTACATACAGTGTACATGTCTTCTTTTTTTATGTGTAGATATTTAGGTGTTTTACATCCATCCAGTTCTTTGTTAGTTGTTCTAGAGAATTTCATTCACACATTTCAAATTTGTATTCAGTTGTGTACTTTCAAATTATGTTGCTCTTTCTTGGGGGAGGGCTTCAGGTGTATATCTTCTGTTCCATTAAACTTTTCCTTTAGATAAAATCTATAACCTGCGGTTTGCTACTTGGTCTTGTCAAATTCTGTTGTAAGTATGGGCACTCTACTTAGTGTAAAGATTTTGGGGGGGGGGTTGGAAGTGCTAAAACACATCGAAATTATTTACATGGACAATTCATGCTTGTAGTTTTCTTTGGTGCCTTGGCCTAGTCAAATCAAAGTCCCTGCTTTGCACAAATATTTTTGTATTGGATAACGATCATGTATGGCGAATGTCATGCAGTGCCCATAATGCCAAAAGGCTGTGTAATCCAAAGCCAAGTTTGTGCCCTAATTTTTCTTTGACTGTTCAACATCACACGTCCATCTTGTCCCCCTCCGTCTTGGTGTATTGCAAACTTTAACACACTCTGCACTTTCCACATCTTGACACTTGCTTTCCCTTTTGCAGCACCGCTCACATTAAATTGGGAATGCCATTGGCACAATTAAAAGAAGACTGTTCATAAATCGACACCATCTTCCATAGTGGTCATTCCAGTCACCAAGTACCAAGCCTCCTGTGGCACTTTTCAAAATTGGATTTTATCATTCAACCATTCCTGCGCCTGATCTTGAAATTGTTGTTTGAAAAAAGGGGGGGCAGTTTCTTAACATCTGCCTGCTGTTTGCGGGGCTTTGAGGCCTCTGCTTTTCATGTAACAAGTTCTAACTTCTTCGATCTCGGCTTCTCAGAGAATGGGGCACCAGGGTAGCAAGAACTATGTGCATATTTGCTCCTTACACCTATCACATGTAGCACACTTCCCTTTCATGCAGAAATGGGCTAAGGGCAGTAGCAGATTGTGGGTGACTGCCTTGCTTAGGGACATAGGCCTTGGCATATCTTTAGTCTACACCATGCTTACAAAAAGTCATAGAGAGGTTTTGACACTCTGGTAGATTCTTGGCACAATAGCCCAAACGGCTCTGCTGCTTGCATGCTGGTACGCATTCAGCTGGGTAACATAAGACAAGATTAATGTTACCTACCAAGACGGGTAACAGTGGCCAGAAGACCATTATTTCAGGAAAAGAACCCCGTTCAAAAACAAAGGGAAAACTAGCCCCTCATCCCGGTGGGCTAAGTGTTTTGGGTGCACTGCTGGACACCACGGAAATGAAGTTGGGGCAAACTGTGGCCAACTTGTCTGTCAAACACACACAGTTTGTGTAGCATCCCAAGCTATCCCCCTAGCAATAATGGCGTCATTATTGAAGATCAAACTGCTCAGAAGGTCAAAGTATAACTTCCAAATATCCGTGTTTTCTGATGACCATTTACCCCACAAATGAAATAAAATTAATCCGATATTACACAATTTCTTGAGTGCTGAGAGCTGTTATCAAAATTTTTCAAAAATCAGCAAAATCCTGTAATCACCTTAATATTGGTCGTCATCTCAGTTCAAAATGAAATTGCATAATATCCTTGTTATGTGTTTAGGCTCCTTCTATAGTTGTCCAAGTATGTGGACAACAATAGAAGTGTGTTCTTAGCTCCAGTTTGCTAAGAAGACCTTTATATTTGGCCAATATCAATCAAAATACAACTTTGGCTTAAAATACCTACAGACCAACAGTACCTACTGAAACCAACCTAGTTTTAATGGCACCTAACTCAACCCTGAAACTGTGGGCAGAAGTCATTATACAGTGTGCAAGAGTAGAGTCATAATGCATGAACAGTGGCTGACATGATGCATTGCGTTGACTATTTAACCACTTGCTGCTGGGTAGTTTGAAAAATGCAGTGCACACAAAGGGGACATTTTCAAGATTTTCAGTTTTCAAAGTTCTTCAGAAATTCATTATTTCAATTAATGGACATTTATACCCACACAAATGACTGTCTGGTGGCTACTCTAATCTGACAGACAAAATCTATTGATGCCCAAGTATTTCAGCCAGGCCTGCAGCCTTCAAAAAAGAGCCCAGATTGTGCGATGTTGCGTAACATTGCGCTGCTGACTTCTTTTCAATTGGAGCCAGATTAGTGTGCAGTGGTACATGTACTGTGTGGCTCATCGCTGCGGTGGTGGAGCACTTTTGTCCCCATTGGTAATCCACTCATGCTAAATCCCCCAAACCGTGGTAAACTGTTTCAAAACAAGGCTGGATTATCTCCACTATTGAGAGTGAAAAAATGTTGGTAAATCTCAGCAGCCTGGTCTTTTGTTCCAAGTATGGTCTTTTGTTACAGGGCCCAGTTCTCTTTGTCAGATTTCAGAGACCCTGGCCACCCATATAAAGCATATGTGTCTGGTACCGGAAACCCCGGCAGCAAGTGGTTAACCCCTTCTTTCTGGGGAGCCTGGTTTCGGGCACCGTGCGTTTGTACGGAGAGCCGGGGTGCCCGGTTTTGGACAAAAGAGCCGGTCTGTGTAATAAACCAGACTGTACTCGGAACAAAGGACCTGCTGCTGGGAATTGCCATCATTTTTCAACTTCCATTTTTCGATGGTAATCCGGCACTGTTTTGAAACAGTATACCATTGTTTTGGGCATAGTGCCCCCATGGATTGGCACCGCAGACAAAGGTGCTCCAGGGCCCCATTGATGAGTGACACAGCGCTGCTGCTCGCTAATCCAGTTGCGTATGAAAAGACGCTACTGGCATTCACCGGAACAAAGGAAATTATGCAACATCACACAATTCTGGGCTCTCTTTTACAGGGCTGCAGGCCTGGGCTGAATACTCGGGCATCAAAGAAGGTTGCCTGACAGATTAGAGTATCTACCAGAGAGTCATTCGTATGGGTGTCCACATCCAGTAAATGAACACATGAATTTTTGAAGAATTTTGAAAACTGAAAATCTTGAAAAGGTCCCGCCATTACATCCCACTCAAGAGAAATCCACCCGGCAGATAGTAGTTAAGTCTGTAACATGAACCAGCTGTCCTGTTAAGTTACGCAGTGCCCTCTCTTGTCCATACACGGAGGTTGCAACTCTACTGCATGCATTACTCTCTCACTTGACTTGTGATCTCTCTCACTCATTTGTCACTTATTTCCTGGCTTCCTTTCCTTGTCTCTTCCTTGTATTCAATTTCTCTAACCCTTCTGCTCAATTTAACTACCATGTTGAGAAAACGATGGAAGAGCTTTATCATTGAACGATGTATTTAGTTGTCAAAGAAAACCTTAAATGTGATATTTTGGCATTCTGGAAGAAGATAAATATGAATGAAATGAAACATAAATGGAAACTGTATTGATTTTTGGCATATGCACTGTTGTGAATAATACAAACAATTGAGAATCAATTTATCAAAGGAGTTTAGTTTATGGTAAACTTTGTGTTGCATCTTGGCTTTGCCTTAAAGCAGGAGTTATAAAGACATTTTCCCAGTTACAGTGGAACTTGTACTCTAGAGCATGCTTTGTTCTCTGTTTGCTTTTACAAATTTTATTAGAACAGATCATGACAAATAACCCCTCCCCCCTGTTTGCTTGCAGATTGGTGCCTTCTTCCTGATAAATTTGTGTCTAGTAGTCATAGCAACTCAATTTTCCGAGACAAAGCAAAGAGAGAGCAAGTTGATGGCGGAGCAGCGGAAGCGATTCCGCTCTACCAGCACGCTGGCCAGCAACAGCGAGCCAGGCAGCTGCTACGATGAGATCCTGAAATACATCGGCCACCTGGTGCGGAAGGTCAAGCGGAAGGTCCGGCGCTGGCACAAAGGTATCCGGGGGAAGCGGCAACGCAAAGTGATGCCTGCCATTTCGTTACGCCGCAAAAAGCGCCGGACCAAGTCCGTGCATGTGCACTGCCACCACCACCACCACCACCACCATTACCACTTTGGGAGCAACAGCCCGCAGGCGCCCAGGGCCAGTCCCGAAAACAGTGATATCGGCTCCTCGCCCACCCGACAGAACCGGCTCGTAGTGCCGTCAGCCAATGGTAGCTTAGGACCCAGTGTCGATTCGCTGCACTCTATCACCTATTGCACTGAGAACCTCTCCCGCTTAGAACCCTTACCCAGCCGGTCTCGCTGTAAGTCGTCCCCCCACCACCACGTAGTGACCACCCTGTCCATCCACCGGGCCTCCTCCATCAATTATCCCACCACAAATTCTAAGGATGCCAGGCCCAGCTCCGCCTTGGCCAAACTGACTGCCGAGACAGCACTGAATAGCATGATGGACGTGCCTCCCAATAAGCTCCAAGAACGCTGGAAGGACGTATGTCTGGGTGAAACACTGAATAAATACAGTAAACTACCCCCAGTCAAGAACGGCAATAAAATCAGTGGTAAGTCTCGCCGAAGAAAAAGGCAAATGAAAAAAAAAAGGAAACTTGTAGGAAGACTGCCGAGTCTTCAGAAATTTCACCCGGCATTCCTGGTGAACAAAAGTGCAACTGAAGCCACATTGACTCCTATTGAGACAAATGCGGAAGTTTGTTTCATGTTTAATCATGCTGCTGATGAGTTGGTAACAACAGGCTTCCAGTTGTCTAGTTCCTGCTTGCATCGTCCGGTTTAGTGATAAGTGATGATCATTTTTACAAATGAAAACAAACCAAATTGATACTTTCCCCCTTGAGCGGGCGAGCTGGTGTAAGGACAATCAGTCGAACCTTCCAGTGATTGCATGAGGTAAAATGGCCTGCCCACAGCTTGGCTTCTTATGATTTCATTTTTAGTTTGGCCTCTACCTGTACACTTTGGTGCACACTCAAATGAGAAGAGATATGTAGGATGTAAGATATGTTTCCCGTGCCTGCACTTTCAATTTGGCTGAAGTTGTTCTTTGAATTCTGCATGATGTCTGTTATGCTTTTCAAGACATTGATGTGATCATAGTTTTTGCCTATTTCCCTGAATTCCACAGTGTGCCCAGTAGGCTTGCCAGAACCTCTGTATTTTTCAGTTCAACGGTTCACATGCTCTTTTCACTCCAGGGGATGGCCTTGCTCCTGCAGGCGCTCACCCACCTTTAGCGCAGCGGCTGTCAGCCCCACCCCTCACCCATCCTCCTTCTTCTTACCCCGGGGGCCACCCGCACCTTGCCCCGCCCTCTCCGTGTCTTTCCATCCACTCGGCTGGCTGCCCCGTCCACCAGCCCTGCCCGGTCCACACGCCATGCCGTCCGTCCACCCCATGTCCCTCCCACTCCTCCTGCCCTACCCACTCCCCATGCCCATCCCGCGGGTCGCATACCTGCCCCCATGCCTGCCCAGAAGGCCACAACGATTACGACTGGACAGAGTCAGACTTGGAAAGCGATGAAGACTCCGACGCTGACGATTCCGACTACGAGGAAGAGCAGAAAGGAAACCTCAAGTTTGGTGGATCGGGTTGCAAATCCTTCTACCGCAAGGTGTCCGATAAGATTGGGGAGATCGTGGAGAGTAAATACTTCATGCGCAGTATCCTCATCTGCATCCTCGTCAACACCCTCAGCATGGGTATTGAATTTCACAATCAGGTAAGCACATCATCAGTTTCCCCACATTCTCCCATAGTGCTCACTGTCTACCTTCACTCTCCTCCTACATTTCTCTGACATGTATGTAAGTAAGATACTCCTCACAAGCGATACGTACACACACTGGAACTGTACCAAGTCTAAGGATTTATCCAAAATGTTCCAGCTTTAGCCAGGAGTACTGTGCATGAATTTCAGTTGTATAGAACACGGCTGAAGGTAATATGAATAACAGCTTCATGTTTTGCTCTGCTATGAAATTAACACATCTACATTTGAACTTACGAAAAACAAATTATTATAACTGACCATTATAATAAGACTGTGGTGTTTAATTCTGTTAAATCAAAAATGAAGTTGTCTGTGGGGTTACATGTATTTATTTTTACTTAGCTCTACAAATACGAGCTTAAAGTTAAGAACTTTCTTATTTGAATGCCACAAACGGGCCTTCCATCTCAGTCACAATATTGATCTGAAAATTATCGGTAAACTAACTACGGGAGCACCAGCACCCAAAGGATGTGGGGGGGGGGGAGCAATCGATATCCATTGATGGAAAGAGCGGCGATTCTGATGTCTTGAAAGGGCAGCGCACATGTATGGAAATGTTTGCACTGAGAGCAGGCAGCCTGAGTGAGCACTTCTCTCCTCAAATGGAGACGCGGAGGCAGCGAGTGCAATTGAAATTTAATTGGCTCACGACATGGCTACACATGTGCATGTTCTACCATTAGGGTGTGTAACGGGTGTGTTTATTCGTTCTGGTTATGGCTGATTGGGCCATCTGCAATTCCTATTGTGCTTGTTTCCTGTCGGATGAAAGCAATATGGATAGGTCATCAGTTTGTGTGGTTATCTTTACATACATGTACTTCAGGGTGCATGGTCATCTATATTTCATAGCCTGGTGTACATACTGGGCATACATATGTTTAAAAAAGCCAGCCCATGCTGTCTGTCACCTCGTAAGCAGATTGTTGCTAGTTCGAAATATAGGCTCCTTTCTCATTCACTGACGGAGAATGGGAAGTTACTGGATGACAGTTATCAGGGAACATAGAGGAAATTATCCCATTATTGTGTGCGTGTCATGAATATGCATGATTTAGTTTTGCTTCAACCAATAGCTTGTGTAGAACTCGTCCGAGCGCATTCTCAATCCTGCCCTCCCATCTCAGCAGTGTCTTCTGAATGTGATGGATCCGTTGGCAGTGCTGTCAATCCATCATTGAATGTTAAACATTCAACTTGTTTCGAATTTTCTATACGGGGAAATCCCAGGGTCTGTTCCTCATCAGCAATTCAGTTTGACAGGTGGCAGCCACGTTGCAACTGACAATGCATCATGTCCCTCGTGTAACAACGATACAGCAGTTGTTTGTATTGTCTCTCGAAACACGTGAAAAATGCATTCGTATTATATTGGCCATACTCTGTGACCTTGCAAGAAAAGACTGCACTTGCAGATGGATGTGACATCGCTTCCGTCTTGATCTCTTTAGCGAGAGTGAACTTCAAATTGCCTCCAAATGATAGTATGTGAGATGGAGCACTGGGTGTTTTGGACAAGACCTCTTGTTGTTTGCACTGAGGTCTTTCCCTGTGTTACACGCACAAGTCCGTTTTCTGGTAAATAGAGTCTTCTTGGGTTTCATCGCTCATATAGATGCCTGTTTGTCAAGAAGTGTGAATTCCTACAATGGCATCCCACGAAGGCAAGATGTAATAACATGCTTTCTAGTGTGTTTGCCAACACTCAGTCCATATAAAATGGTGCACAAGTTAGTCCATTCTTAATTGCGTTGGTAACTTGTGAATATCTTGTGCAGTGCCCTGGGCCATTAGGGTGATTTGAAAGTACATGGATGTTTTGTTGAAATTTTAGCATTTGAATGTTATACTTTCAGGAACACAACGCATTTCTGCGCATAATTTGTCGCATGAAACCTGTTGCTGTTTTGCCCACGACCAAATCTAGGTGATTCAGTGTCAACACAAAAGCACGAATGGGCAAGTTCAGGTGCGAACTATCCGCTCCGAGTGGAACAAAAGAGGTTGTGGTTTTTTGGTACTAACCGCATAACCGCGCGTTTATGATGGAGGAGAGATCAGTGGTGCATTTGCCACGGAGTACACACGACAGATTTATTCCAGAATGTAGGGTCTTTATATACGACCCGCTTGGAAAACTTACCACCATCTGTCTTTCTTTTGCTACTTTGGGGTGCGCTTCAATTTGGAGCGGATGGTCCGACCAGTTGTCGATTGCTTATTAACAATGCGCATGTGCAATTCAATTACGCTCGAATGACCCTCGTTGTTGCTCACATTTCACCATTAGTGTACATGGTAATTGAAATCTCATACAGTTATTTTCATGTGAATGGTTCCTTCTGCAATGATAAATGAAATAGGCTATTGATCACCAGCCGTGCAACCAGAGCCTGGTCCGATAGTTGGTCCCATCCATCCATCGTTCAGGCAGTATTAGTCAAACTATAGTTAAGTATAGTCATCACTCGAACTTGCTATATAAATGTACTGTAATGAAAACCAGTGACATAACCGGTATTATCACTTCATATTCACAACAGTTGAATGCAAGTCAACTCTGTTCATGCCAAATGTGAATTGACTTTCAAATTAGCACTACATAGTCTGCTTCTCATGAGGATTACTGTGCTAATACTTTTTTTACCGGAAAGAGCTTTGGTTCCTTGAACAGGGATACACATGAATGAAGAATGAATGAAACATTTATTTCAATGCTGTCATTCTTTACAATAAGCAAACATGATTCACAAGTACTGAGTACATGGCCATTTACTTGAGCAACATTACATAATGTATCATTTTTATATCAAATAAATATGATTTAAGAATATGAGCCCAGCAACTGAGTTGTTAGATTTCTAGCAAACACAGATAAAGAAGTAATGATTTGAGAGAGCCCATTCCAGTACAATGTACCTTGATGAATAACATCGTTCTTGGCCAGTGACGTTCTGTTCAATTCGACAAATGAGTTTCCCTTCATGCTGCTATGAGTATTATAATTATGGATGTTAGACACTAAATTAAAACAAGAGTTCAAACTAGAAGGGAGTAAATTGTGCATAACTTTGTACATGAATTTTCCCAGATTAAGTTTGTATAAATGGTTACATTGCAACAGGTTTAGTTTAGCAAATAACGGAGCAGAATGGTCGCGATAGCCAGCATGCAAAATGATGCAGACAGCTCGTTTTTGTAAAGTAAGTACATGGGTAGACCTTTTGTACTATCCCTCCATAACAAAAGCAGTTACCTGAAAGGTGGCTGACATCAACAATCTCTTTACTCCTTATACCACACAAACCTGCCTGTCCCCTTCCATGCTTATCGAAAATCTAGTCATCAATTATGGCTCGGTAGCCTAGACAACAGAACACTGTTGCTAAACGCACACAACTACCATCCGCAGCCCCATTGCTCTTCCGCCGGCGTGCACCCCTGAAGCGGTTGTCTATTCTACTTGACCTCCTACCTGCGTTAATTGGAGCGCATCATTATTGCAGACTCGATGTTTGCTTTCGCCAGCCGCGCATCCCGCACGTTGATCTTTGATCTGAGGCAAGGCTACGCAACCCGTGATTACGCTCGTGTGGAGCAAGATTGTCTGGACATGGAAGATTACCAAGCTCCCAGGGATACAAGCACATCATTTCATGTTGCATGTATATTTAAATAATTGTTTTATCCAGCAGGATCCAGGGACTACATTTTGCTTTCCCTCCTTTAAAAAAAAAAGGAATTACAAAAAAGGTCTGCTTTTCACAGACCAAAGCTACTTAAAAAGTCCCAAAGCCTCCGATTTCAATATGATTTTTATGTTCTCCCAGGGGTTTTTGCGTTCCTGCCTGGATACAAGTCTTGATACATGTACTTTAATATTTCGAACGAGCCAAGCCAAGATTTCACATCAATTTCAGTAGAGCAGTTGAATGAAAATACCAGAAGAGTAACATATGGACAGAGCACTTGTATCATATGATATTGGCTCCATGCTTGAACAATGCAAAACAATTTCTGTGCCTTTTTTTTCTTTTAATTAATTACTGATTTCATTGAGAGGACACACTCCATGTGCCTGACTAGTGTCTCAGCATGGACACACTGCTCAGACATGAATCAGGCCCATGAACTATGCAATTTTGAGTAACTTCACTAATCTGTAACATAGTTGTGTTAAAGGTTCAGTCCATCATTTGTCCTTTGTGCATCATTTTTCTTTGAGGCAACAAAATTACTCAAAATCTAAAGAGGGATGCATAAGAACAAACCTGATAACGTCTGAGCACAGTGGATACTGTGTATTTCGAGCAAAACAATATTCTAGGGTTTCAATTTCAGATCAATAGTTGCCGATTCATGTTTTGACTTGCATCTAAATTTAGTATCTGGGACATTCTCTTTTGTCTTAGTAAGAAGCAGCCCCGTGATTTCCCGCACTGAACCAACAAGTCCAAGTAACCCCGTTGTGTGTCGTGGCAATGCTTGCACCTGCTTCCAGCGGCAATTTTTCAAAATGCATCTTTGGACGCATCTTTAAAATGACCCTTTCTCATTTTCTTTTCAAAATAACAGCTTATCAGAGTTAAAATTTCATGGGGAGTTTAGTTCCAAAACTATCTTGTATGCATTTCCAACAATAGTTTTGTTTTCAGTGTTTTTGTTTTGATAACTGCAAATGATGGAAAGTACCTTTATTATTTCGCACATGGATCACATGGAATTCAGTTGTCCTTCCAGTCTCTCTGTCATCAGTGACGGGGCACTTGTACACTAAGTTGAAGGAGTATTATACCGGAGGGAAAAAAATACTGGCACTGTGGACAATTCAAGGGCTGCATTAACAGAAGACCTTCAAATTGGTTACTCGATGAATATTTCTAGGACTGTCGATGGTACGAGCCATTAAGAATGTCAACCAGGTTTGTTTTAATCATTCATTCTACCGTTGGCGGTGCAGATGTCTGCCATGTATCATTGAAGTATTTAGTCATCAATTATCCTCAGCGAACACTTTTTAGTACAAGTTCTTCATTGAATAATTTTTACTTAACTAATGACATAATGGTTATTCTTGCAGCTATTCGAGCCATATGGCTCCATAATCCAACAGTACAACGTAGCCGTGATATGTCCCTTGCGGATAGATTTAATGAGTTACAAATCCATTCAGTTGTACTTTGGTTAAGAGTCTTCTTTTTTTATGAGTGTGTTACATAAATGTTGAAAGCATCGTTACTGTGATACAGATCCCTCGGAATCTAGGACAAGGTAATTGGCTTGCACAATTGAAGTTTGTAGAAATTGTAGTTGGCACTTTTGGTTATAAAAGAACGCTGTTAGTTTAATCCGCACTTCGTTGTGTTTTTGTTTGTCTATTTTTGGATTACTAGTTTTGTTTTTCTATATAAGTTGATATGGCAACATCTTTAAAGCTACTCTTGTCAACTGACTTTCCTACAAGAAAAAAAAAAGCAGTGAGGAGTTGTGTCGCAAAAGTATTTTCCATTTCAGGTCTCACTAAATTCAGTCTCAGTGCTGTTTTACATTTGTCTCGTGTATTAGTTGTTACAATAATTTTACTGACAGTACATGGAGAGGTGTTTCTGTCAGTTCCAGCCTTTCTCGCAGAGCTTACTCGAGGAAGTTAGAAGACACCGGCTGAAAATTACATAAGACATTCACAAAGTTTGAATCAGTTTTTAGTTTGTTGCCAATGTTGCTCATCCCTACAGCAAACACCTATAAATACTGTAAGATTTCTGTCCAAGACTGGATTCTGCCTTGAAAGGTATCTGTTTTTCCCATTCTGACTTGAAAGGTATCTGTTTTTCCTGTTGAATGTAAACTCATTAACAGTAGAATGGTTGACAGAAGGGGCAAGAAAAGTTATTTTAAGGTTTTACTGACCTTGCTGTGTGGGCTTGGCATTGCTGGGAAAAAAAGGAGAAAAAACTTCTTGTTTAAAATTGCTTCTGAGCCAAAAACGCATTATTTCAACATCTAGTAGAAAATATGAGTCTAAGTGTCAAATTGGCGTAAGTTAATGGATTCCTGCTTTTTACATTTACATTAAATTGATTTTAGCATTGTTCGGGAATTATGGCAAAATGAAATTTGATCCCCCAAAATAACTTTCAGAGTATCTCTCTAATTTTTTTTAACTGTTTCACTCACCTTGGGTCTTTTTTGTCCTATGTGTGAAATATCTCATCGGAAAGCTCTGAACTTCTGTACTGCTTGTAGATTTGCATTTCCATGTGAAAATTGAGCTATCAGCCAAGAAGCGAAGGCAGCCATGAACTTTCAGTTTGTACTCAAGATTAAGAACTTCCAGTTTGTACTCAAGATTAAGAAAATCTGACCCCAAACATACAAATTGTATTAGTCAGTCTAAATGCTTAGTAAACAATGAAATTAACGTTTTTAACAGATCAGTTAAAAGGATTGAGTACTTTTGTGACTTGAAACTAATTATTATTAATAATTTATCACAACAGAGATTTCTATTAGATTTTATGTCTTAGGAGAGTGGATTATGTGTCTTTGATTTCAGTGGTAATATGAGAAATGCCTTGGATAGTGCTTCTACTTTTTAGCCACCTGTCAATCGGATGGTTGTTTGTTTCCTCTGTCTGAGTGAGTGATTGTATTCTTCTTTGCAAGCTCTCAACGCTTCGGCAGCACTGAGGCCCTTAATGCCAGGCCTGTCTGATCGAGCATTCATGCCCCAGGCTGGCGAGAGTCTTTCCTGTCGCGCCGCTTTCAGTGGCCGAGAGTGCCCTATTAGGTGACGTGAGCCTCTCGCGTGGCACACTTTAGCGTGTTGTGATGCTCGAGTTGCCCACCCTCCCAGACCAAAAAAAACAGAACAACTTATCAACAACTTATGCAATCATCATTCGGTCAATTACATCAGTTCTACTTCCCATTTTTGTAAACATCTTTGTGTGATGCAGTGACAAAAGCATTTGTATGCACTGAGGAGAGAAATTTTGGTTTCCCTTTAAAGTAGATTTCATTGAGCGTAATTGGACATCAAGATGGGTTCACCTTAAAAGTCAAGTGTTCTAAAACATTCTCTCCATCAATGTCTAGAATAAAGTTTGATGAAAGACAGGTTTGAAACGATTCTCAACAAATTACATTTTCCCAGACAGTATTTATTAATCTGTTGCACCCTAGACATACTGCAACAAACAACCTAAACATTTTTTTTTTTGGATAGAGGATGTTTAACAATGTGCACTTATCCATCAGTACGAGTGCTCAAGGTGCTGCATATTTTAGCAGTAGGGCCTGTGGTGTGACGAGTGTACAGGCTCATACTGCTCCAGGGGTCAATTTCATAGAGCTGCTTAAAGCACAAAATTTGCTCAAATGTAAAAAAAACCTTGCTCAACAAATCAGGTTACCAGCCAAAACTCCATGTGATGCAAACTGTTTTGGAATGGAATTCACCTGTCTTTTAGTAAGCATGACAATCACACATTTTGAACGGGTAACCTTTGTTTATTGAGCAAGTTTGTTTGTGCTTAAGCAAATTCTGTGCTTAAGCAGCTCTGTTAAATTGGCCCGAGGTTGTGATTGTCTTTAAATCCCGGGAGAGATGTTTCTGTTGTCGCCAGTTTGACACACCTGACTTGTAGTCTTTTACACTTCAATTATTCAGAAATGGCCTGTGGGTCAGGCGCAATGAAGGGACTGCACTTCTCCTTTTTATGATGGTTCCTTGCCATGTTAATAGAACTCTTAGCCCTACATAGTACTAGCTGCAAGGGGTCTATAGGTTTTCAGGGTTGCATTCATGCAAAGAAATGTAACTGTCGGAGGCTATCCAATAATGTGGCTTGAAGAATACACAAGAGACATCAACTAGAGTAAGACAGCATCTCCATGTTATGGCTGTGGCTTGATATAACATGGTCACCTATGCGAGCCAGTGGCTAGCAGACGTAGCCACTTCTCATAGAGGCATGTGCTACTCTTAGCCACAGTCAGTTGATGCAGACACTCAACTCTGGATCGTCACCCCCTGGTCCCCTATTACTATATGGTGGATAGGGTCACTGTGGTACAAGCTTTAACATGCGACGCATGATTTCACCCACTTTGCTAAAAAGCTCCAGGTTGTTTACTCCTGTTTATTTGTCTCCACACTCCTGCAGCCGGATGAGTTGACAGAAGCCCTGGAGATCAGCAATCGCATCTTCACCAGCCTGTTCGCCCTCGAGATGCTGCTGAAGCTGATGGCCTATGGCTTTGTAGGTTACATCCGGAATGGGTTCAACGTCTTTGATGGGATCATTGTCATTGTGAGGTGAGAGAACCCAGTCAGTTGTTGATGTATAATTAATATCATTTCCGTATTACATGTCCTTCATACTGTCACCTTAGCCCAGTGTACCAGTACATCAGCTCTGTTTTCACCAAGAGACTAGCATGCCCGAGTTCAATTCACATCCTGCCTCTCAAGTTTAACACACTTGTCCCTCTGTTCAACTGTGCTACTTCTTTGATAATGAGCAGACTGGAGCACAGATGAAACTTGTGACATCATTGACATAAACGTTGCAGACACATTAAGGCTCAGGTGATGTTTCTTGCATCTTGCAAGGTGTAAAATTTCACACTGAAGTTGGGTTTGTAGAAGGGCGAACTGATTGAGCACAGAGCTAGGGTTTGAGCATCTAATGATCTTTCAGAGCAGTAGCTTACCGTGTACCTAACAAAAATTTCACATTGTCTTGTCAGCAAATAAAACATGTAGAAAGTTTCAGAAGGATTGAAAAGAAAAGACAAAGGCTCAAACGCAAAGATAAAGTTAAGTCATAAAGAGCAGTATCCCCTTGAGCAGAAGCACCCCCTCGTCGGTTGAAAAGAGCCATGTTGGTGGGGAGTATTCATTTTGTTTGTAGTGACACGACCGCAACCCTATAACCTCGGTGTCTTTTATTTCGCAGTGTGGTTGAGATAGTACAACAGGGCGGTGGGGGTCTGTCGGTGCTGCGAACGTTCCGCCTGCTGCGGATCCTCAAGCTGGTACGCTTCATGCCGGCCTTACGACGTCAGCTGCTGATCATGCTCAAGACCATGGACAATGTTGCCACGTTCTTCTCTCTTCTCTCACTGTTTATTTTCATCTTCAGGTAAACAGAAAGTGAAAGTTTCCAATGCAGTGTGAAACTATTTTAATTTTGGATGATTTTGTTGAAGGTTATTGTCACTTAGTGGTGATGCTGTCAGTTCTGAGCTATCTCCATTCTCTTTGGTTGACTTTTGAACTACAATGTACCTTGATGTAATTTCTCTGCAGAAATGGAAAGGTGACTTGTCTAGATGTGATTTTGGTCAGGATTATCCAATATCTCATCCACACAACCAAAATCACATCCGTATCAGAAATAACATCCAGGATTTTGTCATTAGAGTCAAACATTACATCCTGTGTGAGCGCCTTTTCAAAATCACATCCACTGTCTTGCCGTTTAACCAAAATCACATCTATCCTGGTTGTGACATATCCGGCCAAGACTGGATTTTAGATTATGTCTGCCAGTGTCATTCCATGCGGTGGAAATGTTTCCAACACTTGCCTGGTTACAGCATCCAAAACACTTAAAAATTCCAAAGAGTTCGGTGCCCCATTCACCATCATTTTCTGTCTGTAATACTACCATGCCTGGTGGTGTGTCGGAGCCTTGTTGGTGATTGCACCAACACAAATTCCGATGTTTGTGACTTACTTGGAAAATTTATACAGCCCTGAAGTGGTCCTCGTGTTTCTGTTTGTTCATTGATTATAATATAAAAAGCAGCCGCCATTGACATTTTTGCATAGATCATGTAAACATTTACATAGGAGCTACATTCGGGGTCATAATTTTAACAGAAAATCTCCTTACCGCAAATGCACCCCCATCAGGTGTCAGAAAATGACACAGACATTGTAAAATGTAGAAATAAGATGCTTTCAAGACATACCACTAACCACAAGATCCCAATTTATGACGTGCTTGAAATGTGTTGAAGCACAGAATTGATTTCATGACCCCTTTAAAGTTGACAGGATGCCAGCTAGTATCTCTTAATGCATTACTGCTGATTGTTGACAGCAGCCTGCTGAAGACCTAAGTGTACTTTTTCATCAGTTTCCCAATTCACACTTGGACAACAGCATCATCAAAGTGGTAACACATTTCTGTTCCCCTGGTACCCGAGCGGTTACATGCGTCGGTAACATGAGACACACGGCTTCCTGTGTGATGTCTGTGTCCCTGTGACGCATGTTACCATGTGCTGAACAGCATTATTGATCAGGTTTTTTCCTGAAGACAGTTCCAGGCCGCCACTAAGCAGGAAAAAGTTAACTAAGCAAATTTCTGCATTAACCGCCAAACAGCTGGCGTCAGCCACAAGCAGTACACGCTGCATTACATTTTGGCTGTCAGGCCAAAATCTGTACTCCGTGCACTTTATGATTGAAATTGGCCCTAAAATGATCAGGGCAAACCAACATAAAGTTGTTCTTCCCCCTAGATCTTCTCACAACCAACCTTTTCACCTCAACACGGACATTCACTTGATACCAACTGCAGTTGTACCATAGTGTTGTGATCACTGTGGGAATCATGAGAGAGAATCAAAGAGCCATGTTGGTGGGGACTGTTCATTTTGTTGGTAGTGATGCGACTGTGTTACTTGTATTGCATAGCCATTTGTTAACCAGCAAAGTGCAGTTCCCACCAAAACCGGGAACTTCCATTGCTAGGAAAATTGCGCCCTCTCTTGGTCCCATCCGGGGTCCATACATGCAGTTTGACCCCTTTTACTGTGCTTACGTATGTGAATTCTCTTATTCTCACAGCATTCTGGGCATGCATTTGTTTGGCTGCAACTTCTGTAGATATGTGGACGGTGTGAAGGTGTGCGACAGGAAGAACTTTGACAATCTGCTCTGGGCGCTTGTCACAGTGTTCCAAGTAAGTTCAATACTAACTTAACCAGGTGTCCTCTCCTGTTGTCAGTTATCAGCACATCAATACCCCAGAATTTCAGTGCCATTTTCAGCAAATGTGTCGATGTAGGGCACACTTCAAAAGTCATGGCATCAGACAGAGGATGCATTTGAGAAGTAGCTTTTAATTTCCACAATTTCTTTAACTTCTGCTTGCAGCAATATTGGTGGGGGAAACACCAGTGACTGCGAATGTATGAATTCATTTTATTGGCTCTCTCCGAGAGAGAGAGTCCCTCTTAATTTACCTTTATGACGTTTTCAGTGTGCACATGAGCTGTGATCATTTGGTTTAACCATAAGCATTACCCGGAGGAACAGTGCTTTGTCCATAAACTCAATATTGAAGGAAGTCTGGGCTAGCTAAGATGAGTTTGTGAATGCGTCTACCTGTATTGCTAATTGTCTCAATGAGTCATGTATATCAGCCTGTTTAAGCGCTGCTTTGCCTATTAAACTGTGGTGCTTTAGGTGTGGTTTGTAATGTGCAAAATTCAATCAAATTAGATCGCAGTCACGAGCAGTCTGATTGTACCTAACATGGAAAGAGGCTCTAAACGCCTGAGTTGGGTTCTTAAAGCTGACTACTACAAGTTAAGCTGCCTCTATATGCAGTAAGCAGTAAAGCATGACACAGGAAAAAAACCAACACTGAACATGTTTGTGTTGGAGCCCGAACAGTATCATTCCATAAGCTCACTGTGCAGCACCGGGGCACACATGAGGCTGTTGATGACTAGCCGCACAGGATGTGACATCATGTAACCTCCCCCAGTTGCCACAGCAACAGAGCAGCATCTGAGTCAAATGCCAACCTGATGGGAGCAATTGCCTCTCCCCGATGTTCAGCTGACGGCAGAGTAGATGTTCATTATTCCTGCATTTGTAGAATTCCGCCCGGGGGCCACTCTCACTAAATAGAGTGTTTTTAAGCAGATTTTGCCAAATGATTTGAGAAGTGTTTTTAGCAGGAACATTTAAAGGAAACATTCAGCGGACCTCCAGCTCAGTTTTGTTTTTATGAGCATTACTGTGTGTGACAACAATACAAACAAGATATTAAAGCTTCTTTTTATTTAAGAAGGTGGTTGCTTTTCATTCTCAAAAAACCCTTTCATCGGTAAATATTTAGAGGGTGCTATTTTTCCTTGTCAGACAAGGCACTACTTGTCAAAAGAGCTTATAAAGAAGTCCCTCAGAATTACCTCCCAACAAAGTTTTGAAGAAACATTGGCCATTACTATTGTCAAATCAAGGTACCTAACTCTACAATCAAGTAAAAAATCAAACTTACTCCAAGAAAATGTATTATTTTCACACAGAGCTATGGAGCCATTTTTACTCTTGCCTCAGATGACATCACTGCTTTTGCTCATGAATGTGGGAATGTTTGTTAGCAATTTGAAGTTTTTCCCTTTGACTGCCGCAAAGGAGATGCAAGAAAGCTTCCCTACATGTATTCAAATCACAAAAATCCTATTTTTTTGTCTCCTTTTAGTAGAAATGGAGGGAGAGACTCATTTTGTACACTTCTTTAAAGTTGAAGTACCACGTTTTTCCTTCCTCCAATTTTGGCTTTTTCATTATCAGCATCAGATATCTCTTTAATCTAGTGTCTGTTTAAATGCCTAGCTAATCATGGTAGTTTCTATAATTGTTGGAGGGGGATGGGTAAAGATGCTCTTCCTGCGTGATATGTTTCTACATCAGAGTAAAGCACTTCCACAGTTATTGATGAAGTAATTGTCGGCTATGAAAACATGTAAGGCCCTCTTCTTGATCAAGGGAGGATCCCAGGGGGCATGGGGTGATGCACGCCCCCCCTTTTTTCCACCCCAAAAAAGAAGTGAATAAATGAAAAGAGAAGAAAACGAGGGAGGGGAAAGAAATGAAGAGGGCGGGACCAAGCTCCATAAATGTAATGTGTCAGAGGCGTAAAAACAACAGTTCTGCTTCGGGTTACCCAACCTCCCCAATTTTACGGCAGTGAACCCTGAAATGTTTAGTTCGCACCTCCCCTTTTGGAAAATCCTGGATCCGTCCCTGCTGATGGGCTGCCCAATGTTTCATGTGAAATTCCACTCAAACTGCATTGAATGTGCACCTCAGCCACCTGAATGCACCTGTGTGGTTAGGAGAGACTTTTGTTTGCTTGGAAGGCATGGCTAAGGAAAGCAAACCAATGTCCATTGATATATAATGCAGGGAGTGATTGTCTTAAAGTTGTACTGATTATTATCACCAGTAGGCAAGGATGAATCGGGGACAGGAGGAGGGCAACAGGGGCCATGCCCCCTTCCCCTCCCCCCCAAATTTTGTTTTCTTTTGAAAATGATCAAAGGGAGACACATTTTTGGTCTGTTTCATTTCCCTTCCTTGAAAAAGCATGTCAAAACCCCAAAGTGTAGCATTACTTCTCAGAAAGGCCATAAAAAGTTACTTGGACAAATTTCCCAATTGTCCCCCACCCCAAAAAAAGGGTTTGCTCCCCCTTCCCCTTGAAAGGTTGGTTTTGGATTTGTCCTTGTTAGTAGAACCGGTCTCAACATACATATAGCCTGCCACAGATGGATATGTTCACCAGTCCCTATTATGAGAAGAAGAGTGCCACTTTTGAACGATTACCGTGATCTGGCAATTTCCTTCCCTCAGATTCTCACGCAGGAAGATTGGAACATTGTCCTGTACAACGGCATGCACAACAACTCGGCCTGGGCGGCCCTGTACTTCATCGCCCTGATGACGTTTGGTAACTATGTGCTCTTCAACCTCCTGGTGGCCATCCTAGTGGAGGGCTTTGCGGCAGAGGTGAGATAGCAGTCTTGCGTTTTTTTTTAACAAGATGTTTCATCCTTCCTTAAGCACCCTCCGCAAATAAGTAGTAATATAAAACAACACTTAATGACCGCTTCATGAAAAGTAAATCTAATGCTCAGGATAGGTTGTGTGCGTGTCAAGAGTAATAGTTTGACCCTTTCCCTGAAGCTGTCGTTCGGACTGAAATAGTTTGACATTGCAATGATATACTACCTTGGCAAAAATCATCAAACGTAGAGGTAGTGCTGCGTCAGTGTCATTTCCTAAGGGAAATATGATAGCGTTCTGGTGATAAACCCCTTTGCATACTATTGACCTTTGACACGTTCCATCCAGTCTTCGTGACACCTTTTGTAACGTGGGAAAACTGCAGGTGCGCACCTTATACTGAAATCTAAAAATGGCACACTCATTGAGGGATTAGAGTAGGGGCATGTTTGTTCACGCAACGGCAAGATCCGGCTCAAGCAGAACCGACGAAAAAATGAACTGAACAAATTGTTTGGTCTTTCCCTAAGCTTGCTTTGTTTGAGGACATCAATGGCACAAACCATGCACACAATTAGTTGGTGTGATCTGCCGACAGTTTTAGGGAAAATGGTATTTCTGTAACTTTTTCCACTTTTAGTTCAGCAGTTTTTCAACTAACATGCTACGGAAAAAAAGTAGATATTATTTATTGTTCAAAATTGAATGGGAAAAGGTAGTGACAATTTTACAAACTCCCGCAATGGCATCTTATGCCCAGAGTAACATATCAAACTGAATTTGCTGGATTTCTAGTTGCCTCATTTTTTAAAAATGGCATCATGTCATCACTTGAAAACATGACAGTGATTACAGCAATAGGCATTGTAAATAAATTTACAGTGTAACAAGTCTTCTTCATTCCAAAAAAAAGTTAAAAAATATTCCTGTTTTTTTATTTGAAATCAGAACTTTCATCACTCGGTGTCTGTAAATTTTATCTTGAACACCACATCACTACATCTTTTCAAATGAAAAAAAAATGCTCAGGTCAATCCTGTAGACAGACTGGTGAAAGTTAAGCATGTCTTATCATATAATCTGCCCTGAGCAAAAGCACCCCCTCATTGATTGAAAAGAGTTATGTTGGTCGGGAGTGGTCATTTTATTGGTAGCAATGCCACTGCAACCCTTGTGCTTCATAGTCCTTTGTGAACCAGTGATGCACAGTTCCTACCTAAGGAGCCTCCATTGCTAAGAAAATAGTGCCCTCTCTTGGTCCAGCTCGGGTTTCATACAGGGAATAGACCAAGAAATGTTCATTTGTGAACATCCTTCCCAACATTATTTGACTGACAGATTTCAGTTCTGTGGCTTTACCTTGATTTGGAAGAGCATGTTCTACACCAGTAGGAAAGTTCAGTTCTTTGAGCTAGGTCAACAAAAGCTCTTTAAAAGTTTCTCTTTCCACATACATGTAAGGAATCAATCAAGATAAAACAACACAAGCCTAAACATTTCCTTCAGAACAATACATTTTTGCGGTGCTGTTCCAGCCCAATATAGCCATACTTCAGCCCTCATCAAGTCACGTCTGGACTGTGAAGGAGTGTGCATTCAAGATCCTTTGAAAGCACAAATAACTGTCTTTATTCCCCTCCTTGATTGCACAAATCCTCCCTTGACTTCAAAAATAGAAGTCCCAAACAGGAAGATTAGGCACAGCTTTAGCTCAATTTGGCCATTTCAAAAGCAATTGTCTCTTGAAATCCTCCCCCACGTTTTCCCCGGAGCATCAACATGGAGAAATATTTGCTCAGACTTTGTAAATGTTAAGCTCTGTATTAATTGAGGTGGTTATTTTTTAAATCTTGTTTTTATCTCCTGATTTCTACCCACATGTTCATTTTATTCCTTTGAAGGTGGGGGATTAGTTTTTAGAGTTCAAGTTTAGTAATATTTGTAAAAAAAAATTTTTTTAAAGTGAAGTTGTAACTGTCTTGATCAAACATGAATTACACACTAGTTCAAACGAGATTATTCACATAACTTCAGCTAGGAATTTCTCAGCAGGCCACATTTTCATGTGGTTTCTTTGATTTCCCGTTGGAGAGACCTTTACATAGAACATCCAATAAATTCGCCCACATGCACAAGAATAAGGCACATATTGAAATTCAATAGTTCATGTTCTAATCCTGCTTTTCTCCAGCATGTTAGTCGCATATTTGCCCAAACAATTTCAAATTCCTACCCAGAGCTATAGGAACACGGAGCACTCCCCTCCCCTCCCCCCCCCCACCTTGGCTGAGCCAGTCTCCATCAAAGCCCCACTGTGCCAAGCCTCAAGTCTGAGCAAACACATCCTTCCATCCAGCACTCGAGAAAATCCAGCTCCTCTACCTTTTCAATAATGCAAAAAGTGCAAGCCACTAAACCAATGCGTGGTAATTACTCCAGGGAGCAGTGAAGACATCCCTCTCAAATCTTTCATGTTTCTCAAGCTCATATTTTTTTTTACCTTGTCTTTCTCTCTCAATTTATTTTTATATTTTTGTTACTGTCTTTTTATAATCCTTTCATTTTCTGATTTGACTTGCCCATTCATATTTCAAGGCTGTGTGGGGATGCAGAGTGCCATTTCAGAAAGTAAAATGTCAGGTGTCAGCCATATTTTTACACAGCCCCAAGGATGTTCATTTTCTCATTATCATGCCGACAAAAGCTTACGCATTTAAGACTGCACATCAGCACCAATTAGAATTCCTAGTTATGCAAGCCCAGACATTTCTCCAAGCAGCATGACCACAACACCACATTTATTGTTGTTGTTTTTGTTTTGTTAACCAGCTCCTTGAAAACTTTCTAAGGTATAAGCAAAATGTTATGTTTGAGACGAACAACTTGTAAATTTGCATTTCTAGTTGAAGATAGCCTGAGCACACTGATTAAAATCCAAAGCGAAAGAATCAGATTTTTTTTCAGTATCCTGGGTTCCTTTTAGAGCCATATCACTGTAAAAGAAGAGATTATTTTATTGTGTCACAAACAATTTCTCATTAATTTAATAACATAAACCCTTCCTGACCTGAATTACATGTAAAATACTTACTTCAGGATACTTTGTCAGGGATTTATTTATTTCATTAATTATTACCATCTTCACTATGATTCACTACGTTAGGAAACTTTTATGCTTATTTTTGCAGTCACCCTGTGAAATTGTCTTGATTAAATCTCAAAGGGAATCAGATGTATTTGATGTGTTTTTGTTTGAAGAGATTTACCCACGTATGTTTAATCAGACCCATCATTAACTCGTTTTGTAGCCCCAACCACCAAAATGGTGCCCGTGCAGGGGAGGGTTTCAAGATTGAGAGTAAATATTGATATATAGATAGTTGACTGCCAAATATTCAGAAGTGGATGTTGAATGAAACATTTTGGCACAACTCCACCCGTATGCAAGTTGTCATATCATGCCCGTAAACAAGTGTTTGACAAGAGAGCAACGTTGTCAATCGGCCAGGTACATGCATCTTTAATGAGCATAGAGTGTGCAGAGTGCCGGTTTGGTAATCCTACAGCCTCCAAGGAAAAACACCTGCCAGGCTGTGCACCTTTTCACACTGGCTCCCCGCGTTGCCATGGTTACCGGCATCCCTCTTACACATTTGACATTTTCATTCTTTGTCATCCTGCCAATGCTGCGTCATTCTATCTGGCCACTTCCATTTTTGTCTTGGTAAGTAAAAGAGCTACTTTTTTCCCCTGTCTGCTTTTTGTGTCATTACATACAAAGTTAGTGTGATAGTGACAGTATAGTGATCCCCTCTGTAACCAAAAAAGCAATCCGTGATGTTGCAGAAATGAAGTGCTGAAAGCATGAAGAAGCCGCATCTAACCAGCTGAGCCCATCTTAGTTCTTTTTGTGTTTCTCGTTTGATTTGTCTAGTCGTAGAGGGAGTCACTGTGAGAAACATATGTTCCCTTCTCCATCAGAAAGAGGCTTTTGGAATGCTTGGTTGAAATTAAACTTGACATCCAAGTCCTTTCTTTTACTATTTTTTGTTGCCCTATACTGCATTAAGATTTTGGTTATTTATCCACGAACATTTGGAATCTCATTTTTGGATCACACAAACAACATGCAGGGAGATTATGGAAGTCAGTCACATTGGACACATTCAGTGCCGCTTGAATAATCAGTTTTGCTTCGTATACCTCATTTGTCCAGAGCAGGTCTCCACAGAGCACAGACATACAGCAAGGGCTTGATCGCATGTGTAGATCACGACAGGCAATAGTGTCTATGTCTGGACACTGCAAGTTTTGTGCACAGTCTGTCGAAAATTTGCCATTGGTAGTACTGCACTACATGCTCGTGAAGCTGTCCACACATGTAATGTGTCCTGCAGTGGCTCCTGAAGATGGATGACACAGTGCCATCTACATGCATCTAAGCTGCATGTCTGTTATTGAGTCCGTGTCTGAACTGGTCTCAGTGTCAAGACTGAAGTTTGTAGTTTCACCAAGCATGCCAAAGATCTGCTCAATTCAAACCATAGAGTTAATTACAGCTGGAAACTAGAAGGTGCATCGTTCATGTTAAATGGACATGTATGCTCTGACTCTGGTAACCACCGTTATGCTTACTTGTAATATTCAACCATAGTGATATGCCTGGATGTATCCACCTGAAAGTACATTTAAGCATGGAGATGTAGATTTAATTGTGTTGAAGAATCAACAAGCAAATAAGCAGAGTGAAAAATGAACACAAACAGAGCATGTTGTCCACGTACAAAATTGTGCCTTGCTGGCTCAGGATCACGTTATTATGTATGCCCTCTAGTTTCAACAATATAACTCTATGATTCATACAGTTCTTCACCCACTCACTACCTGACGTGTATTCACTGCAGTCCTTTGTATACGTTTACATGAGTATTAGAAGCCATCAACATTGAAGGATAAAGTATCATTGGTTCGCGTCCGCTGGTTTGCATGAATTTTAATCAGTTGTGTTTTGTAACTTTTTTCATGCCGTAGTTTCTTTCCGTGTCACTGCGTTCAGTGTTGAAAAGTTTTGTCTGCATATAAGTCCTTCTGTGTTGAAGTCTTTACTAGAAGTTTGAATTAAAGAGTAGATTTTGACAAGTTGTTGCGACGGCTATAAATATAGCAGGGTTAAGTAACCCAGACATATTTTCTGAATACGTTGTTATAATATCCATTGTCCTGTGTATAGACGCTTTGCTTGGTAGCCATCTCGCAGGGCAGTTCTTTTGTTCCACAGGGAAATCTTCTTGGTGCATACCCTGTGGAACAAAAGTGCTGGCCTACGAGATGGCAGCCATGCAAACCCTCTACTTAACAACGCTAGGGGCAAGTCAGCAGGTCCCACCCCCGTTTGTCTGATAATGTGTGGTACATTTTAGATATGTGCAACATTCACATTAACCCTAAGAGTCCTCAGTCCTCGAAGAGGTTATGGCTTGAGGACTTACAGGGTTAAGTGTGAATTGTGGTACTACAACATGAGCAAATAATGGAAGCTGAACCCGGAAAACTTAACCTTTACATTACAGATACTTTCTCTCGTTTATGTGCAATAAATATGGGGGGGGGAGTGTGTCTTAGAGCAAACAAGAGGTCCTGGTTAATTCTATAGTCCCCCAACTTAGGCCATGTTGTTTGTGCACGGTGTGACATTTCAGGTAATCTGTGTTTGCCTTGCAGACCTGCAAATGTGCCTGAGTGCTGTTTGATATTCCCAAATGGATGCGCACATACGTCACAATGTTGTTTCCCTCCTCTAACTCAATCAGGAGTGTTTTATGATTGCAAGATCATGGATTTGTGATCGTTTTGAACCAGCAAATGCTGGATGAGAATGCAGCAATTTTCCCTTAGCTTTGTAGTCGTGCTGAGTTCCGGGGTTGTAATCAGATAAGTCGGCATTGAGAGTCTCTCACACAGCATCCTTGGTTCATTTTTTAGGGCCCTTGCTAGCCGTAGCCCCTAGCATGTTAATGACAGGTCTTTAGGTCTGCTGAACCAAGGATAAATGATGCTCTAGAGCTCTTTTGCTCACAGTATTTGGAAGAAACTAACTTCCTGTAGAGAGAGAGGCTAGTTCTTGTCAGCTAAATGCTCTTTCCCTCTAGCTCATTTTTTTTTGTTATCACACGAAAGTCAGGTTTTGACCTTTTTTTTTCCAAATTTACTCAAGAGCAAGAAATTACAATTTTAGTTTAGACTTTTCATTTCTAGTATTTTTTCCTCAAATCCGATGTACATTTAAATCTGTCATCTGATTACTTACAGTTTAAGGGCACCATAAAAAGAGGTTTACAGATACTGGACATTGTAATCATCAACTTGCCATTTTGCCCCCTGTGAATTCAGTTTCTTACATTTCTCATTTGCCCAATAAATCAGTCCGAGGGACGCCACATTTCAATATACATAAATCCTTACGCAGTCACTGGCGTGATATAACAAAGATGGGCAGATGGGTATTACAAGGGACAAAACCTTGGACCTTGGACTGTCAATATTAATCACATTACGATGCCCGACAATGGGTAGGAATAATGCCAGTTGAAAGACTATTGCTTGATGGTGCATCTTTAATGCACACTTTCTGTAAATATGTGACCTTGGAACTCAATCATACCTTGTGTCTTTCAAAAGCATGCTGCATCGAAAATTGAATCAGATAGGTTGCAAATATACTTCTGAAAGGTGCACCCCTTTTTTTTTTCCTTTTTTGATGTGGACATTTACACGTACGTAGGGCTTTGAACTCGAGCTAATAGTTAGTAAATAGATAGTGGTCAGAGTTCAGATTTAAATGGTCAATCCATGTAAGGAATGTTCTAATAAAATATGTTTGGGGCCAATGCCCATTCCTCTGATGTTGATGATAATGAAGACTTCATTAAGCTCTTGAATGTCCTTAACATAACAGGAAGGCTAGAAAATTGACTTATATTCATGGGTGATTTTTAAAGAAAAATTATTTCAAAGTATTATTACAATTGATTAAAACTTCATGTTTCTAACTACCCAGATTGCAGTTCTCAGAATAGTATCATCCTGATTGCACGTTTCTATTGACTTTCATTTATGTTAAGTAAACAAGTGAAATAACCAAGCATAATAAAATCTAAAATAATATCTACACAAAGAGGAGATAGTTACTTAGCTTTCAACTGTTACTTTCCCGTCTGTCTCCAAATGCCAAAGGCAGAATTTTTTTTAAACTGCTGATATTTCAGTTCCTTTGTTTAATGTTGCTGTTAACTGCTCAATATGTCTGGCATGTATCAGAGGGAGATTCCATGAGGTTTCATAGAAGTGGTAATCTATATGCCATGTACATTACCTGTTGAGGGCGACATTCACTGAAGACTCATGATGCTAAATTTAGGCAGTGTATATTCACATGATTATTGGGTCCCAGAGTGGATGCCCTTACATGTATTTGCAGTGTATACCCACAAACTTTTCAACCTTACCCAGTTGTTTGTTTGTGCCCCCAGTGATATCAAGCAATGCACCGCATGCTAAGTTGTGTGTTCAAACCCCATGCTCATTTGATTCCCGTTGGTATCCCTGCTCATCTCCAGCCCTACGAACAGAAAGAGTCCAGTCTTGCTGCAGCCAGCCGCGAGAGCCTGGAGGAAGATGAGGGTTACTCAGGGGAGGAGCATGAGAAGAAGGAGGAGGGAAACGATGTACAGTCTGTCACATCGGGTAAAGACACCTCAGGTGACTCAGCCTGCTCATTTCAGTAATGTAGATATCTCACTCATTTTTTTTATCTAACATGGCGCTTACCTTGCTGGAGGAGTAATTATGGAAGTGCATACAGTGCCATCTGTGTCTGCTACGTCATATCTCTCACATTTGTGTACGGAAAATGTCTGAAGTCTCCAGAATCTATACTGTGCAAGAACCCTGTGGCGTATGACTTCCACTGAGACTCCCTGACCGTGGAAGTGGGGGTGTCGATGGCTCCTTCAACCTTTTGCAGGTCCTTAAATGGGGTGGGGCTGAATGGGTCAGCCTATCAATGGCTGATGCCTGATGGTCTGCTGCCCCCTCCCTTCCACACTTTGAAAATCATTCCAAGGGCATCAGTCCCCCGAGTATTGTCTGCACCTTCCTCAATCCTGCAAAACCCTCCAAAATCTCCTGATAGACTAAAGAATCAATAGCCTTAAACTCGAATGAAATTTCCAATACAGACACCCATGATGATTAATGCATCACTTTACCTCCTTGCCAACACACAGATGAGAAGCAGCTAGCCCTGCCTCCTCCCGAGAGCACCCAGTCTCCACCCCCAGCCAGCCTGATGAGCCCGCCCATCATCACCCGTACTGCAGCCACGCCTCAGGGCTCCCCCATGTGTGAGCAACCCAAGGGCTTCAAGGGACCGTTCCTGGACAACCAGTCCATCGACTCAGACACTCAGTCACTGGTCAGTTGCTTTTATAATGCCGTAAACAGTTTTCAACATTTCAAGCAGAGCATGCATTGACTTGACATTGCTCTACTTTCATCATATGCAGAAAATGTAACCGGTAGGGCTTTAAATTTTGATTTTGATTGATTTTTGTCACTGAAATATTCGATGTTGTGTTAAATGGCATATTTTGAGGGCATAAACAAATGATTCATACAAGACGACACATGCTCTAAATTTCTAAACAACCTTATGTGGAAATGGCGTAAAGATTAATTGAGAACAGTTGCAAGCAGTGTAACTACAAACGAAACAAGCTGTTTAATAAAATAAGGGGTTATCATCGGTGTGCAGAATAAACAAAGCTTTGTGGGCTTTCATAGATCTGCACTCTGAGAATAGGAGCACCGAAAAACCACAGATGATTCATTCATATCCTTTGGGCGATTTTTTTTTTATACAGACCTTGAATATACCAGAATATGCTCAAGAGAATGTCATTTTGAAGGACATAACATGAATGCCTTCTCCTCTAATGAAATGCTAATAATCCATTGTTTGCAGTGAGAGAGATTTGGCTGACAGTACTTGGTGGTGTTCTTTTTGTGAGAAGACAATGCATGTTAAGTGGAAACGTCTCCAGGTCTGAATTCAAGTCCTATGTGTGTGTAGCTAATGGGTAACAGCCTCTCTGCCAATTGCGTTATTCAAGTATAAGTTACCCAATCAAAGCACACCGATTGTAATTGCTTCTGTCCCATCTCTCTTCTAACCATTACCCCTCTCCAGTCCTCTTTCCACATCCCCGGATCGCCCCGTCTCCCACGCAGTAATCTCTCCCGGAACGGCTCGGGCCGCAACCGCAACGTGCTGTCGGCCAACCTGCCCCACGTCCGGGACCGGAATTACCTGCGCCCCTTCCAGCCGCCCGAGGCCGACCACGGAGCCGACAGCGACAGCCACTCCAACATCAGCAGTCGCATCAGCAGTCGCAGGTAAAGACGTAAACTACATGTACTCAGGGAGGATATGTCCAAGTTGTCATGGCCTTGGCAGACTTGGAAACCTTCCCCGATCTCCTTAACTTAATCCCTACCTCATGACAAGATTCATTTGGTGTTCCATGTGTCTTGCCAAGACATGCATTGCATTGCTTTTAAGCTTTGCTTTATTCAAACAACACGATTTGTGACTGCCTGACCTCAAAGCTCTTCCTCACACACTTTGCTTTGTGCTATATGACTCCTTCAAAGTACATTTGTTTGTTATTAGAGCCTAGTGTATCTAAATGCTCAATCTTTGTGGTTGATCTTTTTTTTTTTACCTTTTCTTGAAGCAAAATGCTAATGATAATCATAGGATATTTAACATATTTCACCAACCGCACTTTGTGCGTAAAATTGCTGTTCCAATCTGAGAACGAATTATCGATTGGGAACTTGTAAGGAAGGGTTTGGACCCACAGCCATCAGAATGAGAGTGTTTCCTTTTCACACAACACTTTTGTACCCAGATGTTGTACATTATCAGGGGCTCTAAGTGATTATTTCAATTTTTCTTACACACGTTCTTGATGTTTGCCTTCCGGTACATATGAAAAGTCTTTAGAAAAAAAGCCATATTAAGCTTTTTATTAAATGTGTGTTTGTCCCTCTCTGAGTGCTTTGTTGACATTCTACGTCTGGACCCCCGTACACATTCTTGGTAAATGGCTAGATGGCGCGCCAAACTAATGGCAAGAAAGATCTTTGATTGAATATTCGTCCAAGACTTGCATGAGAAGAAACAATAAAGGGGTCACACAGAAGAAATGCAGATAGGATTCGACTTTTTATGTCCGGCTCAACAGGATAAAAGGATTTCTAAGCACAAAGTGCTCAGTAGGTGTGCAGTCTGATCTGTATGTTGAAAATCTCCCTGTCGTCTCCTAGGAGTTCGTCTGACCACAATGGGTACGTTCCAGACAGCGACAGTCGCCGAACATCGGTGGCAAGCTGCAATGGTGACAGCCGCCGCACCTCCTACATCTCCTGCAACGGGGGCTCCTTCACCGCCCAGCTGGAGAAGCACAGTCTGGAGGCGGAGAAACGCAGCAGTCGGGGGTCGGTTGGGAGGAGGAGCAGCCGTCACGAGGACGAGGAGAGCATTGAGGATCCGGATCAAGTTGACGAGGCAGTAAGTTGAAGTTCAGCACACTTTCACTTTTCAGTTAATTTTGTGTTTGTCCGGCAAACTTGGAATCATTCATGTCTTGTGCGTGTTTTTTGTCTGTTTCATCAGGATTGAAATTAAACCAAGCATAATTGGAACAAGCATTTTCAATCATCCGTAAATAGATTACCTTGATGTAGATAGAAATCTGCTTTGATTTACCTTAATTGTATCACCCAAGACTGTTAAATGCCACAGTCTTCTAACATCTGGCTAAACACACACATTATTACAAATTATTGCTAATTGTGGAGTTTTTCTTTAGTCACTCAATTAACTTGGTCACTCAGTGTGTTAATGATTTGGTTGCATTTTTCTGCTTGATTAATTAAAAACCACTTGGTGGAAATGCAGGTTTCCTTGCAAGGATGCAAGAGAATTGCTGAAAAAATCCGAAACACAAAATCTCTAACATTTGATGCACAAAACATTTCCAGTAAAGGACACGTGGTTGACACGCATAACATGTAGAGGGGAGGACACTGATTCCCTTGGCAGATCTCAAGATGGACCACTGAGCTGTTTGCTGTTGTTGGTTGAATCAATCCTGCTTAAAAATAGATGTATAGAATTGGCTATTCAGTAATTTAAACCTATTAAAAAAGTGCTTTGTCGGTTGAAAATATAATTGTAACGTTGTAGTCCTAGTGGCCAGAAACCTTTTTTCAGGGGTCCATTTAACCTGTTATGGTACTTGATGTACAGTCCACTTCATGATGTAACATCATTTCCAAGCACTTCCATTGAAGCGGATTTACCCTAATGCAGTGTGCTGTTCTGGGGCCATTTCCCAACTTTGTTTGTCTGACTTATAGCCTACTCCACTGTCAAAACAGGCAGAAGCCCTATTAGTCTAGTATGGCCGTTTTGTTTGTCTATTTTTTGGCTTGAAGAACAAACATCAAGCCACTCCAGTGTTATCCTTTGCTAGCCGCAGCCGCACAGGCACTTAAAATCTTCAACTAGGTAAACTATGACGGGACAATATTCAGTAGATCTCAGTCACAGAAATGGAATTGTTTTCCACGGGGGTTTCTCTTATGAGAAATTTTAAACAGTTTGAAAGGAAGCTCTTCTGTCCATTGTGGATGAGAATTGCGTGGTTGATATAACATGAATAAAGTACATGTGTAACATTGGAATTGCACAGTGCCGAAAGATCATTTGTAGGCCTGGATACTTTTACTTTTTGACCTTCAGAACTGCATCGTTACAACCAGAAATCCATGCAGGCAAACGTGAATTAATGTCTTAGCTAAAAACTTAAACAAAACTTTCAAAAACGGATGTGAAGCTTTGTTCTATTTTGTGGATAGGTTAGCCAAGCCAACCACATTGCACAGGGGGCATTTACACAATGTATGAATGTTGATACTGCTGGGACAGGATCTTTGTCATTTTTTTCTGTTTTCAAAATCCTTTAAAAATTCATATCTTCATTTACTGGACACTTATACCCACACAAAGGACTGTCTGGTTTCTACTCTAATCTGAAAGACAATATCTATTGACGCCTGAGTATTTCAGCCAGGCCTGACGCCTTGTATGAAGAGCCCAGACTATGCAGTGTTACGTAATTTTCTTTTCACGAAACTGGCACTGTGCACCACTGACCTCTTTTCAATAGGGGCCAGATTAGCATGCAGTGGTACTGTGTGGCTCATCACTGCAGTGGTGGAGCGCTTTTGTCCCCGTTGGTAATCTGCTCGCACTAAATCCCCAAAACCATGGTATACTGTTTCAAAAAAATGCAGGATTTTCTGCACCATTGAGAGTAAAAAAATGTTGGTAATGCCCAGCAGCCTGGTCTTTTGTTACGAGTACAGTCTTTTATTACAGGGCCCAGTTCCATTTGTCCGATTTCGGAGACCCTGGCTATGCATATATAAAATACATGCCCCAAACCGGGCTCTCCGGCCGCAATCGGTTAAGTCTCTGTGTGCCTATTTTAAAAAGTGCTACCTTAAATCATTGATATTTGTGATGAAAATGTATAATACTTTCAAAACTCAGCTTCCCACAAACATGTTAAGGTTCAATATTCAATTCTCAAACCTGTAAGGAAACTAAAAGGACTCTGAAATGTACATGTAGGCATGAAAGTATTCCCTTCTGTGTAGAAAAGATCTTATAAAATTCTGATTTCAAACATCAGCAAACTGATGATTACAAATGTAAAAGTTTCCCTTTGGGCATTGTGGATGTCAGGGTGTAGCTGTTTTACCCTCCGACATTTTAGGAAAGTATTTTTTTCTGCATCTACTGCATTATGTTAAATGTATGATTTTACAGTTCACTTCAACTTTAACATTTACATGTGCTTCGAGGTACATGTTCTGTTTGTTACATGTTGAATAATTGTGAAGCGAGATATTGTAAGCCATCCCTGCCAACGCAAGCATTGTGGTCAAACCCATCACAAGTCAATCAAAAATTAACTCACAAGGTTTGATTGCACGCAACAGGGATGAACAGTGACAGGGGAATGCCTTTGTCAATGTTCATTTGGATCTGGATGGCTTGTGATGGTCTTGTGATGGAGCGGAGCCCAGCTCCTGTTGACGTGCCACGTGGAGGCAATTTCTTTTCTCGCATTTCACTGTCCCAATTAAGCATGCTCCTTATCCCGGATACAAGGAAGCTTTTTTTTTTTTCCGTTCTTCATCATGACATTTGTTGCACCTCACTTTGGAAACCACTTGGCTCTATTAGGGTCATGTGTGATTTCTCGACTGGTTTGAAGTACGGCTGGGGAAAAAAGTCAGAGGGGGTGATTCCCGAGCAGAGTTTTCAATTTGTTCCATCTTGCAGCTGAACAGCAAGCAGTTGCTGTAAATTCCTGTGGACTTAAGTGTGACTGTTGGCTCGGTGAAGTGAGTCGAGTGTCACTTTTGCTCGGGTGCAGTGGGTAACACAGATTGCTTGGAGTTTTCCCATGAATGCCCGGTCAAAAGTGGAGATGAAAGAGATTCAAAGCAGTGTTTGCTGCAAAGAGACTAGAGTTTTGATTGATTGTTATTAAACATTCATCAGCTGTCCATCATTGTGCACTTGCACCTGGTAAATGCAAAACACAAACAACAGAAGCCTCATAAATGATAGTAGTTGTTCCACAGCACTGACAGTCGAAGTTTTAAACAAGCGAAACCTCCAAGTTCGTGTTTGCCAGTGCAAAATATGTATCGTGTTGCGGTGGCTATAATTTTGTTAAGGTGTTCTTTGGGTTGAGCAAAATTTCTACAATGGCAGCATGCTGTTCATGGTTTGAATCACTCTTATGAGGTCTCCTGTGCTTGGGAAAAAAACAACAGTTTCCAAGTAGCTGTTTGGTGGGGGGGTCCTAATTGCTTTTCCAGATTAGACTTCTCTACCCCAGCCACACTTCCACTGGCCTGATTCATTCATTGTCATTCATCCGTCCATCTGGTTTAATCCATCCATCTTTAACCATTCATCCATGCCATCACCACTCTCACCTTCACCACCACCACCGTCATCATCATCACCACTGTGCTTCCATCCACCCCTCCTCTCAGAAGAAGCAAAGCGCAGAGCTGGGCAGGAAGTGTTTCTGCTTACCTGGGGTAAATCTTGCTGTTTGTGAGCTAGTTTCTTGGAACACCTAATCAAGAGGAATGTAGTGGTATAGTTGGTAGCTGAAACTGATTTCATGCAAAATTATGAGCTTTGTGGCAATTTCTGTCTTGGCGCCGGTTCATAATTACCACATCTGTGAGAGTGAAGTTGATGAACTTTCCTGAAGCAAAATCCAAATTCATCTTTTGCAAATGTACAGGGAGAAAATTACCAAGATGTCAGAAATTTGTATTCAATTTCACATTTGGTATGAACCGGCCTTTTGCAGTTTTTTCCTTGTTTTGGTTTTCTTTTCCAAATAAATTTGACATTTTTCTGAAAAAATCTTCCTGCATGTTTTGTCAAACTGCATGCTATGAATCCCAACATCTGTGCGTCATTCACTCCCCGGATATGCTACTCTATTGAGAAAATAAACATGATGTCCACGCGCTGGATCACCGTAACACCAACAGTGCATTTCACGACAGTGTTGTCTTCATGTGGAATATTTGTCTGATGACATGTTGAATTTGAGTTTAATTTGACATCCCTTTTTCCTTGCCTCCCGCATCCTTGCTGCTTCCCATCACCATCCTGCACAATCATTCTCTGCCTGAATATACCCTGTGTGTGGATGTGCTGTGGTCACGCCCGGCCACACCCTCATTGGTTCTTCTCTTACTACCACGCACGCCTAAGGCAAAGCAGCCCAAACCCAGTACCCTTTCACCAGCCAGTGGCTCACCAGATCCCAGCATAGAGGGCTGGGAAGAGGTGACCCACCAGTATTCTGACCCAAAGCCGGCATGCTCGGAGGCCCTGTGGAACATCACGGTCAATATCTGCAATGAAAATACCCAAGTTGAGAGTACCGAGCCCACAGACAGCAGTTCAAATGGCAGACTGCAGGAAATTGTAGATCAGGGTTCAAATGTGGGTAAATGCTACCGGCATGGCTCTCACCGATGGCCAGCTTTTGGGACTGTTCCCAAAGCCTATGTAACCTGGGCTGAAAATCACGACAGGCACGTCCTCAAATTTAAGGACTCTTGGAAAACCAAGCACAGCCATCCGGCCTCTCGCACCGAAAACCTGCAGAATGTTCACTTGCTCAACGTGAAATGCATTCCCCAGGACTGTGGGTGTGCCAGCAGCACAAGTGGGCGGGCGGGGGCTGGCAGAATGTCTATGAGCAAAACACACATTGAAGTGAGTGACGTGGAGGATATACATGTATCGTTGCGGGTCGACAACGACGATGACGATGATGCTGCATGCAACTCCACCTGTTGTGGTCGGGTAATTTGTGATTTGACCTGAATGCCAGAAATGATAGTCCTTGCCCTTCCACTTTGTTTCATACCATTAAGTTGTGGACCCAAGTTTATGGCTCTGTTAATTGCAAAGAATCTTGACTATAACCACTTAAACATCTGCACCGCAGTATTAAGTGCAAATTACAGGACAGCAAATAAGGGTTCTACACATAACATGCACACGAATCCCATCGTGTAGAATTTCCAGGCAGCACTGTCAATGCAGAGTGCTGATCATAAACAGAGACTTGTGGTTGGCAGAGCCATCAAATTGGGTGAAGAGTAGTCCTGTCAATTAGCACTAGTCAACAGCAGCAGCCTGGTGTGTTTGCCCACTAATCCTGCTACAGTGTTGACCGTACACCATCCTTACATGCATGGTTCTCTTGTGGCATTTGTGCTTTCTTTTCTTTTTTTTTTATAGCTTTATACATGTAGCTTTGCATGTACACTCTGATCCAGTTTGCTTCTAAATCCATTTGCCCAAACAGCATCATTCACCTTTCTTGCCTGAATTTCAAAACTCCGTCTGATAATTATATTTTCAGGAATTTCTTCACTTGGTACTTTCATAATCTCTTTCTTAGTATGTTAGATTGAATTTTTTTACTAATTTACTTGTTCTCTCTGGTTATTTTTATCTGTAGTGGAGAACTAACTTTACTTTATCTAGTCTTTGTTTTTGTTTTTCATGAATGAGTACCAAACACTTTGCCAAGTAAAGCTTGTGTATACTATTGAAATATCCTATTGCAAATTATTTGTGATAGAGTCTTCTGCTCATATGTCTACTGTATCTGCTCATATTTCCCTAGCAAGTTAACTGCCGTCTGTTATTTATCCTTGATGAGTCCAGCAGTGTATTTTAAGTACTTTTCCCGCCTCAGAGTCGCTGCATTCAATTCTTATTCAAAATGGTCTTGAAATTTCATGCGGCATTCGTGCACGTTCAGACTTCTTTCATTGGGGTCACTTTTGTTTTTATGTTTATGGTGTTTTGTCAATCTCATCCTGTATCTTCACTTTTATAGGAAGAAACTCTTTTATGGGTATAAGAAATGAAGTAGTGTGTTTATGTAGCAGTGTTTTTTCCCCTGTACCTACACCTATATGCAGGCGATGATGCATTGTATACATCTTGGTGGAGATTGACGTTAGATATAGTGTCTTGCTTTGTTACACAGAGCTCTGCCACTTTATTCTCTTTTGTGGTATAGTGTTTATTGAAACTGCATAGACTTTTTATCATATTACCTATGTTTTGTAGAAGGAAATGCTTTTAAAAATCCACTTTGAAAGATCTATGTGGAAATTTTACGATGTCCTTTTTTCTCTAGGATTGCAATTGCACCAAGTGCTGTCCTGAGCCCAAGGGATGCTTCAAGACAAGAATAGAGTATTCCCTCTACCTGCTGTCACCACACAACAGGTTTGTCCTCAAAATGTTGTTATCATTCAAGTGGCAGACGAGAGATTTGTTAAGAGAGGGGTAAGAAGGGATTGGGGGGGTCAATTTCACTGATGAAGACTTTTACAAACCGAAAACAAAAGATAAGACATACAAGTTGTTATATTGATGGAGTTTGTACTTAATCAGCATTCAGTGATTCTTATCTTAGCCTTGATATCAACGCAAGTCAGTCAATTTTTATACAATCTTCACACTTTGTAATACATAGGTAACAAACTTCAGAGTTTTGCTATTTTGACCTGACTGCAATGAGGACACACAGAACAGATTCTTTTGATGATGAAATTGGTTGATGTACGTGTATGTTGCTTTCATTGTCTGTTTTAATAATTCCTGATGTGTGGATATTTATTTCTTCAGATTTCGGCGGAGATTACAAAGTCTGATTGCTCACCGGTGGTTCGACTACGTCATCCTGCTCATTATCATGATCAACTGTATCACCTTGGCCATGGAGAGACCAGACATTAGGGACGATAGCGTGGTAAGGAACTAGTCTAATGTCAATATACCCCTGTTGACTGGCAGTGAGGGTACAAGTGCATATATGCAATTGCCGTGAGGGCATTGTGCACTTCATATACACTAGCATTGAGGGCACTAGTGCATATATATTCGTGCTCTAAAAGTGAGGGCACAAGTGCATATATGTACACTGGCAGTGTACAAGGGCAATAGTCCGTGTGTTTGTGCTGGCAGTGAGGGCACTGGTGCATAGTTACATGCTTTAGCAGGGTGGGCACTAGGGCATATATGTATATATATTCCACCTTCACCTTTGACCTTCCAGGAGCGAACATTCCTCAGCATCTCCAACTACATCTTCACGGGCATCTTCACCTTTGAGATGGTGGTCAAGGTGCTGGCCAAAGGGCTATTCATCGGTGAGCATGCCTATCTCTACAGCGGCTGGAACATAATGGACGGCAGTCTGGTGGTCATCTCCTGGATCGACATCACCATCAGCCTCGTCTCCTCCAACAGCCCCGAGATCTTCGGTATCCTCAGGGTCTTTAGGCTGCTACGGACTCTCAGGCCATTGAGGTATTTGCCAGAGTTGAAATTCTGTCAGTCAGTAGTCAAGTCATGAGTGAATACTGTAATAATATCTCCCCATGCAGGGACAATAATTTGCCAGGAACAACATTTTTCGACCACTTTTTCCTTTTGATTCCACTTTGCATTTGGAGAGTTCAAAATAGATGTTTATTGGACTTAACATTGAATTAAGTTTTTGTGAGGACCTTGCATGTTTATTTAGGCACCTTTTGAGGAATCTGAGCATCTTTGCCAGTAACCTGTTCATTTTTGCTGGAAATCTGCCCAATCTCAGGGGTATATGCAAGGTGCTCTCCTTTCAAAAACACTCTGACGGTTGACCTCAACCATGTTCTTGTTATAGTTGCATGGGTACAGTAGCACATTATTTAACCCTTGCTTTTTTAAAAGAACAATGCAATGGATTTTTTCTTTTTCTAAGAAACACTTTCTGAGCATGTTTAACTTTCACATTTACATAAAAGCCGGAAAAGGAAACAAATACAGATTTAAACAGCAAAATAAGAATTTAAAATAAGCTTAGTTGAAAAACAAGGTACAGTTTTAAGGAGGTTTTAGTGAGAAATTTCTATTACACAGCCACTTTCAAAGGCCAAGACTTTACACTGTCCTTTTTCTTTCTCTTTTCCCCCTCCTCATATTAGAGTCATCAGCAGAGCACCTGGTCTGAAGCTTGTGGTCCAGACGTTGCTGTCTTCACTACGCCCCATCGGTAACATTGTCATCATCTGCTGCACTTTTTTTGTCATCTTCGGAATCCTGGGCATTCAGGTGAGAAGTTTCACAATTAAAAAAAAAAAATTGAAAATGATGAAATAGAATGGCATATCTCTTCAGTGCCAGAACGTGTACAAAGGGAGCAATTTTCAAATAATACAATTTGAGCTTTGTCACCATCACTGCATCACTCAGTCGTTGGAATCAGTTCTGTAACACCTGCACTCAAGTACCTTTTCCATATTAATACTCATGGAAATGTTCTCAAATACACCTATAGAGGATTAGCTACCATCTTGCGGGCCAGTGCTTTTGTTTGACAGGTTATGCACAAAGGAAGTTTCCCTGTGAAGCAAAAGAACTGCCCTGCAAGATGGCTACCATGCAAAGCCTCTATACAGTGCTGAAGTATTTGTTCTGTTACTCACACTTCTATTCCTACTCAGCCACTTGTTGACCCAATCATGACGGTGTCCACAGTTAATTCTGTGGTTCTCATATTTTTCACTTTGAGGAAGTGTGTGTCATTTGGGAGAAATAGGGGTTGAGAAAACGTACTTGCTTGTCCCCGGATATTGTCCAGATGGTCATTTTTTCTTTGGCTCAAAAAATTTCTTTTGTTTTGCTCAATTAGAGCCCAAAATTATGGTCAGTGAGAAATGTGAACCATGGAATTAACTACAGATGTCCCCGTCATACTCACAGTCATACCTTTGGAATTTCAAATGTCATATTTGTGTCTTTACATAGCTATTCAAGGGAACATTCTACTATTGCACTGGTCCTTCAGTCAAGAACGTCATGAACAAGACTCACTGCTTACAGGCTCACCCCAACAACCAGTGGGTGAATCAGCAGTATAACTTTGACAACTTGGGCCAGGTAGGTTGCCTCTTTACTGCCACAATTTGCTGAATGGGAGAGCAACGAGTCAACTCTAATAGTTGGGCATTGTTGATTGCATGCAGCTGCCAAGAAGAGGGAAATCATATTGTGTTGCAGTCTGCGTCGCTGGATAGCATTGATGCACAGTACATGTAGTCGAGGGCACAACAGACTCTCTGCTGTCGCTCACGAGAGTTCTCGCATATATTTTTGTGAAGAACTGCAGATGGTGTTGCAAAGCAATGTGGTTAGGCTACACCACACATGGTGCATATTCACCTTATGCGGGAGATATTATGCACATATGGCAGTGCAGGCCCTGGGCCATCGTAAATGAAATCAACCAACGTGAGTTTGGAGGAATTGCTGGTCACCCGTTGCCTCGTGTCTATGGGTACCAGTGAAACACACTGCCTAAGGGAATGGTGCATAGTGCACGCTGTGGCTTGTGCACATTTTATGAAAACTCAGTCGTGAGCATGGTCTACACTTTTTTACTTTGAGACGCTGCGGTTGAAACGGAAGTGTTTAGGGCACAGAGATTACATTTCTGTGCCCTATCACATTATGCAATGCTTACACAAAATTCAGTTGGAATATCTCGTACAGTGCTGCTTATACATGTAGTTTTCCATTCTGTGATGAATAATGTAACACCTGTCTTCGTGCATTTGTATGTTTTCCAGGCTTTGATGGCGCTGTTTGTTTTGGCCTCCAAAGATGGGTGGGTGGAGATCATGTACAATGGCATCGATGCCGTTGGTGTTGACAAACAGGTACTAACAGTTTTCTGTAAATAAAACATATATAATGAGTATTCAGTTGGAAATTTCTCATGCACCATACAACTGCCACTTGTGCTCACCCAAGCTTCCTCAGTTCATATCAATGGAGTGGTGTTAATGCAAAAGGCAGGGTAGACCGTAGTTTGATAGACATCATACAGATTCTGAAATTTGGCATTTGTTTTCATCGATCCAATAGCCGAAGGAAAACAACAACGAGTGGCTGATCCTCTTCTTCATCTCCTTCATCCTGATCGTGGGCTTCTTCGTGCTGAACATGTTTGTGGGCGTGGTGGTGGAGAACTTTCACAAGTGTCGGGAGCAGCAAGCTGCGGAGGAGACAGCCCGTCGGCAGGCCAAGCGGCTGCGCAAAATGGAGAAAGCCCGGCAGAGTATGTCCCGGGTCCGAGAGGGGGATGGTTTGTATCCACATTGCTGATCCCACCGCTGCCACCGATTTCCGTGGCAGGGTTTTTTTTGTTGGAAACTCGGTCCTGCTGTCTCTACTCTGTCTCTAACTTCAGGGGAGGTCTGTTCTTGTTTGCCAGCACCTCCCCGATGGTGGATTTCACTGGCCTTGGTCTATCTAGCTTCGATCTGAACATTGCAAGATTCTTTCTGGAAAGTTCCCATTTTTCTTTGCTTGAATCAGAAGGAAAAAACAGTTTGTCAGTGACAGATCTTTCTAAACTTTGCAAAATAATTTAAGCTGGAAACCGCATATCTGATTTCCATTTAAAATTTAATCAAACAAAACCTGTTAAATTTTGTGTTGTCAGCCCTAATATTCGGTTTTACCCATCCCTGATGGAATTGTGTTTGGGAGAGCCTATAAAAAATGTTATACAGGCTCGCTTGGGTTGAACTCAGACTTATGAGGTCTGCTTTATCATGCTATGCCACACTGCATAACTACTGACCTTGCAAGGAAAGTCCAAATTTGACAGCCTTGGATTGCACAGTCAAAGACTTTGAATGGAAAAACAATACTGTTCTGTAATCATTTTTGTTATGGGAGTAGACTGAAAGAGACAGCCAAGGGGCGAAAAAATTAAAAACCAAAAAAAAGACAACACAGTTCACAGAATTGTTTCTCTAGATGGAAGGAACCTTGCAAGCTTCTGTCTCTGTTCAGTTCAGTCCAAGTGCATGAAAAGGGCACTCCATTTGACTCCATTCTCTCATGACCACGAGCATTGCGACCATTGCCTGTTTGCTTCTTACTCTTTGCCTCTTTACCACGTTGCCTGCTGTCTACTTCACTGTATGTTATTCCCACACTGTCTGCTTTGTTTGTGTTTGTTGCATGATACCTCGTTAGTTGAATTCTTCAGATAACCTTGTGTGCCTCTGTGTATGTGAAGTGCATGTGTACAGTTGACCAATTGATGTCTGTCCAAGTTGTGCATGTTGGAATTGTACATTCTGTGTTGGGCACCTTTCGTGCAAATGTGAAGTATAGAGATTTTGCTGTACTTGTAATAATGAATTATCAGAAATGCCTGAATCATACCCCTGGAGTATGAATGTTTTCACACTTCTCATTCTGTCATCTTAATGTGTCTGTGCTTCTATCGCATCCTATAATCCATTCAACAGAGGAAGGCTTTGTTAACAATTTCATCATCAGGGCCCAATTCTATGGTGCTGCTTACCTCAAGCAAAAAATCGGCGCTCACCTAATAGCAAAAAATTCTGTGCTTACGGCGAACGTATTTAATGGGTTAGCGAGGAATTTTGGCATGTGCGCATGCATACATCCTGTAACTAAGGATTCTGTGCTTAAAAGGTTAGCGCAGAATTTTTTCTGCTAGCGTGGTTAGCCCAGAATGGAAATCATAAGTGCAAAATTCTTCGGTAAGCATCACCATGAAATTGGGCCCTGAACAGTTGCAACTGTCCTGCTAACACTGCTGTTTTGAGAATGTTATTCTCTCAATGCATAAAAAATCCATATTTCAAAAGGACAAAGTATGAGTAGGAATATTTGAAGATGTGGGTATTCTCAGCAGCCTCTTTTGAATGGTTTTCCATTTGGAGCTTGCATTTCCCCTTGTGTAAACCTGTATTTGGTGTTGAAATTTAATTGATAATCTCCATCAAGGGGAAGATTTCTCTTGATATGTTTCCATCTGTGGATGTTGTGTTGTCTCTGTTGTCATCTTCAATCACCTTTTCCTTATTATTAATTAAGTTGTCTTAAGGTGGCCCAATCATGCTGTTTAGTATGTAGTCATATTCATGCTTGATTATTTCATTCCTTTTGATAGAAATCATTTCAAATCCAAAAAAAAGACAAGCCAGTAAGTTTTCCCTTTTCAGTGCTTCAGTTAAGATATATCAAATACTCTTTACTATTTAGCCACGGAACAGTCTGTGAGAAGAGAAATAACTGTGACGTTGAAGGTTGATAGGACTTAGTTACTACCGGAATAGAATGCATGCATCAAACAGTTTTATTTCAGTGCTAGACTTTAACCATCACTGACATTTATCCAAGCAGCATGACATGATTAAGGCAGACTGAGACTTAGCTTGATCAGGGAAAATGCTCGATCTCTGCTCAGGTAGGACTCGAGCCCCACAACTTGCTTGCTAGCGGCGATGCAGAAGCAGATGCAGTGTAGCTTTGTATGTCCCAGTTATTTCTCTGCTCAAATTTTGTTTTCCTGCTAGGATACCAGTGCTTACTTTTTTGGCAGACTAGCACACAAGTAACTCACAAAATCTACTCAAAAAATGCGTATCATGTTCCTGCTTTCCCTTTTTTCTTTTAAGTCCATTTTGACACCTTTGAAGCAAATCACTGTACTAAGCTAACATGGTGACTAGAGGCCTGTTTGTTTCATGCGGATCCAAATCGCAATCAGTGATCTGTGGTTGGTTCACTGACATCAGAACCCACCTAATGGATGGCGAGAACCAGCTCTGGGATCACTGATCACAATCCAGATCTGTGTGAAACAAACTGGCCCTTGATTTTCAACATGCTCAAGGTTTCACGACAGGGTTTATTTCCATGGTTTTGGGTCACTTTTATTTTTGGGGGGGATGGGTGGGTGGTGGATTTCCTCCACAAGATGGATTTAAACACAACTACAACTCCAAAGAACAATAACATCATTTCATCAGCAATATCTGTTCATTTTCATTTTACACCATATATGCATGATGACATCCTCAGACATGCCTACCACAGCATTGGTATATTGCCTGAGCTCGTCAGTACCATTTGCATGACATGTACATGGGAGGTGCCAATGTGTCAGTGAATACGGCTGATGCACAATAGTGCACCATCAAGAGTTTGCAACACGTTGGCCAATCATAATGCGCGAAATTTGTCGACCCTTTCCAAACGCACATTGGGTCGACAAATTTCACGCATTGTGATTGGCCAACGTGTTGCAAACTCTTGGTGGCACACTTTTGTGAAACGGCGCATTCATTGTGTAAATGCCATCAGTTTTTAGGTGTATGATCTTAAGTTTTCACTTTGAAATGAGACACAACTTTGAAATGAATTCTAACAAGTATATTTTATATTTCAATGACGGAAGAAGTAATTTCTCTGAACGAAGGTGCTGAAAGAATTTCTGAATAGCCACTAAAAATGGCTGTGGAAAGTGCATCAAAGATCATACTCTTTTCTGACAGTATCTTGGAGTGCAGATGTTGCAGCACCGCAGACTGAAAATTTAGGTCTGCAAAAAAGTGGATAAAACTAGAGAACAGAACATTCCAGCCAATGCGCCAAATTTCCATAAACCTGAACTCGAAAAAATTTGAAACTTGAAAAGTTTGAAACTGGGGACTTTTGAAACCAGACTCGACTGTTGTACTGATGCAGTTGGCCTGTTCCCAAGTCACAAAGCATGCTGTCCTGGTCGATACTGGTCGTTTCTGTTTTTGTTTTTTATTTTATTTTATTTTTTTTTCAACTTGGTGAAATGAATACAGACAATTTAGCTGTCTACTTTGCCGCATGTCGGGAATGTTAGAGCATGCAGCATGTGCGGTAAAACATGTTGGATCCGTAAAAATTCACTTATCACAGAAGGGAGGTTTTCAGCACTTTTTAAAAGATGTAGGTATCTTGCACCCCTTACTAAGTATCTACATTGTCATCCAAAAAGTGACACAAAGATGTCAAGTTTCTAGAAAAGGAGGTGGTGAAGAGTTGGCTGTAATCAAGGGCTTTTTAAGTTTCACACGCAACGTGAATTGAAACGTGATTGAACTCACCCATAAGATGCTTTTACCTATGCTCAAGGTCTAACATACGGAGATCTCATGATCCTAAATTGCTCACATGTATGTAAGAATCTGGGCTTAACCTGCAGGCCTCACCGACGCTGTTCATTCATTTTCTATTTTGCGCCTCTTTCATCTGTTTTTTTTCCTAATGGTATTCTAATATGGACTTCAATATGATGCACAGGTGTGAGCAGTTGCCTGTAAAATGGAATAACCCTTTCCTGTTCAGATCGTTTTTATGTGCCCATGAAAGCAAGAAAAATGATTTGTTGATGTAAATTGGTAACATCACAGCTGTGTGCATATCTGATGTTTGTCATTGAGGCCAAATTAGTTTTTTTATGACAAAAGGACACATGAAAGTTGCACTTGGTGATGTCTAAACTAATAATGTTGGTTAAAATCAAGGTAACAGCATCAGTCGGTGAGTACTTGAGGATTTTGGAAGGAATGCGAATGAATCTGCATGCTAGAAATGCCCCTTCTGTGTACCTAAAACGCACCCCCCCGTATCCTTGGGTTTCCTGGTAGTCCTCTTTCATTACACCCTCATTTAACCATGGCTTCCTTGGTCACCTAACCACTTGACTCCCACCCGTGTCCCTCTGCACCTACACTGCACAAGCTGGACTGAACTGGATTGAACCAGACTGAACTGGATTGGATCAGGTCAGCCTGAAAAATGGGCCAGCACACTAACGAGTGAGACAGAGGCCCTCCATGAAAACTCATCGTTGTGAACCGACATTTGAAATTTCTGAAAAAGGGGGAAAAAAGTCTCTCTGAACAGATAGAAATTCTCATGCTTTGGTGAAAGCAATCAGTACCGTGTCATTCAAAATGTGATGAGTTTTCTGTACAGCAATTTGGATACACATGTAGAGAAACCATACCCCCAGGTTTGGGAGATCAAATTTTATAATGTTCCATTCACCCGTTCATGTATTTCATAGTGAAGTAACATTATTGTAAAATAACTTCACTTAATGCTTTAAATGGCAAGATAGAATAACACTGCACCTTTTGCATCATGGTAAAAGTACCTAATTAACCTCTTAGCTAGCAGCACCAAACACAATGACACTGAGCTCAGACACATTAGTCTAGCTAATAGATATATCATTACAGCAATAGGCAAATACCAAAACACTGACGGATGTCATTAACCACACTTGAACATTCCTACCAGACACCATCAAATCCACTTGATATTTAGCCGGTGCGTCTCTCAAACGGTTGACCGCCAACTAAAACCACTCAACACCTGGATTTATTCACCGTGAAGTGGGTGATTTCCTCCCTGTGCTTTTCTCTTACCTTTGTCTGCCTCTCTGTGCAATCAGGAGCAAGGGAGCGCCCTTATTACATTGACTACTCGCGCTCACGGCGCTTCATCCACAACTGCGTCATCAACAAGTACTTTGATTTAGGCGTGGCAGCCGTTATATTCATCAATGTCATCTCGATGGCACTTGAGCATTACGGAATGTCAAAGGTAGGTATGAATGCCATCCTCAGTTTCAAGAAGTGAAACTTCTTATATATCTGATGTGCCTTAAGCCCTATGGCGACTTCTCATTTCTCAGTGTATCAAAACACAAATGCCATCAATCACTTCCAAGAGTTTGTAAAATGTTGGCCACCTGCAGTCACCACCGGTTCGAGCCATTTTGACAGTTCTTTGGCTTTGGTAAAGTTGTGAAATTTTGAAATCCGACTGAAAGTTTTTGAGTTTAGTGAGAGCAAACACTCAGTCGATAAAATTTCCATTTGAAACTTGGAAATCAGTTTGTGTGTATTTTATTTTTTTTTTGTTTTTTTTGGCTGTTTCTTCATTCTTGTAGCCACATCCAACTCGGCCTGGTTTTTGGCAACCACCTCTTTTGTGGCTGGTTTCTGTATGACTTTGACGTTCCTTTTCCTCTGCTTTTCTCCCAGACTTTGCAGGACATTCTGAGGTATTTAAACTATTTCTTCACGGTGGTGTTCATCCTGGAGGCTGTGCTGAAGATTGCGGCCCTGGGATTTAAAAGATACATCAAAGACAGGTGTGGCAAGCCTTTCACCAAGTACCACAATCAAAGCTCACTGAAGTTTGAAGCTTAAGATATATTTCCAACTCTTGGGGAAATTTTGCAGAAGGTAGAAGTACACGAGGACCCTTTACCACAAGTTCTGTGGGTATGGCTCTCATCTCCCCTTTTATAAAATTCTCCATGGGAAATGAAAGTTACCAAAGTATTAGTACAAAACTCAAATTTCTGACTTGGAATAAGAAGTTGTCATACTATTTTCATTTTGTTAAATACTCCTATCTGGCTTACCATTTCATAAAGGACAGGAAACCGACACCCTTTTTTGCAGACAAAAAACACAGATTTTGGAGTGTATAAGTGACTTGAGATTTAAGATTGTCTTCTTTCTGGATTGTGTCTAGTCTGGCAGTGCTTCAACCTCACATTGAAAGTTGGGAGAAACTTTCAGTTCAAACAATTTTTCTGGAAATTCATAGCTGTGGACATCATATGTGGCTGCTTTGCCTATGTTGATCAATATGTTTTCTCTAAAAGCCATTGAGTAAGACTGTTTCCAAGAGTTGTGGCCATGGCTAGATATACGGTGTACTTCTGTCAAAGTAGACATAGCCAATTCTCAAAGATGCGTCTCACTTTCGGTAATAGTCAATTCAATTGGACACGGCTCAAGGTTGCCAAAATAGAACCAGAGAGTTCAGTTGGTAGAGCACCGTTACCGTGCTCCATTGGTCGTAGAGTCAAATCCCATTTGAGTCGTTTTCTTTTGCCGTGTGTTGCGGCATGCAGATGGAACCAGCTGGACATGATCATCATCATTCTGTCCATTGTCGGCATCTTTCTGGAAGAGCTCCAGACGGACATCATTCCCATCAACCCCACCATCATCAGAATCATGAGAGTCCTCAGAATAGCCAGAGGTTAGTTGCAACCGCAGCCTAGATTTTCCCTACTGTTTGAATATAGGCGTTTCACAATAGTGCGCCTCCAAGAGTTCACAACGCATTGACCAATCACAACGTGCAAAATCTATCGACCCTTTCCAATTGGCAGATTTTGCACACTGTGATTGGTCAACGTGTTGCAAACTCTTGGAAGTGTACTATTGCGAATCGCTCGTATTGTTTTATTTTTTTTTTTTTTGGCTCAGCACACTTTCAGTTAAGCCAAGGTTCGCACGGTCATGGAAAATCCTGGGGAAAAAAAGTTGTCCCGGAATGTCATGGAAAAGTCATATAAAATTGGGAGGAAAATAGGGTATCCTGGAATTCTGTTGTCCAAGGAAAAAAAGTCTTTGAAAAGTCATGGAAATCAGGATCATCCTTGGGTTGTTTCTTGATGGGCCAATTTTTAATGTGATAAGGGAACAATGATAAATGTACAGACTATATACTTGTCAGTCTACAAGAAGTCACATGGCGCTATTGTCGTCCATAATACTAAACAACTGTTCTCTGCAAAATGGTGTTTAATGTCACGGAAATTGTCATCTTTTAGTCCTGGAGTTCCTGAAAGTCATGGAATATGATTATCAGATTTGTGAGGGAACCCTGTTAAGCATGTTCCAAGCCAGTATGTGTTCCAATCTGAAAAAAAAAATGGAGTCAAAAGTCACCGGAACCATTTCTGAGATAAAGATCCTTAAAATAATATCACACTTTGTGAACTCATAGGAACCCCCCCCCAATTATTTTCCCAAATAATTGTCCATATTTGTCATGATGTCAAACTAAGTGATACGCTAAAACAAACAGCTTAGTTTGTTCTTTCTGATGCATATTAAAATAGAAATTATCTCTCAAAATGTCCTTCGGAGAGCAGCCACCTTAATCTCTCGTAGAGTCTTTTTCCCCTTATTTTGCCTTGTGATAGAACCAAGTATTTTCTGACCAGTGGTAATTATACTGCCAAAAACTTGTGAGAGTTCTTCGCTGGCACCAAACCTACAAAACTGACTTGAAAAATCACTGATTGCAAAAATCTAGGTCGATCAACAAAAAGAGGACTATGAAAGCAATTTCAGTGTTTTTGTAGGTATTACACAGGACAGAGTTACCCCTTCACATCACCATGATTGGCCTCTACTCCTACATCCACGATGGTCAGGAATAAGATGGTTTCATACAGTACAATTAAGAAGCATTGGACCCTTTTCCCTCCTTTTCCTTGTTTCACTGTTGTATATACCCACTGATGCCTCGTTCAAATTACTTCAGTCCCGCCCTTCTAACAGTTATATATTCTTCCGCAAATAAATCAAACCTATTACTCTCTTTGGCTGTTTTCAAAGCTGCTTTGAAAACATTGGTTTTGTCAGTTCTGGTTAAACATTATCCTCTAATCTTGCACATCTTTTTTTTTTTCCTCTCGTTCTAAAAGCACGTCATTTTTTGAATCATCAATCATTCCTTGCTTCTCACTTCGTGCTTTGTATCAATCCTTGTTTGACTAACTTTTCACTAATAATTGTCCATTTACCCCAACAGTCCTGAATCTCAAATTTCAGTGTAATTTTTCAGACATTCCTTGGGGAAAATGATACAAAAGTGCATGTGGCACTAACATAAGACAGTAAAAGATATTTTTCAAACCTACTAAACAATGAGAAATAAAGCCAGGTTTTTTTTATCAACATGTGATTGTGTATTCACTGTTGAGCTCTAAAGTTGCAACTAATCAATGCATGCTTGCTTGAAATGCATGATGCATGGGCTGTGAATTTCAAATATTTCAAGGAACGAAAAATGCCATTTTAAATGAAGGTTTGTCTTCACAATTCAAAGAGGCAAAAGATTTGCCACTTAGAATTGTGGTTTCCAATTCGCTCGGGGAGGAAAAGATGCTGAAATTTTGACAACAGATTCCAGCGTATCATTTCTAAGACTTGACAATTCAAGTGAGTTTCTTTTGAGTTTTAAGATCAGCTGACAGTGGGCAACAGTTCATCAAGTTGCAATACAAAGATAATCTTAGAAGACCACTTGAGACTCAAAAGTCCGCAGTGGTGGATTATTGCTCATTTTGAAGCCTTTAAGATATATGACACACTAATGAAAGCTGAAAAAGGAATAAGCTACTGCAAGATCGATGTCACTCGCTCGCTTGGCATTGGAAAAAGATGATTTATATATGGACTCAGTTCAAATCATTTGGAATCTCTTATATTGAATATTGATTTTTTTTGCTGAAGTCGTGCATGGACTGATGTTGATTTTGCTTGTGCATTGGGCATGGTGTGTCGTTGTGTGTTCATTTCTGCTATGTCTCCTTCCTCCCTTCACTCCCAGTCTTGCGCTTCAAATTTCTTGCCTTTCAATGACTTTGCCGCTTTCTGTAATGGGATGTACATGTCCCTTGAGGCACATCATTCATGCATTCATTACACTTGTTATGATGACATTGAAAGGTCGTCAAATCCGTTTTGGTAAAAAAAATTGCTCATGGGTTTGTAAGTGTAACAAGTTTGTGATGAAATAAGTAGAATGGTTAATGGTTATGCATTGCCCACAGCCCTATCCAGCGATACAGAAGTCATATGGATGCACAGTGTAAAGAATCTTATATCTGTGTGAAATCTTTGAAAAAAAATTGCAAAAAATGAAAAGAATATAAATCCAGTTGGTGGTCAGCCTGAAACTTCTAAGGCACCCTTCTTTAGAATTTGAATGATTCTGATGCCTCAAAGGAACATAATGCACAAATGACAAGTGATGGACTGTTCCTTTAGTTGTGTGGGTGACAGCCACTGCACTAACATGTCTCGCTCAGCCATTTCTGCCCAGCACTGTCACTAACTTTAAAGCACACACACCAGCTCATTTTACCACCAATGTGCCTTTCTAACGACACTGCCTTATTCTTTCACAAACGTCAGTCGTATTTCCTTCTCTCTCGCTTTCTTCTCGCATACAGCTCTTACTCTTCTTCTCACAACAAAAATTGTGTGTGTGTGTTTTTTTTCTTTTTGAGACTTATTTTGTTTTGTCAAAATGGAAAGATTTTTTCTGCCATGTTAAGTTTCTTTAACATGTAGCATTTACTTTTCATTTAACAAATAGGCCCCCATCGTGTCATTTTTATTGAAAAAACTACTGGTATTGGATTTTGGGAGTTGTCAGATAATTAGTGGTTCCTGTGTAGAATTCATGTACGTGTAGGTAAAAGCAAGGGAGACACTGAATTATTTTCTCAATGGAAATCACATGGGGAACTCATAAGTAAGCAAGGTTCATTGAAATGGTGTCATTCCGTGCTTCCCATATACCAGAGACCTGTTGTGAAGGTTGATAGTGATGTCTGCAATTGATGCTTCATTGCCACATTTGCTGCAAAGGAATGTACCTCCCTGGCTTGTTGAAGTTTATGTGATTAGATTAGAAAGGTATTGTATAAAAAAAATGGTTAAGATACACAAGTCAACATGGAGTATCTACCCCCTGCTGGTACCCTGCGCAGCAACATCGGCATACTTCACCGATCGAACAAATCATTGTAGTTTTACCCATGGCTCCCCGTCTATGACCCCCTGTGACCTGACTCTTTCCCTGCTCGTTGCCATCCCCCGTGTCCAAACAGTGCTGAAAATCATGAAGACCATGAAAGGCCTGCGAGAGCTGCTGGCTGTCCTAATGGGCGCCATCCCACAGGTAATGTGTCTCCACGTCGTCTGCATGGTGTTCCCTTCCCAAAGCATGCCGTCAGACTTCAGTTCTCTTTATTTGTCTCATTTGTGGGTGTCTTGCATGACCAGGGCACAGTGGACTGTACATCACTGCATATCAATACATGTATAATTGAGTGCATGTCTGAAAGATGTTGTTGAATATTTGTTTATCATTTCATGTTTTGTTAAAATGTTTTAATTTTTTTCTTTGTTTTTGACAGGGCTGCTTCCTTTTGTTTTGAAATCCAAGAAAGAAATCCAAACTTTCATCCAAGGTTTTGGAGGGGAGCCTTTTGTGAGAAAGGTTTCTGAGAATTGTTGACTTTCCAAAACCTTGGTGATTATTTGGATGTCGTCCTTAAACTTGTTTGCCACAAGTTTGCTCTAACCATTATGCCCAGTCATGTCTTGCCTTTGCAGTGTATATTAAAAACCACTACATATGCATGAGCAGCTTTTGTTTGTCAGTGCCTTATTGGCCGCTCCTTGTTGCTAACTGGATTTCCATTGGTGCATTGTTCCTGTATGTGATTATGACATGGTTGTTGTTTTTTTGTTTTTTGTTATTTTGGTTTTGACCAGCACCGTTTGCATGATGACATTGGTTGATGGTTTTTCTCTCTTGCACTTTGTATGTTCTCTTTTTCCCCCCCGTTGTCTCTCTCACCGTGTGTGCAGTGCTCAAGTTGTTAAGAATTGCCAGAGGTATTCGCTCACTGTTGGATACAATATCCCAGGCCTTACCACAGGTAATGTGTCATGTTGCTTGTGAAGGGAAAAAACAGTCAGCTTGGTTGTTGCCCTACAGAGATTGTCATGTGTATTACCAAAAGACCATAACTGGTGATCTGTACCACATTACATGGCTCGGCACTTGATGTTATTTTTAATCTGCCTGCCAATTTTCTCGTACAAAATTGAAAAAGATGATCTGGTTATTAGCGACTTCGAGGACGTTGCTTCTTTTGAAAATGCCAAGGGACAAATGTTGTTCAGTGCGTCATACTCGCTGAATACAGATCATCGTTTTGAGAAATGTTCCCCCGCTCATTGAATCGTTTGTCAACGGACTAGAAATGGGTTCCCGGTATTACCTAGGTCACCCATGGTAATTTTCGTTGCATAAATTTCTTCAGGACGACCCAAAAATTATCTATTGGTATGCCCAACCTCAATATGGTAACATCCAATTTGAACTGTAGATATGCTTATGACAGTTGCACAAACTTTAATTTCTTAAAAATAAATATCACTTAGATGTAGTGCCATATTGTAACATGCATGTTGAGTTGTACCTGTTTGTTGTAAGTAAAGATTAAATTCAATAGAAAATACCTCACTTTTTGTGAATATTGACTTCAGACTGGGTAAGTAAAATGATCTACTTTGCGCATTTAAACAAAAAAGGCTGCAAAATGACTTGGAGAAAGATGATTGTTCAGTGTCAATCAAAGAGACGAAAAGGGCACAATAGTTATCATCAGGTTTATGTGAATTTTTGTATAAAATGAGCGATAAAGTAAGGAATTTCACCAGATGCCCACAGTATTCCTGAAAAAAAATTTTAGAACTTCACTTATTTATTCTTATGTAGTAAAATGAAATTTGCCTTGATAATGTTCCAGAGGGACTAACATGAATCTTGAGAATTTGTATTAATGAAGCTCGTTCTGGGCTGCAGGTTGGCAATCTGGGTCTTCTGTTTTTCCTGCTGTTCTTCATATTTGCTGCCCTCGGAGTGGAGCTATTTGGCAGGCTGGGTGAGTTCAGTCATTGAATGTAGGAAATCTCCACCACTGAAAAATTCGTAGGGTGGAATGACAGTGACGTTGTTTGTCCATTCCTAGCTATTCATCAGAAGAACAAGAATTTGTACTTACCTTTTCACGGGTGCAGCCATTGTCGGTGAAATGTTAAAGTTCCTTTCAATTCTGTTGCTCATGATTTTCGCCATATTTGAATGGGCCATTACATCACTCACCTAGCTCATCCTGGTATGTGTTTCTGGCTGTGTGTTTCAGTGTGGTGGCAAAATGAACCCCATCTTTATCCAAGACTCCGTGCTTCTGGTAGCTTTTTGCATCCTCACATACCTTAAAACTGACATGGTCAGTCACACCGTCTGTTTTGCCTGGCCCAAGTCAGAGCAAAACGCAACAATTTCTGTCATTTCTGACGAATGCAGAGATGATATCTGCACCCCTAAGGAACAAACTCACACTCAGAAACCTAGGTGGGCACCGGTCAAATCTTTCTCTTTCTTTGTCCTGTAGACTGCACCAAGGAGAACCCTTGCCAGGGCCTCGGGAGACATGCTTCCTTCAAGAACTTCTTCATTGCTTTCCTCACCCTCTTCAGAATAGCCACAGCGGACAACTGGAACGGCATCATGAAGGTAGCATCTTGCATTGAAACCAAGCACTCCACAATGGCAACTGTATTATTAAAGTTACTTGTAGGCACATTGCAGATATCCCAGTCGTCATAAAAGCCATCATGAATCTATTACCCCACAAAAATTGTTTACTGATTGTTACTTATTGTTAACAGTGACTTTGCTTGTCATTAGTGCAAAATACATGTGAAGTGCTGGTGGAGTTCTTGACCACAACACTAGTATTGTCAAAGCATATTAGAATTCCAATGTCAGATTTCATTGCATATTGCAAGGCAGTGTGATGAATCTGGTAGTAATAATCAGCATAGTAAACCAGCACTACTGCTGCAAACCAACTTTGCGATAATTTGTTGCAAGAATTCTGACATGAAGTGTGGAGGGATATCTGCCGATGAGGTGTTTTGCAGGTACTGGCAAATCATGAAATTGTATAACCAGCAGCATAGCCTGCCAGGAGTAAAAGAACCAAGTGCTTCATGATACTAACACCTTTCTGGTGTTTAGTCCCTCTCAAATAAAAACAGAGTATTTCTAATGGAAAAACCTCCTCAAATCAAAGTTTTCCTGCCTAAAATTGCCTCCTGAATTTTTCATTTTTTGGGGGGGATCCCCTCCAGGACACACTGCGGCAGGAGAAGTGCAACAAGAGCTCCGATTGCACCTACAACTGCTGCGCTAGCAGCATCCTGGCCCCCATCTACTTTGTCTGCTTTGTGCTGATGGCCCAGTTTGTCCTGGTCAACGTGGTGGTGGCCGTGCTGATGAAGCACCTGGAGGAGTCCCACAAGATGGAGCAGGACGAGGAGGACGACCAGCTGGCCCTGGAGGAAGAGATGCGGGAGGAGGGGCGGGAGGCAGCCCGGAGGGAGGAGGAAGCAGTGGAGCAACAGCAGCAGGGGCAGGAGGCCGCCGAGCAGGCCAACAGCTCCGACGACAACGTGAGTTGCCATCTCTAGCTGGTGTGCCCTTGACAAAAACTTATCACTACTTCTTTAACTCAGTAGAATTTTACTACAAATCTTCCCAAATCCTCCAAAACACTTTAGTGTCTATTTTGTAGCCGTGTACATTTGTAAGGCCCCCCAAAAAAGTTGGTCTCTGGTCAGCGCGCGCATCGATTTTGAACGTGCATGTCAATGTTTTGTTTTTTCCATTTTTTTCTCAAATTTTCAAAACTGCGCCCTCTATTTCCGCACCGCCTGAATGTTCGCGAGTTGACTGATTCCCGGCCACAAGTCCGAAGGGCAATTTATCCAATGAACCAGACTAATTCGTGGGTAGCTCGTAGATAGATCCATTAAGACGGCGCAATGTTGATGGCAAACACAAACAGTAGACCATGGGTAGGTTACAAAGTTGCAGCCAGCTGATCATCAACAATGGCGGCATGACGTGCAACGTGCTACTACTAGCCTTTGCTCTTTGATTAAATATGCCACTCATTTCCGTGTCCATTGCAAGTCTTAAAAAGCCAACCCCATCCATCCCCCGCCCCCCAAGAAACCTGCATCGCAGCATGAATTCTGGAACTTCAGTCTGACCAGAGACCAAGTATTTTTTGGTGGGGGGCCTAAGACTGATAAATGGCACCAAGTCTCTTGGCATTTTCGACGGACTTTCCATATTTCGTCAGAAATCAGCATCGTGTGGAACCAAGTGGAAAGTTACAGTAGCTGAGTTCTACCTTCCTTGTAGCTCGAAATCTCCCAGGGTCTGCAACACCCACCTGGCGGTTTTAGAAAAATTTGCAGGATTGGGAAAAGTGGAACGTCAAGCACTCTTTACTTTGTGTGGAGCTTTCTACTCCGTCAAAATTTGAAGTACAAAAAAATATGCCAATCGTTTGCTGCACAGTTCAGGGTTATGGAAGATTTGGGAAGGTAAATGCTAGTAATCCTGCTAAAGGCTTCCAGACCTTCTGTTGGATTTTGAAGGATGTAGGACAGTTACGTTTGATATTGCATTATGGTGTTTCTTGCTCTGTTTATAACTAGTGCGTGATTGCTTGCATTTGGTTCAGTGAATGTCAGACAATGTCATAGGTATTTTTTATGCATTGCCAATTTTTGGTGTCATAAACTTTCAGAACTCTCTCTAGATGGGTGGTGTTGGGATTAGAGATTTTAAAAGAATAACTTAAAATCACTGTGGTCTTCTGGGTCGGGTTGCTTTCACTTCACAATTCTACTGGAATGCTTGAGGTTCTGTTTTAGTTTCGAGTCTGATAAAGTCACTTGTCTGATCCTTGGACAAACATCTTTGGTTGGGATGTGGGTAGTCTAGCCAAGGCACCTCTTCAAAGCTGTGGCCGGAACCGTCCTTATTCAACCCAATCAGATCTTTGGGCAAATGTTTTATCTCGATGCAAACGGAAGCACGAGTAATCAAAAAAAAGGAAATCCCAAACAAGTTTCTGTACATCTTTTGGATGTTACAGTATACGATACCACGCACAATGCCAGTCATTCAGAATTCAATTGAATTTATTGAGGGCACTGCAGCTTCCAAATTTCTCCAAATTTTTTTTTTTCATATTCATTGCTTGGGGATTGTTTCCTGATGGTTGGGCTGACTTAAGCTCATAAACTCACCCTGAATTAATGAACTAACGTGTAACACTGGTACACTTTTCCTAACCCACATTTAATTTTCGTTCTACAGTATGCAGCTTCCAAATTCCTTTTGTCATATTCATTTCTTGGGGATTGTTTCCTAATGGGTGGACTGACTTCTAGTCGTAAACTCACCCTGAATTAATAAACCAACGTGTGTAACACTGACATCCTTATCCTAACCCACATTTAATTTTCTTTCTATAGTATGCAAAGATTATGATCAAAGTTGCCATTCATTTCAACGCATGCGAAAGCAGAAGTTCGTTATTGGATACTTCACTATGCCCACCTCTGTCTTGAGCCATTTAGTCACACAGCATGTCTGACTTCCCCAAAATGCTTTTAGTTTGTCCGTGGAGAAGAAGGAAACAAAGTGCTGAGATGTTAACCAGCCTTTACTCTGCTCAAGACCGAGGTCACATTGGCCTTCACACACAGAGAAATAGGCATGCAGGCTTTTTGCTCTGGCAGTAAGTAAAAGATCAGAAGATGCGCCATGCCCATATGTAATCTGACCCTGTGTAATCCTAGGTACAGGGTTGAAAGATGTGATATCTAGGCTGCAGACTTTAAATGGGTACATGAAGCATTTTTTAATCCATCGTTGTAAAATGGACGTGTAGAGGTTGCAATAATTAACCATGTCGTTTTACTGACACTTACGAAATGACTTTTTTGGCATACAATTTTTCGATCACTCACATGTGTTATCAAAAGATCCTCTTGCCTATGCATTGTCTCACGTCACAAATGAACCATCTTTTTTTTTTCTTGAAAACCTAGCCTTTCTTTCCAAGCCCCTGCCAAGAAACAGATAACACAAAAACAACAAGCATGTACGAAATCAGTTTAGAAAGAATGCTGAGAGTGTTACGTTTGTGGCCTTTCCGTATACCGAATGAAATGATTCCTTCACCACAGAGTAGAGAAGCTAGGCATCAGCTCTGTTAAATGTGGGCTATTCACAAAAGTGCGCCTCCAAGAGTTTGCAACGCATTGGCCAATCACTATGTGCTAAACATGTCCACCCAATGCACGTTAGGAAAGGGTTGACAGATTTGGCTCGTTGTGACTGGCCAACGCTTTGCAAACTCTTGGAGGTGCACTTTTGTGAATCACCCATATTATAGAGGTTGGACCTTGTCCTTGCTTTTGTTTGATACCTTGTAAAACAAAGCCTATTGGTGAATTTTGAGATGGCTAACCAGTCCAGCAAGCCATAGTAGACTGGGTATATATGCATGTATGACTAAAGTTAGAAGCTGCATTGAATGTATTAGTGTATGAAACCGTTTTAGGGAAGTAGTCAAATTACCAGGTCTTAATTTGCTCAAAGTGCTAAATGCCCATTTCCTCCATCCAGTAAGCTCTTCACTCCTTAAGTTTGACCCCATCTGTTGCCACTGTAAGTGTTCCCTGCTGCTTCATCAAAGCGAAAGTGAGGATTCAAGTCACTCCATTGTTAAGGCCTGAAATGTTGTTGTTTTTTTTTCAAAATACCTATTCTCTTGGATTTCATTTGAAGACAATCAGCCAATGCTACGATGTACATCATTCAGTGGTACAAACAAATTGAAAGCTGCAACTCTAAAGGGTCATTTTTGTCCCGCAATCACTTCATGCAATTTCGACATCACAGAAGGTTTCCGTAAATCCTCCTTTCTTTGGTATGAAAACCGTACAAAAGTGCATGGTAGGCCTGATGGATCCAGCCTAACCCTGAGACTGCCCACCAAAGGTGAAGCACAGCTCTTCTGTCCCAAGTTTTTATTCCTCTTGTCACCTGCATCAGTTCATCTTTTCATTTCATGTTCATGTTATGTTGATCATTCTAGTGGATTTTTGTTTTGTTTTGTTTTTATATTTACTTTGCTTTGCTTGTTGCTTTTTGCACATTTAGACTTTCCAGTCCTGTCTGTGCCTTTTGTTGCAAGACTTCTGAATTCTTTCCTCTCGCCAACTTCATTTTGCTGTATTGCCCACAGCAGACTTAACAGTGACAACTGTTTGAGCTCCAAAATATAGCTTAGTATGCGAGAAGATGCCCATTAAAAGCTTTGATAGTTGTATATTAATATTCAAAGTAATCACATATCTTGACGAGTCACAAAGTGTCTAGATTAGGGTACCGTATCTCAGAAAATTTGTCAGTCAGTGCTTTGCATGTCCAAGTGGCCCAAGTTACTACTGATTAATCACTGCATTATTCAACAGCGACATTAGATTACTAACCACTGACCTGCTTTAAGTGGATGCCATAGTTCTGTAGAAAAGAAATCATGTTGAGAATTCAATTTAGTATTCTTGAATTTAGAACTATCTTAAGTTTAGACTTTATAACTGTGAAAATTTCGTTTTGCATTGGAAAGAAACACCTTTTTGTTGCAGATGTCATGATAATTTCACTAAGGTTATCGTGTAAAAGTTCTGTAGCATTTACAACCTGAAATGTTCATTACATTAGGCCTTAAGCATGTGGAGACACACTTAATGAAAGAAGGATATAGTAGGACATGTACACGTATGCCACATGCTTCTGCAGGGTATTTTTACTTACCCCCGTATGCCTCAGTTGAGAGCACATGGGAATTGCCGTTTGAAATGGCGATTGCCCACTTTGATTTTGATTTTTACAAAAAACGAAGGAGAAAATGACAAACTCGAGAGATCAGAACAAAGATGAAGGCCAATCTGGTCCTTGAATCAAACACCCTCGGGTCTGGCATTGACATTTTCCTTTTTTTTTCTTGTTTGTTCTCTCTCCTTTTTTTTTTTTTCTTTCTCCTCTGCTTCTATTTTCACTGTTTGTTCCGTCGTAGGATCCAGAGACACCGCTCACACCGCTGCTTAAGGTAGCTATCTTTCTTTTACGTCACACTGTTGTGTCACTGTATACTGTCCGCTCTTTGTCGAGTCACTGTGGAGTCTCATTGATATCAGTCAGCAGAGTGTTGTACTTTTGTTGCACTGTTTGTCTACCAGTTGTATGATTCTCACTAGTTCAACACTCCAGTGTGGTTATGATATGGACCTCAGGGTTGTAATTTTTCCCCTGTATGTCCTTCTCACTGTTAGCCATTCTAATGAGGTAAATCCAAACTGATGCACATACATGTGTGTGTAAAAATGTACTTCAAACCTGTGTATAAAACAGCTCCCCACTTTGGTAAATAGACCTGACATGCAGGGGCATAGCAACCGAGGGGAGGGGGATGCGGCACCCCCCAATAATTAATTCCAGTCGGCAAATGCAGCTTTGGTCAACAAACGAATCCAAATATGCTTCATAAACGATATATGTTGGTCGTCGACATTTCCCGTGAAGCATTAAATGTAGCATACCAGGGATTTCCATTTTACATGACATGAGGTTGGTGAACAAGTTACAAATCAGCAAATTGACTCTGGCACCCCCCCCTGGAAATTCCTTTGCTACGCCACTGCTGACATGGTTAACCCTTAGGGTTAAGGTGACAATTTAATTTGCTGTGTTACTTTGAAGGCCAATCACACAAAACAGACTTAACCTTTTGTCCCTTGCAAGGAGGTGTAGGTAGAGAGGGGCAAACCCAGTAGGTATCTTGTGAGAACATGTGTGGTTGTTTTTGCCCTTCCGCCTTCCCCCTTACAACCCAGCAAACTTCACACTGTCTTTCATCTGTGTTTGTGAAGCCGACAGCATTTCTGGGAGGTACATGTACGTGTACATATGTCGGGGCCTACATTGCTGAGTTTGTAATTGTGCTGCTGCGATGTAATTGGCAAATGTGGGAGCTGAAATTTGATAATTTGAGGGTAGATTCTAGACGATCTCGGTAAATTGTGGGGCTACAAAATGAAGCTGTGATGAAGTAGACCCTTGCCTTGACTTTGTACTGTAGACATTCCCCACAGTTCCCCATCAGCCCCTGGACCTACCTAGCTTCCCTTTTACATCATTGTTATCAACTGTCTACGTAAGAACTACAACAGTTGAAGAGCGCAACTTAAACACTGTCGGCAGCCCCTGTTGTTGTGATATCTTGTTTCAACCACTCAGGGACTGTGTCCATACAACTTGCTTTCCCAGGTGGCCTAGTTTTAATGACCCAGCTAGAAGACCGTTTTATGGCTTGTTCCTAAAACCGGCAAATCAGTAGGATAAAATGAAAGCAATGTTTGTATGCTGTGTATATTAACGTCATGTTGACTTCCAGGTGTTACATTTCTGGGTATTAGGAGGTGTTCCTTTATTTCAAGTGAAACCAAAGAGCCCTTTAAAATGCTCAGGTACTGTGGTTCAGAAACTGACGATATCTTCAGAGAGAAGATGGCAGTACTGAAGCACTGCTTGCTGAGCCGTTTTTAACAGATTTGAAATACTTAAAAACATGTATGACTCTATTGTTAACTTTTACAACATGCAATATGTTTGTTGCTCGAGTGTTTCTAACTTCCAGTCGTCCTGGACCATGGAAAAATTTGGCACAACTGTCACCGCTATGCACCTGTAATCGCAATTATCATTTCAAATTTGTTTGTGTTCCTCTCACCTCTCCAACCAGCCTCTGCAATCCTCCGATATTGTAATTGCGATGCCGTCGTCCCAAGACTCTGTCAGGGTAATTCAGGATGAAGCTTGTTATAACCCTCTCCAGCATGCCCTGTGTAGGGAAGGAATGACCGAGAGACCTGCATGGCATTAACCGTTAATCTCACTATGTCGCATATCCACAGCACAGAATGGAGTCAATTGCCAGCATTTCCTTGAGTGATCAAGTATTTCATTTTTGATGTGAAGTTGTTACTGTACTATTTCCCCAGATTTAAATTTTGACAGTGGAAATTAATGTTCGACTAAAAGAGCATAAAAACAACTCTCTGTAGAGGAAATTATCGTTTGTTCCTTTAAATGCATCTTGTTCCCTCCCGATGGAATATAACACTTTGAAAATAAATAAGCAAGCCATCATTACATTTAATAACAATTGATGGCAAAGTTACCCACAGATAATGATAAACAAAATTGGTTTGGCCCCATCGAGATTCGGAATATATTCAAATGGCCACAAAAGTGAATACTTCACGGCCATATGAGTGATTTTAGTGTCATTAACCACTTGCCGCCGGGTGCTTTTAAAAATGCAGTGCACACATACAGGAGGTTTTCAAGATTTTCAGTTTTCAAAATTCTTCAAAAATTCATCATTTCATTTAATGGACGTTTACACCCACACAAATAACTGTCTAGTGGCTACTCTAAGCTGACGGGCAACCTTCATTGACTCCTGAGTATTTCAGCCAGAATTGTGAGGTGTTGCATTATTTCCTTTGTCCCCGGTGAATGCGAGTGGCGTCTTTTCAAACCCGACTGGATAAGCATGCAGCGGTGCTGTGTCACTCATCAATGGGGCCCTGGAGCACTATACCCCAAACAGCGGTATACTGTTTAAAAACAGTGACAGATTACCTTTGAAAAATGCAAGCCAAAAAAGTGATGGCAATTTCCCAGCAGCAGGTCTTTTGTCCCGAGTACTGTCTTTTGTTACACGGCCCAGCCCTTTTGTCCCATTTCGGGCACCCTGGCTCTACGTATAAACCCATGGTGCTTGAAACGGGCTTCCCCGGCAGCAAGTGGTTAAAAACCCCTGCTCAGACCCCCCCCTACAAAAAATCTTCCCGTTAATAGATCTCTCTGTTAGGACACAGTGTTCAAAGATAAAAAATACAACTGCATATTCAATGTCATCAGGCGCGTGTGAGCCCGCATGTGTGCAAATGTATTGATCAACTTGTCCTCAAAATACAGCGCAGCCAATGCATATCATGGAAATTTGACATCCAAGAGACAAATGCACATGGCAATCTGTCAAAAGTGCTACGGCGGTAGAACAAGTTTCAAAGGGGGGTGCTAGTTGTGAGACCATCAGGCATCAGCCATTAATAAGCCAATCCATTTAGCCCCACCCCGTTATAGGACCTGCAAAAAGTGGTGGACTTCCCCCCCCCATTCAAAAAGTGAGGGGGTGTCCACTGGCACCCCTCACATCCGCTGCCACTGAGGTAGTGATGTCATTTGAGAGAGACAGGTACTCTTAACACAAAATTTTGAAGTTTTTGAAGGGGAAAAATATCTAGAGAACTCATTTTATGTTAATGTGATAATTTTCGGAACAGTATTTGCTCATGTTTCATTACTGATATGCATGTAGATTTTTAAAAAGTTAAAATATGCATCCTCTATGAAAACGCATCCCTTACATCTGTGTGGCTGATTGGTTGTTACAGCTGTGAATGGTTGAAGATAAGTCTAGTCAGCCTCTTGGCCCAACTCCGTCCGTATTCTAACTTGCATGTTAGACTAAAGGCCAGTTCATACTTCACATGAATAGGAGTGTAGGGAACTTTTGACGTTGTGGAACTTTTTTTGCAAAATTGCCAGAGTCGAAATGTGTTCAGGGTAACTTTGGCACGTATTTGCTGCGAGGTCACAAAGTTGTGGCCACATTTGCTTTCGTGCTGAAGATGAGCTGGCTTTAGCCTCGTGTTGATCAAGAAATCTCCCCTCAAGCAGGTAATCGAGCGAATAGTCTATCTGTTTGCATGTTGGAGAGAGTACGCCTAAGCATGAACCACTCTTGCCTAATTCTTAATGTGGCTTTTCTTTAACTAATCTTTATTGAGACTGTTGTTTAGGATTTGATATGAAAGAATGCTGAAGTGAAAAACCAACAGAATTGCCAAGTTCATCAAAGTGTGGATAATTATTCTGTTATTGAGAATGAAGCAGAACACTGCTTTCATATATTCCATCCCACGTTCTGTATGTAACTGTTGGATACTTTACCCAACCTGAGCAGCGGATCTATTTCATTTTTTTTTTTTTTTTGAGGGTTAAAAAAAGACTGAAACTTGACGGTTCCATCGATGTTCCAATGCAAAGAAGAATCTGTGCAGCCTTCCAGGCAGGGGTGGCACAGAAGTGATTTTTAACCCCCCAAGTTTTTAAATGGCGGGAATTTTGGCCAGATCAGCAGACACTTGTCATTAATTTTGGAAATCATCCTATGTGTATACATGGATATGAATGGTGATCCTGTACTTTCCATAGAAGTTTGCTTCAAAGAGTAGGAAAGTGTACGGGAAGCAAAGTTCATAAAATGAGCAGAGTTGGGAAGGGGGATAATTTCTGCTACTCCCAGTCCACTGTCCATGTTTGTAGAGAAAGCTTTTAAAAGTAGGCCTTGGAAGCAAGAAAAGAAGACAAGCAAAGTGTTAACTGTCAGCTTTTCACCCTTTTTTTGTAAATTGAATTTGCCTGCCCTTGAAAGTTTACAGCCATGGCACTTCATGAGTGCCTGGCATTCTGAACAGTTTCTCACTTGGATTGCCTCCAATATTTTATTTTATGTGTCATGAGCATGAATCTCCCTATGGATTGTTTGCTATCTAGCCTGGGAAGTTACCCATCTCCTTTCTGCTTGCTTTTTATGATATTCTATGTGGTACTAACGGTTGACAGTGTTGGTTGTGAATTTTGTATGAAGACTCCTAATGCTTCATTTCATCCATCACGCTATCAAAGTCACGGGTGATCTGTAATTTCTTTTTTAGGGAATATCCTACAAAGTATGTGCATTATTCTTCTGCACTGATTCTCTACTCATAATGTCATCTCTTTCAACTCTCATTGGATAGACGTAGAATGTGTTTGTCCAATGAGCCCAGGGTTAACCCTTATACACGCACATGACATGTGGGTGCATTTATACAGGCAATGTATGCCTCCCCCACACACGCACACACTTTGAGAGATTGTCAGTCACAAGTGCTCTTTGATAGATGTGGTGGATATGAGCAAGTTGGATTTTTTCGTTGAATCTGTGTTTGTCAGTACCGGGAAATGTGCTGAGAAATTTGACAGGATGACATGGTCACCATAGGAATGCAGTGCCATAGCTGATATACATGGGGCACTCAGTGCTCTCATTTTCTGGGAGGGGGTTATATCTCATTCTCGTGGAGTGACAGGTTAAACACTGACCAAGGCAGATTGTCACCAGATTTGTTTTTTGTGTGGAATCTCTGAGCGGGGTTGGGGTGGTGGGGCACAGGCTTCGACTCTGGGAGGGGGCTGTACCTCCGTGTCCCCCCTCTCTACCAGTTACACCACTGCTTGTATGTGGTTACTGGAATTGCAAGTGTCTTCACAGTTTGCACTATTTTCCTGCCCAGGTGGAAAGAGAAACCAATCTAGACATGGGGAAGTCCTTAGTGCCGCCCACCTCTTTGCAACTGTCGCCGTACAAGGTGCCGGTAGATAGAGTCCAGTCCGTGCCAGGCAGCTTTCACTCACAGAAAGACTCGGCAGTGGAGGTGCCAGAAGATGGAGGTAGGAGAACAGATAAGTCAGTTATTCCATTGGTTAGAAGAATCTGTCGACTCACTCTGGGTGATCGGTGTAGGGCTGTGCTTGGACTGGTATTATTAGACATGCTTACCTGTTTCCCGCATAGTTTGCTACCTGTGGAGCTGGGGTTACCATTCAAAAGCTTGGATGACTGAGCGGTTCCCTCTAAGGTGCTATGCCCTTGTTCCATGGCACTTCCCAGTATTTACTCTCTTTGAAAGGAAGTATATTGGAGGCATCTTTGGATGTTAACAAATTATGTGGCTTCCAATGAAATTTCATTTCATTGGAAGCCACATAATGAAAAGTTGCGTTTTGTCTTCCGAAAGGTGTTTTTGGAATTGGCAGATAAGGTTTCAGGTTATTAAAACCAGAAAAAGTAAACAAGTCACCAAACAGTTTAAGTTTTGTGCACAAACTGAAGGAGCACTTTGTAAGTTACAGCAGTGACACCATGCGAGTTGTCTGAATCTCTTTGGGCACCCTGCTCGTCACGGACATCATGTAGGATAAACAAGTATGGTTTGAGTATGAGTACGGTTGTAATCAGGGAAAGTAGGCTTTTGTCAGAGGAGAATTTCTTGTATTATCACGTTCAATATTTATGATGGGGGTATTTTTTAAAACATATTGTTTAACAGGAGAACCATCACAGCAAACAGCGAGTACAGAGAGAAAGCAGCAATTGCCGTGTCAGGTCCCCCATATACAGCTGCCGTCGGACAATGAGCATTCATCATCGACGTCCTCCTCATCCCATCATCTTGCTGGAGACAGACCCAGGATCTCTTCCGTGAGCCTGGAATCTGAGATTGGCAGCGGCCAACAGAGCCCCGCTTCCAGGAGCTCCTTCTTCACCGCCTCCCCGAGATCGGACAGTCAGGCCAAGTTGGACAGCGACCCAGACAGGACTGGGCCCAGCAGCAAAGATGCCGCCAGGCATCTCAGTCTGCCCACGGGGCCTGCCCACCCCGACCGGGACATGAGCTCAGACCTGGCTTTTAGGACTGGGGAAGCAGAGAGCAACGCCAAGCCCGAGGAGGTACCCCTGCAGCAGTGGCCCAGGAAAAGCAGTGACTCCTCCACTGGGGATGCTGCCAAGCAGCCACCATCCAAGTCATTCGTCGATGATGTTGTCAGGCAGAAATCCCGGGATTTGGACCCAAGAGCACATCCCAGGGTACGCAGGGGAGCCCGCCCTGCTGGCCCAAGCAACCTCAACAATCTTGCCTCGTCCAACAAGCCTCACCAGGCCCACCGCAGGGCCTCCAAGAGCAGTGTCGCCACCAGCTCCAGCGATAGCGACAGCAGCTCACCACCCAACCGTAAGAGGACTCGAAGGAGGCAGAGGCACTCACCGAGCAAAACCTTGCCCCAGAAGAGAGAAGACGGCCCATCCTTGCCCAGCAGCAGAGAGCCGTCGGTGTCCGGCGAGATCCCTGAAATACAGGTGAAACAACCCAAGGAAATACTACAGGACTGTGAACTGCAAAATGATGGGACTGATAGTGGCAGTCATCCAGGAAAGACGGATCAAGACTGTACTCCCAACAAACCTGAAAAAACCAAGGGTAACTACAGCTGTGACCCAGCCGAGAAAGTATGACGCTTGGGGTTATGGGCAACTTTTTTATACACTAACCTAATATAGTAGATTTCAGCCACACACTGAAAAGAAGACATTCGTTATCAACAAGTGCAACATATCGGTATGTTGCATACAGCATGTAAAGTTAAGTGGTCAATTTTTTTTTTTCACAAGATGGGAAAAAAAGGAGACCTGTCAACCAAAGAATGGGCTAAAAGTAAATAATTTGTACATGGCACAGTTTGTTGGTCCCCTAAAAGTGCATGAGAATTCATATGTGGGGCGTGTTGTATGCATTTACGTTTTTGGTTTGTAAAGCTCACACAAGTGTTCCTTTCACGACTTGATGTATGCATTCCCAAAGTTTCCTCCACACTGTTTATAACGGAATTTTTTGTACATAGGACAAGGAGACAGGATGTAGAATGATAACCACATTGTTTCCTTTGCTTGCAGTAAAGCATTAATTGTGTTTGTATAATAAGTGACAAAAAAAAGTTCCTTTTTCCAAGCACGTGAGCCACTGGGTAAAACTACCCAATCCACTTGAGTCCCCAAACTGTGTACAAATCTGTACAAAATAGAAAGTCTGGTGTAATTCATTTTGTAGAGGAAAAGCCTGGTTTCTGTGCATTATTGAAACTGATGTGCATAATTAAGCAGGTTATTTTATCCAATGACCAGGGCTCATTCTACTCCAGGGGAGTGTATTTTGTAGCGCCGACATTTTGTATTCATCAAAGTCTGATATTTTTGGATACGTATTTATTTACCGTTGTAAAATTGTTTAACTGTCATTTACGTTGTCAGAATGGTAAAGGTTCCTGTGCTTTGTGCTTTTGACTTTGATTTTTTCTTGAAATTGTGCAGCTTATTAACAAAATTCAAAAGCAGAATCGGATGAAAATCATGACAATCAATATACGTGTATATTAGGCCTGTGTTCAGTATTTGCATAATGGGGCAGTTTTATGATATACCTCTGTATCCTTCTTTAAACAAATTGTGTTACTTGATGATTCAGCAGTTAAACTTTTTCACCAAAGCAAGTCAGGCTTGGAATTTGTTGAATTCACATTTATGCATACTATTATCTAAGATATCCAAGATTCAGAATTAGACAGCAGCTTGTCCCACACTGCAGTCGACCTTGGTACTTTGGTTTAGTAGGGTACAAACACAGTAGTCTTGGTTCAAGATCTTCATGTTAATTTGTAAAGGTGGTGTCCTATGCTGTTTCGCTGGCTGAACTTGAAAACCTCGCCACGGTCAAAATCTAGCTATCGGCTATCCTGACCAATGACTGACCCAGTTTCCAGTCAAACACCTGTAGCCAACTTAAGTAGTGGTCAAATGCTGAGCTTGATCAGGTGCCAAGCTTGATCAAGAGCCAAATGTGGCCACGAGACAGACTTGACAAGCAGCCAAACTTAGCCAGTGGTCAACCTTGAGCAGTCAACCTTTGCTGGCAGAATAGTCACTACCCTGTGGCGCCATCTACCAAACGTTGCCATCTCATGACTGCCTAGTGCCAAACTCGGTATCTTTCAAGCACATCAATTTGAACTTACACATAGTGATCATTTGCCCAAATTCATTGGGTAAGCTCCATTCTGTAGCTCGGCAAAGTTTCAATACAGCCTATGTACCGCACCGCAGCACGACATGAAAACTGTGTTCACTTTGCAACAGATGATGTTCCAGTAGTCAGTTTTTCACACAGGTAGAAACATTTGCACACCTCTGTATGCTTTATTTGTCGTGAAACTGTCAAGTTTTCACTCTTGTATTAATAACAGACATTACAGAAGATGTGACATGGAGGTAGCTGTTAAACATACACATGGCACTCTAGTAGGCCTACTTAACCCGTAGACAAAGTTGACACAGTGTGGTAACTTCCTAGCTAAAGATGAGAAAGAATTTTTTGAAGTGTCTGATATATACCTTCACCCATTAACACCTACACTACATGATATTCTTTTTTTTAAACGTCAATCCAGACAGCAAGATTGCTTAGGGGCTGGGGGTGGTTTGGACCAGATGGTAGCACAGTGACTAATGACTTAATATGAAAGTTTGTGTTACACGGAGGGATTAAGAAAACAAGCCAAATTGGCTCAAGGATAGAGGGCCTCAGTTTCCTGAACAACCCAGCGTTTCTTGTAACACAAATGCATGCAAAAGTCACAGCGGTCACCTTGTTTTTGGCTGATCACAAGCATGCCAGTGGCACTTTGTCATGCAATGGGTTCTCAGCTCAGTTCATGTAACCCTTAATACCCAGCTCCTAAGGTATTTTGCCAGGACTTCCTCCTGATGATCCTCCACTGCAGAAATCCAACGGCACATTTTTGTAACACTCAAGGAGCATCAAGGCCTACGTAGGCCTATTAAAAGTGACAGTGGCTGGGGTGCACCATCCTTAATCTTATATAATTCTCAAAATCCTGTGGATTTTGGAGTATCTGTCTTGACCAAATGACCTTTTTTTCAGCTTACATACACATTGACTTACACAACACAGAGAATATCTGATATCTTCTGGTGATGCTATGCCAAACTGAAAAGGTATCTTTCACTGAAGCACAAAATTTACACTTAGCATAGATCTGCCAAACTTTTGTGGCATTTGTGTATCGTGCATTGTTCTTTCCCCGTGTGGTTTCACTGATTTCATTTTGTTCCCTGTTAGTTCTGGCACTGTGATCCTGTATGTCTAACTATCAAAATCATCCCTCTCCTCATGTGCTTCGTTGTGCGTTTTTTCTTCTTCTGTCATAACCTTGGTTTGTTGATTTTGTTGGTAGCGTATTTTGCATTGATAAAGCAGTCAATGAGCTCACTATGAAAACTTTCCAGGTTTGTTTTAGGTGTGATATTTTGTGCTGGCACAACTAGACTTGGGTTTTTTTGTTTTTGTTTTGCTTTTTTTTGGCAACTGTGCAAGAATATGTTAGTGCACAGGACAGATCTGAGTTTTCTTTGAGTTTGAATGTAACCTTTATTTCGTCAGCTTCTGTAATACCTAACTGTGTGTGTTGTTCAGCCGATAAACCTAGTAATCTTGTAATGTATGTATCTATTCACTACTTTGTGGCTCAGTTTGGCCATTGTCTTGGTTTATTCATTGGCTGGACCATGAAGACATTGTTGTAAATCTTCAAGAGAAGCCTGTACAATAAGTGATTTAGTTTGCAAAGCAATATACATTTATATACCACATCTGTATCATGCACATGATCATTAATTTGCTTATATCTAAAGATTCAGTTAATAACATATATTAATGCATGATAGTAATGGAAGCATTTGGTGCCAGGTATGAGTTTTCTAAGAATGACAATACATGACCTTCAAAATCCTCCACTCCCAATGAAATGAAATAACACTGCAGTGACTTAAGCCCACTCGCATCAATCTTAACAATTATCACCAAAAAAACCCACAAAGATTTGAATAACCTACACCTTGAAGTTTTACATTGAGTTTCTCTGTTGGGTATAATAAAGCACCGATTCCTCCATCCACTTCCTGTGAGTTCCAACCGTTATGTCTTCTCCACATCTCGCCTCAACTTGTCTCAACTCCGAGTAAAAAGTACAGTTCACTTCCTTTTATGACAGACTTTTAAGTAATCCACCTCCTCTGCCGTTCCAATATTCCTACATCCAAGTGGACTTCATTGGGCATCCTTCTCATATCTTTTAAATAAATCATTAATCTTTGCTTCACAAAGTAACTTCCCTCTCTTATGTCAGCTATGAGTTTACAATAACCTTGTCAGCAAACGTAAGCAATTGCATAAAGTTCTGTTCTCACCAAGCAAGTAAAATGCTGTTAAAGTTTATGCCCTTGTATTGCATAATGTACATGTTGTATCTTACTTTGTACAATGCAGAACTTTACAGAATCTGTTATCAGAAGAACTTAGTTACATTTTGCATAGAAGCAAAAATGGAATATCACCCCGCTTATTGTCATACAAAGTCACACATGTAGTCTTAAAAATTGGGTGTTGACGAAGAATTACTTCACACTGCATTGTCTGTGGGTATGGTCCCTTCTGATTCTGTGCCGTGTAACGCATTTGCCAGGACATACGACAGTGGTGTAAAGTAGGTGTATCAATGCAATTAAGTGGTGATTTATGTGCTTGGTGACCCAAGGTCAAAGGTGATCCCTAGAATTAGACTTGCCTCAAGTTGTTTCTTGTGCTTTTCAACTTTTCAACAGTTGAGTTTGTTTCGGACATCATTACCCAGGTTGACGTGAATAAGCAGTCAGTGAAGCTTTTGTTGCCTGTACCAATGCATGTGTATAGATGCCACACACTATGAGGAATGTGCCATACATTTTGACAATATAAAACTGTATTTTCAAGAAAATGTGACCTAGGTAAAAATGTATCCTACCTCTAAAGTCAACTGACTTCACACTTACAAATTAATTGTGAAGTCTTTGTAAATGCCTCTTTTGTGGGATAATGTTTGGACACCAAGTGTGAAATCTGTACAATAGAACTCCAGTTCATTCCATGTACTCCAAAGTGTTCCTCTGAAATTATTGCCAGCAGTGTTATTTGATACTTGAAACATTTGCACCGATCCAGGACACAGATGCATTCTTAAAGGAACAAAGCTGTGCTTTACCCAGATAAGATCCATTCCTCACGTTTGCGAAACACATGAACAAAATCTCAAAATTCATCTGGAAGTCCTGCCTAGTTTAGATCATTTACTCTGCAACTACACATTTTTAGGAAAGACGTGATTGATGCTTCCAAATTGGTCTCCCTTTTCAGAATAGATGTCCAGAATAGCAAAATAGTTTTAGAAATGAAATCTTGAGATAAACACAGCCAATTCCATGAAGCAGCCAACAAAATTTCTGCTTAGCAAATTCACATACTGGGCAGAAACCTGTTGAAAACTAGTCTCACATAATGACACCACAATACGTCAAAGCTGGTCACCATTTTTTCCTAACCAAGTAATCATCTATGCTAAGCTGATCTCTGTACTCAACTGTTCCATGAAGTTGGCTCTCATAATTGTCAAAGCACAACAAACAACTTCCTCATGGCAAGACCCATTTGTAGAGATTTATACTTCATAATGTCAAACTGACCGCCCTTTCCCAAACCCTGTTCAACAACTTTGTAATAAAAAGCAACTTAAAAAAAAAACAAAAACAAAGATGGGTACATGTGATGAATAATTTAATGTCTGCAACTGCCTTTTGTGACAACAAATAAAAAATAGCTTTTATACAAAACACCTGATGTTCAGCTGCTTACTTTCTATTTTAAAATTTCAAACACTGCTTATGGTGTTGTAGTTGGGTCTCTTTCCAAGTCAGACCTGACACCTTCGGTTGGATGATTGCATAACAGTGATAAGTCTTCATGCAGTTGTGTGTGTGCAGTGAAAAAAAGGTGACATGAATGTATGGATGGAAAGACTCTAACGTTACACAGCACACATTGTGGGCTTTGCCAATTCCAACTTGTTCAATCTCAACTGCATTCTGTGCATTAACACGTTCACTTTCTCCCCAGGCCATAGGCCAGTGAGTTGGTTATCGTTCTCGTCTGCTGCTTGAGCTGTTCTGCCTTCCGCCGCTCAAAGTCTGACTCCACCACGGAGGACCTCCCATCTGCCTTGAGATATCTGGTCGACGGGTCTGGGTACTGCTCCAATGAATTTCGCTGTAAAAGAGAAATGTGACCACACGGCTGCGTGAACTTACTAGAGTGCTAACCCGCAGCTGAAAGTGAAGCCCCCTCAACACGAAGCCCCCTCAACACATCCATATTTGTGCACAAACCTAAAGGAAAAGGTGAAATTCTGTACAGGTTTTGTAGGGCTTTTTGAATATCTCTGTATTATCAGGTGATGCGTCGAGGCCAATACACCTACAACTAAGTGCACAATCAGTTAATGAGCATTTTCAGTTTGCTTTGTCTATTAAAATAACTCAAATGCAGGCACATGCACTGTGCACTGTAGATAAATTTTGCTGAGGCTTTTAATAGGCAACCCTGCAATGAAAAAAAAATGTACGTAGGGGATGTTTGGCAAGGATTTACTTACCAATTTATCTGCCATGTTAGCAATTTGGCTTTGAACATCGCACTTCCAATACTGTTGGAGTAAATGGAAAGGACAATAAAAGGAAACCAAGCCGTTTTAAATTTGAGAAGACAGTAAACAAACCATTTTCACAAAGTGTCAGCAGATCTATGCTGAATTTTATATCCAGGCTAGCTCTACTAATTGGAGCATTAGTACTCCTCTTTTTTGATTTTGGATTACGATCCCGTCCAAAATCGAAAAAGAGGAATACGAATGTTGCACTTGGTACTTTAGGAGAGCTACATCCAAGCAAAGTTCGTTAAAATGTAAAGAAACCGTTTAGGCCTAGTAGCTCAATGAAATTTCCACCATATGACATGAGTTATGCAAATATTTAGATCCATATCAAGTTTCCATTGATACATGAATGCCCTATAGAGAAATTCTTGCACACAAAAGTGATACATAGGCCCATATGCACGAGTAGTGCAGGATTCCATGCAAACATTGCCTGATTGGGGAAAACGTTGTGCCTCTTCCAGATTCGCAATATCACCTTTCTAGCAAACTCGATATTTTGATTCAGAATAATTTACCTCAAATGGATCGATTTCCTTCTGCTGCCTGAGTGACATGTTGTACTCGGGCACCACCGTCCAGGACTGGGAGTGAGGCAGATTGCCTCTCAGGCTGATGTGTGGCAGACCCACCGAGCTAGACGAACAGGACTCCGGCATGTCATACTCCACATGCCGCTGCTGGCCGCCCGCTGGAAGCCGAGACATCCTGTCCTGTATTGCAATGGTTAACAGCACTTGATAAAAAACTATGTTCTCTGATACGCGGGCAAAATTGTTCTCTGAAATGCATGAGAAATATCCCCAGGATCAATTACAGCGCACCATGGTTTCCGTAAACAAAATGCTCAGAGTGAACAAGAGAGGGCGCTTTGAAATAAACTAAAAAAAAAAATCAAAGACAGGCTGTTCCGCTTTTATACGCAAATTTTCCACGGGAAAACAACACTATACCGCACACTGTAATGATCATACTGCCAAGTAACCTGATTAAATCCTGAATTACAATATGTTAAATGCATTGGGGGGGGGTGGCTACCATAGAAATAAATAACCCATTATTTATGTCTGTGGTGGCTACTACTCCTAAAAAGTAGGGCGCTGTCATAATTTTGACAGAGGGCGCTATGCTGTGCCAAAAACAAAATTCGCTGCGCACGTGCTCGTGCACAGCCAGCTAACCGGAACCATGCGCATTCAAATTTGGGCATGAGCACATGCGCGGCAAAGAGTCGTTGCTAAGTTCGAAACGAGAAAAACGTGGCATATCACGACCTGCCAGCGTGGATTTAAAAAGGTGACAGAAGAGAAAAGATGAGGTATACTATATATTTCAACATTTTTTGACAATTTTTTGCGTTAGTGCTTAATAGGTTAATTTTGGACAGTTGTTGAAAGTAAAGCTTTTTTCCCAACGATTACGAAGACAAGTGAGAAGCTTGAGAGTGCCTAGTTCTAAAAGGGCAGTGCTCGTGGTACGGTACGGAGGTAAGCTATACAAGTTTCTGCGTTTGAACTATTGTAGTGTCACCACACAAATTTGTCCATTTTCATTTATCGGTTTTCCATAAATGTCATAGTCAGTGCAGTAAAATAAACCCCACTGTGAATAGAAAACAAAAATATTCTTATACATGTAAATGGTAATGTTTTTGAGGGGAGTCAATTTAAGTTAATAGTCACGCACTGAAAGATGACAACTCTCACATGAAGGACGCCATCTTGATTTGTGCACGTGATTAGTTTGCATTTAACCTCAATATCTCAGGACAATGGAAAATCATGTCAGTGATGCAAATAATTTTCGCTGAGTCCCCACTTATTTAATGGACTGTTGTGGGGCCGAGGATACGGAGGGAGTCCAGTAGACTGGCCCCCAGTCTGGGGCTACCTTCCAGAGGGTGTCGGTCACTTCGCCCCATTTCCACTTCGCCTCATTGATTATCGTTCATTCTGTTCTTCAGTAACAGAGGCCTAGATGCAACAAGTAAAAACATCAACATCTGAGTACCCAAATAATGATCGGATAATCCAACTTTCAAAGGTCTAAACAGTGATTCCAACTTCCCAACCGCCGGACCCAAATTTTTGTGTGTTTCGTTGTCGTTGTGGTAAAAACACGAGCGCAAAGCACTGGTTCCCGCCGCGCCGCACCCGTGTAAGAGAATGCGTGATGGAGTGTGGCGACCAGTCTATTTATGCCGCGGCGACCATTAATGTACGTGATCCGTCTCGCATTGAAAAAAATTGATGTTTGCAAGATTTCTTCACGTTAATGCTTAGTATCTAGTCTGTGTGTGTATTTATTTATTTCATCAATTTAATTTTAGGTTTTGCTGATACTTGAAGCGAACATGAAGCTTTATCCAATCGCCCGGGTACAGCTGTGTGGACGCGTCGACAATTACCAGAACAATGTGAACAAAATTGTGTGTGTCGCTTTGAAATAAACTTGAAGAGGATGAGAAATAACCCCAATGCTAGTCCAACCATATGCATTAATTCACCATCATGGACAATGCAGGTGACATTAATTTAATGCCGTAGAGTTTTCCGAATAACTACATGTCGTTTGTGGAACTCGTCAACCATTTTTTGAAGAGGCTTGTAACACACTCAAAATAGATGGCAAAGTGGAAATGGGGTGAAGTGGAGATGGGGGATGGGGGGATGTGAGGATGGAGCGTAGTGGTTAGGGGCAACGTGGAAATGGGGCAAAGTGACTGTAAACCCCTTCCATATAGCCATGTACAAACTCTCATAAATACATTTTGGCTGTTTTGATAGTGTCAACTTACTCTTCCATCACAGCTATTTGTGCAACCAACTTTAATACATGCCTGCTTTGTGAAGTAAGATGTCACAGGGGGAGGTTTATTTACCTTATCCTTATTAAAATGGTGAAATTCATAAGCATTTTGCCCATCCACAATACAGAAAGTCAGCAGCATGTACTCTCAATAACTGTCAGCAGTGTGATAGCTTGACCAATCGCAACACAGCTCTTATCTTATCCTTTTGTTTTCCTGACCCCATCCAAATGAAAGCTGAGCTGTGATTGGTCATTTGAATGGAAGCAAATTGGACCAATCACAGTGCAGCTTTCATCTGTGGGTGTCAAAACCTCTCTGGTGAAAAACTTGAAATACATTTAGATTGTTGATTTACCCCAACATGATGTGGCCCCGAATGTGACACATGTTGAATTTCTTGCTTCTGGTGCCTCATTAAAGCAACATTTGTACCTCAGATTTCATAAGTTATGTTTTATCAATTTTTTTTCCAATATACCCATTCATGAATGTTGGGCTTTGCGTAGAAAGTTCCAATTTTCTATTGTGGCCCAATTTTCACATTTCTTCTTTTTTGCACCCCCAAATAAGAAAATAATGTTTTTATCAACTAGTTTCAGTTGGATGTATGAATTGGGGTACAAAATGATGATTAATCAGAATCTCTCATTGTTGACAAATATATTTCCATGTGGAATTTTCAAAGATTTGTTCAAGTGTGCCTTGTATGGTGACACTCGGCTGAATTTGTGCCCAATTTCTAGATTCCATAGATTTTTGGAAAGCGTGTTAAATCCTAACTCCACTTCAGCGGTTGTGTACAGAGCAAATTAGGGAGTAAAGAATTTTTAAAAAGTATTTTCTAAAAAAAATGTTTTCTTCGTCCCGGATTCACAATGATTCATGGCTTTTTAGCACTTCTGAGTGATGGACCTTTGTTTAGATGATATAGGCCTACGATTAAAAAAGTAGAGGCAGAATGCAACACCCTTCCCATTTTTCAATTGTTGACGTAATTTCATGACAGAAATTGTTCACAAAGGTTCAACAGAATGCATAAATAAATCTATTTATCATTAAATAAACAAAAGACCAAAGAAATGATATTTGATTTCCGGAAATCAACAAGTGCTAAAGAAGCTGATGAAATCAACAAAAATGCCTGTTGAAGTCGTTCACGAGTTTAAGTACTTTGGAACTCTTGTACATGATAAACTAAACTGGAATGCAAACACAACTAGAATGTGTCAAAAATCAAACTCAAGGCTCTATTTTTTAAGAAAACTTTGATCTTTTTATGTTAGTGATCGGATTTTGAAACTTTTTTATCAGAGCAGTGTACTGTCGACAATATTTTTATGCTGCATAAGTTGGTTTGACTCCCTTACTTTGGGCAACTGTAACAAACTTTAACGTGTTGACAAACAAGCTAAAAGAATTATTGCTGACTTTCAGAACCTGCAGGAAATACATCAGGTCCGCGTTTTGTTGTATCCACGTTTAATGAAATTATGTCTGACGTTACCCATCCTCTCAACTCTTTTATTATTTGAAACCGATCTGGTAGAGTGCGCCAACTTAATTGCAAAACAAATAGAATGAAAAAGTCTAAATTATCTTTTTTATTACTAAATGATCTATCTGTAATGTAACGTAATGTAATTGAATTCAATATTTTTGAAACTGGATTTGAAAAATGCTTTTAAACTTAGTAATTCTAATTTCATTTTTATATTTATGTAATATACTGTAATGTTATTTCCTGCAACACTGGGAGAGAAAATGTCATTGGAAACTTTTTTTTTTACTCTACAATAAAATATCTTGAATAGTGAATGTAATTGGCCAACAAACTGCCGTGAATACCACTGTACATGTGTGTATTGTATTCCCCTTATTTTCATTTTTGTAGGGATGAGGTCACCTTCAAAGTTCTATGCAAAAATGAGCTGATACCTTTGTCAAAAGTTTAAATACATAGATTCATCAATAAAATGATTTTAGAGATGATAGGCTGATCTTTCTGAACATGTGTTTTAGGAGGTGATTGATAAGTTTTCAAAAATCAAGAAATCTTCATTCTTGTGTTGAAAACAATGTACAATCACAGCACGTTGTCCACATTTTGTGGTTCAGATCAAGCCATTCCACCAAACAATGGGGAGCACTACTCATCAATCAGAATAATTCTCTCTTGTTCTGTCCTCAGTCCTTGACAATGGAGGAAATTAACCCTCATCAGTGCATCACCAGACTCATCACGGGCATTGGAATTGGAAAATTAGGTATGTATAGCTTTGCAAAAGATTTAGAAAGTATTGTGGAGCACTACTAAGCACGGCCCCATCACCATTCTATTCTCAAGAGTGCCACGCCCTGTAATGTTATCCAGTGGGATCATTAGTAAACGCACATAACTGCACATGTCACACAGGGTAACTATACACTCACTGTGTACACGCTATCAGCCATGCATTACCTTCACTCGACTAGCCATACAGAGACTTCTGTGCCATTTTGACTGGTACCCATTATTGTTTTGTGCATATACATGTATAGGATATGAACATCAGTGTTGGAGTTGAGTCCTCAAATCCGAGTACAGAGTACTCTGAGTACTTAAGGGGCCGAGTCCTGGGCCGAGTCCAAGTACACTGGTGACAAGTCCGAGTCCAAATCTTCGAGTCCGAGTACATCAAAGGTTGAGTACTGGGTCGAGTCCAAGTACCTTAGTCCGAGCCCAAATACTATTGAAAAGCAGTACAATAAACAAATTAGTAAATAATTAAAACTGAATTACACAGGCACATGATCTGCTTGCAGCACAAATCTGCATTACCATGTGGATATTCACACCTTTTATTCTGTGAAAAAGTCGATGTGGCTTATGAATACTTGTGCAGAAACCTTTATCAAAGACTTAAGTATTAAGGAAACCCTGAGATATCAAAACTGAGCACAAAAGCAAGACTGTATATTAATATAAACCTAAATAAAGACATGTACTGAAATAGAAGCCTTACCCAGTCACCTTGTAACCTGCTGTTAAAACCCCAATGACAAGGACAGAGACCCAAACCTTAACCATATCTGATGCCAAGACTGAGACCAGACTAAAATCTCGTAGCGGAATCACAAAACAAAAAACATGAGCGTTGAAGAAATGGCTTGAAAGAAATCTGAATTATCACTACCGAACACTTTGTACTTGAATCCTTATTTTCATATCAATAGTAATAATGACCTGTGAACTGGAATGATAAAGAAGTCTACTGTTACAGGAAACGTTTTATTCTATGGTCTTGCAAACTAATAGAAATCAATTTTTCCAAACTTACACTTCAAAAAAACAAGACTTGAGAGCACCGTTCTCATGAGGCGGCTGCGATGGGGCCCAGGAAAATACCACCTGTGCTGAATACCCCCTCTATGGGAGCACTCAATGCTTGATATATTCAATGATTGAAAAAAAACAGGAAAAGTAAAATATCTGTGGCCCTCATATTATGAACTTCGGAAATGGTTTCTGCACGGAAACACGTACAAAGAGACCTCCATGCAAGTGCGTCGTTCTCACATGCATGCACAACGTACCGCTAAAACGTGGCATGAACGTACTGACTCTAGCCTGACTCCAGATTCACAAATCAGTACTACATCTGCGGTTGAGTACAAAGAATCGAGTAAGGGCCAAGTACTTGCATGAACTCTAGTTGTACTCGAGTACGAGTACTCCAACACTGATGAACATCACACCAGAGCTTTATAATGAGCGCTACCACTGGGCCTTAAATTAAGCGTTAAACTGTACTGGAGTCTACATTCCACCTTCCCATTTTGTTCCTTTTTTTTCTGAGTTTGATTGAGTCTTTTCTAATATTTAGTAGTGACTTATCCTTTTTTTTTCTGAGTTTGATTGAGCCTTTTTTAATATTTAGTAGTGACTTATCAGTAAACATGTAAAGATTAAAAAAGGAAAGGAGGGGGCACATGACATTTACATGGTTGTGGATCGCTTGATTACCGGTACACACTACTACTTATGTAGACATTATTTCTGTGGGTGTCTGGGGCTGGCAAGTACTTTATTGGACCAGCTGCAAACTGTTATACGAGTTTGCTGGTGCAATTATAGGAAAAATTAGCCTAAAGTTTAGGGCAAAATTAGCAGTTCCTTGTTGAGCAACTGAAATAAAATTTGGGTAATCAGATTTCCAACATCCCTGCCCAAAGGGCAACAACATTTTTCAAGTTTTTGTGAGCCCTGAAATTCAACAACAGTAAACATTAAGAAAATGTGAATTTCACAATTGTACGTGAGCTTAGCTCTCCAAAACATTTATATTTTCCATCATTGGTGAATTCCTTTTTTTGTTATTATTATTACTGGTTTATTTTAACTGTACTCCTCGCCGCCAGTGGTAGATTTGTGAATACAATTTACATGCACATTAAAAACAGATAAATATAGATTTATGTGTACATTTACAAGGGAGAAATTGAAAGAAATCAGAAGGCCTTTAATACCTTCAATACCCTGCAATAAAAAGCACATTGATATCAGTTAATACGTACAAAAAGGGTAAAATTGAAAAACAGAAAAATACAAATTGACGGAAAACAAAGTCGTTTACAAAACGTTATACATGTAATTAAATGAAGATAAGGGGGAAAGCGCAGGAGGGAGAAGGGGACATAAATATTGGATTTGGTCAATAAGGGGTCAAAGGGAGGGAGGGGGTGAAGGGTGAGCTGTTTTGGGGGAGGGGTCACAAGGAGGGAAGGGGTTGATACACAAACAAGCAGGAAGCTTGATTTAAAAATATCAACCAGTGGAGTAAAAGAAGATTCAATATACAGTAGCAGAACAAGCTGGACAGGGAGCTGATGAGTTTAGTTAGACACACTGTTAAGCAACTTAATCAATCCTACAAGAGGGCTGTTCTGATACCTTCTTGTGCGACAGAAAGGCGCTGTAGTAGTTGTAGAATTTCTTAACTGACGACCGAGTGACTGATGACGAGTCAGAGGAATCCAAGTACTAAAATGTCTTGAGGTTAGTAGAGATTGTCCAAACTTAATACACAACTGATTTCGCCTCTGACTGAAGGTAAGCCATAAGAAACAAGTGCATCATCATAAACCATTGTATTTATCGCTAAGGATGGTTTTACAGACCCTCTTCTGGAAATTCTCCAGACATGTTTCAGCGTGAGGCTAAAATTCCATACTGGTGTGGCTTGTTCTAACAATGGCCAAGTGTAGGCAAGGTAGATGGAGACCAAATCATTTACAGGTAAGCAAAACCGTGTCAATGTTTTGACGATATACAGTTTTTTGTTAGCCAAAGATATCCTATTCTGGCCGTGGGCATCCCATTTAAGGTCCGCCTGAGCTGCCCTATAACACCCAGGATGCGGTGGAATGTATTTTCCTGTAGAACATTGTCTGAGATGTGAAGTTGTTCCAGTCCATGTGATTGTCTTGTGAAGTTGACAGTCATCACGCTGCATTTGCTGGGGTTGGGTTTCATACAATTGGCTGGTGACCAATGATGGATGTGATCAAGGTCCTCTTGCATGTGGCCTCGTTGATTTTTGGTCAGCATTCTACCAGCGTGAGGTCATCAACATACTGCCAATGGTTTGGCGACACACCATTAGCAGCATCATTGACCAACGCCATGAAAATAACTGGGCCAAGTCGGGTGCCCTGTGGGACACCAGCATTTACTGCAAGCCAGGTAGAAGTTGTGCTGTGGTGGCGGACACACTGCTGCTGATCCCGAAGGAAGCTGCAGACCCATGAGATGGTGGATGCACGTACGTCTAGCTTTAGTAATTTCTCAATTGCCACATTGTGGTCGACTCTTGTCCAATGCCTTACTGTAGTCGGTAAGGACAATTCTTGAGGTCGAATAGCTCACATCTGAATGCTTATACAGCAGATTCATCAGGTCAACTAGGCAGTGTGTTGTTGACAGTGATTTCCTGTTTCCAAATTATTGCGTGTTGATGTAGGGCTCTATATCAGACAGTACCCACTTTGATACAAACAATTCTGCAAGCTTTGCAAAATTGTCAGCAAAATTGGTCGCAGTTTCTGATTGGATTTTGGGACCGGAACCACAACTGCTCTCTTCCATTGACGTGGCGTAGTCCCTTCATTAAGACGTATTCAGGATGTCAGCAAGAGGTGTGCTCAGTTCAAGTGCAAAGTTCTTGATAATTGGCGGAGGGATGCCATCTGGTCCACTGCTCAATTCTTTGTAGATATCCCACGGTTGCACAACTGGGCAAGGATGAAGTGTTGGATGGAAAGCCGGCAAGTTGGATATCGCTAAATCGGGAAGATCACTGGCAACAGTGATGAAGTGTTTATTGATGATTTCTGCCTTGAAGAGTGTTGCAGTATTTGTGAATAAATAAAATTTATTGCAATATTCAAGCCCTATTTACAAATTTAACATGTTATTCTTCAAGTTTTATTGTTTTCCTCTCAGCATTTTCATTATCTAAGAGAGTAAGCATTCTTCATAAAGAATCAAGAACTCAAGAGCAACAAGCTTTCTTCCTTTTCCACGTTTTATTTCCATTTTCTCTTTTTTTGGGGGGGGGGTGGAGGCAGCTGCCCCATGAAGCTATGATGATGTCTCGGCAGCACAGAAAAAGGTTTTGGTTGTTTGTGTATGCTTAGATGTTGTTTACCTCCTTGTCGATTGGGGCTGCTTTTTATTTGCCTAGCTTTCAAAGTTTTCATCTCTGTTTCCTCTGTATTTTGATATCTTTATTTGATTTGATATTTTGGTGTGCCATTATCCCACTGCCAATGTTCAAGTTGTTTTTGTCATCCCACATTTCATTGGATGTGCTATATTCTTTCATTCCCAATCTCTTAGGCCAATTAGCTTCTAAGTTCTCATCATGTGGGGGTTCCCAAGTGAGATTTTGTTCTTGGTATCAAATTGAAGCCTAGGATGTTATCTTTTCAAACCTGAAGACTTCATTTAAATTTGATGCGTTGCAAAGATAAACTCAATAACATCAATTAGACAAGTACTTTTTGTCCCGTCATAAGGGATTTGCTTTTACTACAGGGCAGTTCCACGGAAACATCAACCCCTGGGCCAAAATTTCAAACTGGTCCAAATGTGGCAAATTACATGTATATATCATTTGGTGTATACTTTCATGAAACATACTTCATTTCTAACAACATTCAAGAATTTGGCTTTTATATGATACTGAAAAATTGGTTTTAAATACCGAGAAATTGGGGAAAATATTTCCCCTCTGAAAGATTTTCTGTTTTTAGCCTGATAATAATTTTTTTATTCCAGTTCTGTTACAGTTTGAAGAGTGCCCCAATAAGTAAACAATGACAGAAATGAAATTTCATTTTCCTTTTGAAATTCTATGTATTGTCTTATTTTATAACGCTTACTTTTCTTATGTACGCCCGACACCAAAATGGCATAGTTTTTTATCCCCTCAGTGCACCCTTTAGCAAAAGACTGCCAAATTTACAATACAAAGTACAATGTGTTCCTTCTTTCTAGACATCAGCTTAACTTCCCCTATTATTTTTTCAAATACTCAAAAATTGTGGAACCAGATGTGTACGTCCGACACCCTGTACGTCCGACACTGTCAGAACCATGCATTGCTGGCAATGCAATGCTTTTACACTGTACAGAAACCACTACCACCTCATTTGCATACATGGAAATGAGGCCCCAACCCCAAGTACCAAATAGGCTTCACTTTTGGTTTTTACTTATTGGCATAAATTTGACCATTTGGACATACACATCCTAATAAGGTTATAATTAGGGCCAAAGCCATTCCGCATGTGTCATGTGGGGACATACATGTATATGTGCTTTGCATGTATTCAGAAGTAAGTCATGTCAGTGTGAGCTTTGATGAAGACAAGTAAAGTGCTAGGTGTTGTATACATGTACATGTAATCCACATCAAGATAGAAGTATTTTCAAAGACTAAACAAAGGTGCGTTTTATACCTTTGTTCAAAGTACATGTAAAATCAATTGGTGTCACTTTGTGTTGCTGGAGGAATTAAAGGGGGTGTTCCATAGATGCTTTCCATGGCAATACATGTACATGTACAGTATCTATCATGAAACATACAATGTAAGACTGTAGTTTTAAAAGCATTATGCCATTAGTCTTAAATTTCAGTGAAAAGGATAATCTCTCAGCCTAATTGCTAGCCCATTCCTTTGATTTGGCAATCATCTAAAAGGACATCTACTCATTTAGCTTCTTTTTAGATTTTGCATGTGTACTATAACCTGTGAAGTGTGCACTGGAAATCTTTAAAATTGCAGCTTAGTACACACGCAGCATTTGTCATACAAAAATGTTTAATTTCATGTTCTAAGACCAAAAGATCTTACAGGTACATGTATGCAATTGTCTTTTAATTTGATTTATTTATCTAAAGGATTGTCTACTGTAGAAAACTTTTTTTTAAGTTTGAATGTTTGACAGTACATGACTTATGCAAAATTTGCATAAATACTTCTAGACAATATTTTCCTTCATACTGTTTCATTGAATGCCCCATCATCCAACTCCTTTTTTTGTAAGGCTTGGTATTTTCTTTTGGTTTGGAAAGTTTACTAAAAGCCTTCATGAAGGTAGAGAAGAAGCTTGGGTTTGAACTGATTACCTTCTATTCTGAAAAGTCAGTTTGGACGTGTACGTCCGACACCAAAAAATGTACGTCCGACACCAATATAATAAATGCTTTATCTGAAAGTCACAACAAGATAAAAATGTGTCTTGCCTTGAAGTTTATTAACAAGGATCTGCTAAAACTAAACATAGCAAAACTACTTCTTCAGGTCCTAGCATTTCACAGAGTTTGTGATACAAAAATGGAAACTCAAAAAATAAACTTTCTCTGAGTACGTCCGACACCATGATGTTATGAGTCAGTTTCTACAAGGATGATAATTCTGGGTGAGGAATTTTGTTATTAAATGAATGTACCAACTAGCTGATGTCATTTAATCAAAATCAAAATCTGCTTCAGGATTATAAGAATAATAACACACACTGTTTGAAGTGTCCAAAATGCACGTCCGACACCGTGGAATTGCCCTATAGCAGTCAAGATGCTATGTTCAACACGTGAGATCATTGCAAAGGATACTGAACTGAATAAGGTTCTATAATGTTAACACCTCTTTTACTTTCCACCGACAGACGGGATCCTGGAATGGTTCAAAGTGTTAAATGTCACAGAAGTTAACAAGATTGGCAACTTGTTACAAATTGACAGGGCAATTGCACAGGCTCAGCTGAAGCTGCTTTCTCTGAAAAAAACTCAGGGAACTATGAAACTGCACAATTATTAGGAACTGTTGCCTTCTCAAGTAAGCATTAGTTTTGAGTTTAGAGCTAGAAAGAATTTGAAAGAACCAACAAACCCAAACAGTTGAGTGATAATCTTGGGTTTTGAGTCCAGTGACTGCATCAGCTTGCAAGGTACATGTAAACTACGTGACTTCATTAAAACGTTTCTGCAGTGCATCATCGGAATTAAATGAAATCCAACATCCCAAACTTCAATTTCATACTAAAACCAAAAATTCCTCACAATTTACTTTGGAAGAAAATCAATTTTGTTTTGGGGTTGTGTTTTTGGGGAGTCGCCCTTTTTATCCCTGTAAAAGTATCCATACATGTATTGGGGGTTCGAATCCAGCTGGTGGCAGCATGTTGTGATTTTGGGCAAGTCACTGTACCCAAAGTGCCTCTCTCCACCCAGGAGTACATGGAGAGTGAGGTGAAGACATGGTTGATATCGGGCCACTCGGTGAATTGTTGCAGTCCGTAAAAGTTAAACACGTGTTGTACTCTAACTGCTGTCGCATTTGGAATTTTGTTTGTACATTTCCTCAGGTTGGGGCAAAATGGAGAACGGTGCAGGCAAACACTTGCCTATTCTGCTGAAGTGGCATGACGTGATCACATGACAGTGTACAGTGCATCAAACTTGGTCTTCCCAACCCTGACAACCCACCAGAGGATGTTAGAGTCATGGTAGACCATACCCTGCCCCACCAAAAACTGCCCTCTCCAACCCTGCCCCGCTTGACCCACTGTAACCTGGTGTATTCAGTTTCATTCTGCAGTGCCCACCCCTGCCCTGCCCCACCCAAATCTGCCCTGTCTAACCCTGTCCTGCTCAACCTGTGCTACCCTTATGTATTCTGTCCCATTTTCAAGGCCCCAACCTTGCCCTGCGCCCCACCCAAATCTGTCCTATCCAACCCTATCCTGTCCACTCTACAGCAGCGTTTTCCATCCCCTTCTGTAATGCCTCAACACACCCCGGCCCACTCCAATCTATCTTGCACCGTCCTGCTTAGTCCATCCTACTCTTGGCCCACTCTGTCCCACTTTACCGTGACCCACCCCTTGCCGTGCCGTCTATCCTGTTCCATTATTCCCGATGTGCTTTGTCCCTCTCCCTACCATGCTACCAACTTCCTCTGCAGTGAAGATGTACACAGGTCCACTTGAGGGAACAATTCTGTCTGTCCTGCTGTCCTCTTTGCAGATTGGAGAGACTCAAATGCTGCACCACTTCTCCTGGGGAGATGATGGTGTGTCATCTACACCAGACACAATGCTGACAACCCACCAGAGGATGTAATAGAGTCCCAGAGATTCCAAGAGATGCAGACAGGGATTGCTGGTCATGTCGTAGCCCACTGCAGGTAAGAACCAAAGTCAGCACTCTTCTGGGCAAAAGTTCACCAAAACAGCTGAAACACTGCTGCACAGTTTGGTGGCAAAAATCACCAAAATTTCAGGCGTTTCATTTGATTTGGAATTCGAAATGGTTTATTATTGTTTGACCATGGCAGCCAAAAGCAGAACTGAGTGACAAATGACAAACCAACAATGTACATTAAGTAGATCAAAACAGGCAGTGTAAGAGATAAACGTACATGAATTACATTGAAATAATGAAGTGACACTAAAATTAAGTGACTTTCTAGTGGTAAATTGTGAAGGTTTTGACATATGGGTAATTTCACCAATTTGGTTGCTTCTGGAATAAAAGGGCCGGAGTGCACTGTACATTTTTTAAAAATAAAATTTACTGCCAACTTGAACTGGCATTGAATTCTGCAACAATCAATTTGAGGGCAACGAATAACCATCTCTCCAATTTTAAATGGTGTAATTTTAATTAACATTTTTCACTTTTTTGAGTTATTTGATGTAATTGTGTTTTTTGCTTTGTTCGCATGCTAAAATAAATAAAAACCAAATTCTGATGATTCTGATAAAATAGATTCTGAAATCACTGAGTATCACTAATAAGTACAAGAAAATGAAAGCAGAAGTAAAAGAAAGTTTGTTAAAAGCACATCTGGAATTTAGAAAACTCAAACCAGTTTGGTTGAAATCCCTTCCAGATTGTAGGATATTCATGTCTGAATGAAATAAAAATTTGCCAACTTAAATACTTGCCAAAAGCTTGAGGCACTCAGCACTGCTCTAAAATCTCCCTACTTTTCTCTGTCCCGTTTCACAATGTTGGATCGGACCCTGTCACCTTCACCATCTTGCTGCACATTTTGGGCCGAGGAGATCAGTTCCTGGTTCATGCATACACAGCACTGTGGATAACATGAGATAGATGCTGTGTTACATCGAGGAGAGAGGTAGGTCTTACCCCTAACCATGCACTCCTTCGTGAATGGGTCACTCAGAGGCAAAAAACGGCAGTGCATTTATTCCAACTGATAATGTTGTAACCAACGGATAATGTATCACAAACTGACCGATACTGTAGTATAATTTCTAACAAATTGTGTATCCCACATTGACTGATAGTTTTGTTGACATTCAAGCCAATAATGTATTACCTTTATAATGCATCAACCAAGGGTGTATTAAAAATTGATCAATATTGATCACAACAGGGGAAAGGTATGTAAAAAATTATTCTGTTCCAATGAAGAATAGTGTCATTTTGAGCCTGCGCACATTAGCTCAAGTGTCTAAAAGTCTCTCAGTGGGTGGGGATGGCTAGCAGGAATTAATAGTGGGACAGGCACTTGAAGTACCTTAAATATTCTTGTCATTTTCTCTTCCATGTTGGCAGAAGAACATCGGGTAGTCAAGCAGGGCAACGTGGTTTCTGTCTGCTGAGGTAGTTGGAGGGGCACCACTGCACAAACTTAGCCAGCATAAACAGGGTGCGACAAAGCTCAAAGATTAGATTTGCAAACAACTTTGCAGCACTGTAACATGGTAATTAATGAGCATCTTAGGCTTTTGGTTGAAACACAGAAAAGATTGTTTTAATTAAAGATAACCCAAATTTTGTAGGACTGCTTCGGTATCAATTGTTTATTTTTGTCTCTGAAAAAAGCATGCGTATTTTAAGTTGCATTTGCAAACTGTCCTTAACTGAACAAATGGCTTAATCCTAACAATTACTGCTATGCATTCTGTATGTAGATGCACGTAATGATTGTGCGATAAATGTGTGATTGTGTAACAGCGATAAATGGCCGTATGGGGAGAATCGTGGTTCAAAATGTGTATGGGATGATCTGCTTTTAGAGCTGGGAAAAAGGAAAAAGATAGACCAAGACAAAATAGACTTCATCAGAATAACAAAGAAAACCAGATTAGAGACAAATAGTGATTAATTCACCTTAAAAAAAACACAGGAGAAAACTTTGGTCAGGGATCTTGACTTCTTAGATGAATGGTCGCTGATATTTTGAAAAAGAAAACAACTTGCTTAAAATAGAAAAAAAAGTTTCACAAGGGAATCACAGAAAAAAACACAAATTCTAAATTTCTCTAAGAATAACAGGTATCACTTCAACAAACATGATGCAACGTCGAAAAGTAAGGAAAACAAATTCGCAATTGACTTCAGTGAAAACTGTGGCTCTGACAGACGGCCCTGTCTGTCTACAAAGACAGTGGAATGCACCAAGACGAAGTCAATGTTTGCCTCTGTTGAGTTCAGAGCATCCATGGCCATGGCTTAACCCTTTGACAACGGGAACTTTTTTCTGAAAGCCGACTCCAAGAATTCCAGCCTCGCTTGGCCACAAAGGCCACCTGCCAAACTGCAATTCTCGGTTTGTGGCCCTGCATGCTCTGCATGCTTTGAATTACACAGTGAAAAGGCTCATTGTTCGGTGGCATGCGGCTCTACTCACGCTTCCACATTCCTGTTGCCTCTTTTCAAAGTGGGGACTATTGTGAAGCTGGTGATTATGATGCAAA